ATACATTGTTACATAATGTTTTTTGGTTCAACCGGTTACCGGTATGATGGAGATGGCTTTAAAGAAAAAAAAAGAATTGGCCAACCGAAACATTTGACTTTGGCTGTGACGGTTCAAGAATCTGATTCGGTCATCTCTTTGAAAAGGCCTAATAAAGCCCAATATTAATTATAAGACTTCAAAGTGGGCCAATAGCATTTAATTATTGTACAATAAAAAAAAAAAGTTTCGCCGCCAACCCGCCAAAACTGATATTTTAATCACAAACGTCAAAAAGAAAATAAAAATAAACGGCGGAGATTCAATTCAAGCTCTAGATGGCACGTGATAGTATCTTCCTCTGCACGTGCATCTGTAAATGACGCTACATGATTCGGCGACTGAGCATTGGAAACTAATCATCACACGTTTACACGGCGAACATGCGCCACACGCGTATGAACAATCCGGTAAGCTTGATCCTGTCGGGTACATTTCCATTTCTACCCCTCCCTTTTTGCTTATTTCCTTCTTCACCACCACAAAAAATACGATTAATTCATAATTAATTATCTGAAAAGTTAAATGAAGTTGCTATTATTACATTTTTTTTTATGTTAAAAATCTGGTCTTTGTGATACCAAAAAAAAGATATTTTAGCTCATACATGTAATTAAGGAAATGTCACATTTTTTTTATAATTCTTTTGTAAAGTGCACCGTGGTGGGCTTAACGTACCTTGTGGTGCGTTTGAGCTTGTTCTATATCAGAGTTTTTCTTTTCTCCGCCATTGACCGTGATTTCTATATGAAAATATATAAAATGTTAATATACAAAGTAAATATAATAATAAAAAAAAGAAAGAAAAAGATATTGATGTGACGGACTTAGTGGCGGCGTGCGAATGGAGTTAACGACCAAAGAACACGCGGCGAAGACTAAGACGAGGCAAAACATGAACTTGCGTACAAACTTCGTCATGTTTTAAATCTTTTTTAACAAGAAGATTGAAAAAGGAAACTTTCTGGTTGAGACAGAGGTTTTTATGGAGAAGTTTCTAGAAATGAGTCTGGAAGTAAGTAGTACGTGTGTTATGTGTTGTGTGTGAAGTATTAAAGGTGGAATAAGTGAGATATGTGTATATATAGTTGAGGAAAAGATGAGAAGAATTGGTTATGTGTTTATGATTTATGATAATAATAAATGATGAAAAGAGGTACACCTGTTGAAGGGTCACATGATTCTCGTCGATTTTCTGATAAAAATCATTATTATGATTTATACGTTTAGTTACCAATGAACATGTTCGCGCGCTATGAATATTTTTGAATCTTGAGAACTGTTCACATGTACGTAGCAATAAAGCCTGAGATATAGTTGTGACTTGTGTGCATGTTTTCATGTTTAGTCAGTGGATAATGAAGATCTCAAATCATATTATAAACCATGGATCGGATGAGCATTTTTAATTGTAAGAGCAAGCATTGATTGTATATTTCACAACAAATCATAGTACAACATAATACTAAAAAAAAAAATAGTCGAGCATCGATTTATAACGAATATATCATATATATGCACAAAAGTTCTACCGTAAAAAGACCAAGAAAGCCCATTATTATTCGCTTAAGTTAGGGATACTGCGGTGGATAAAAATACTGTGTTTTTATTTTTCAGAGGTGGAAGATACAAAAGGCTTCGTTTTGTACATGAAAGTTAAGAGGGAAAAACCCGACGGATACCCGTAGTCTGATAGGGTAAACCCGTGTAAGACTCTATCGTTTCGGATACCCGCCTGTTTTAAACCCATATTTTTTTTTACTTTAAAAAGCAGGTTTTGGGTTTAGTTTTAAACATGGTTTCGGGTACCCACTAAGTTTTTACTCATCTTTAACGTCCCTAACTCATGAAATGAAGATCTCATAATCATATTATAAACCAAGGATGAACAAATGTATATCAAAAAAATCGAAGCATTAAATATGTACCCCGTATGTGTTAGTGGTATTATGAATAGAGAGAGAAGTTCTCTACGTATAGATAAGGTATATATTATATGGTGTGGGACCAAAAAAGGAGTTACTATAAGGGAATAGTTAATAATTGTAGTCATAAGGTTCACAATGGGAGAGAACTTACATAAGCAGCCAAAAGTGTTCAGACATCTTGAAAATAACCTGTCACACAAACGTGAACCTTGCCCTTGGTTTTAATGACCTTTTCCCAAATAATGAGCTTGTTAGCATACTTTTCGATTCTTTTTTGGTAAACGAAGAATTTCCATGTTCTATAGATAGATTTTTTTTTTTCTGGTCATGAAACACTAGCGTAGGCATAATTATATTTGTGGTCAGAAACTAGAGTAGCTGAGTAGGTTAAACTAGTCCTTTCTTCTTGGTTGATACTTATTTTTCACTTAGCTCCAACAAATTTGATGAATAAGTAATATGTGCTTTGGTCTAGAAAACATGCTTATGTGTTTAGAAAGTCTAAGCGTGACATAAATTGATATCAAGACTATTTTAGATTTTTTTTGAGTACTTTATTAATGATTTAAGGAATCAATTAAGAAATACAAACATTTTTTTATCAGTATTTACTATTTACTGATTTAGGCATAATTCAGATGACGAAAAAACGAAATTTTGCCTCTTCTCACAAAAATATCGATTTTCTTGCTTTAACGAAAATTTGAGATATTGAATTAATCCGGAAACAAGATCGTCGTCCCCAATGAAAACATTCTACATGGTGGTGGATTGTAATTGTGTCGATATTATATTAAATCAATATAAAAGTTTGTTGGTAGTAGTAAATTAGCAAAAGTTTGAGGCATATGTTTTTTGCTTTTTTTTTTGAACAAAAAATGTTTTTTTTTTTCTTTTTATACTTGTTCGTTTTGAATCAATTATATTGTTACGATTTTTCATAGAGAATGAGATCAAATTAACTAAACACAGTTAGTTCAATAGAGGAAAAAAAACCAAAAATAATCTGAACAAAATGCATAGTACGCTTTCATACATCAAAAGGTAACTTGTTTACTGCAGCTTTGATAATGACCAAGTAAAATTTATCTCTGACCGAGTACTACTAAACTCGGATAACATCAAAAGGTAACTTTATACTCTCCACATCCCAAAAACATTACTAATCTTAGATAACATCAAAAGGTAATTATACATTTTCCATGTCCTAAAGACAGAGAATATAAATCTAATTTAAAATCTCATAGAAATTTGAGACATTTCAGCGAAAAGCAACATAAAATGAAACAAAAACAAAGAAATTTTGAAGGCGGCGCATGATTGAGGTTTTACATAGATATAAATACTTTTAAAGACGGTTTTACATGGACCTAAAAAATATACTTTTTCAGTAATGGTTTCAAAACTGTAAAATAATATCTCTTATTTTATCTGTGATAATTTGCCAAATTATCAAAATGGACGTTGGCATCCTCGTCAATAAAGGTTATTACATAATTTAGATTTAGAAAAAAAAAAATATATATATATATATATATATATATATTCATCCATCTCTTACTTAACAAATATTTACTTTATAGGTTGACCAACCTAGGTATATATATTTGTCTAGGTTTTTCTTTTCGAATAGTAGAAGCCGGTTTCGAATTTTTGTTTATATGATTAAAAGAAAAAAAAGCTTATATGGTTTTGCTTTATATACAATTTGTTTAAAATATAGAAAAATTATTCTCTTAATTCAGTTCTGGTTTTTGAATTTAATTCTATAAATACATAATTTGTTCACATATGGAAAAGAAGAGGGATTTATTTCTTAGATGAGTTACCAAATTGGACACCCTTATAAATTTTATTCTCTTAAACCTAATATATTTTCTATTATAAGTAATTAATAAGGGATAATAAAGAACTTGTTGGGATGTTCAGAATCGGTGGTGGCAATGGTGAACAGCCTGTGTTTAGGAATTAATAATTTTGGATCTCCCCATACAGATAGAAGCCCTAACGACCACTACGACAATCGTCTCAACAGATCGGTCGCCACTCTTCAACGAGTTTATTTCAAAGACTTGGATCGGAAATGCAACGGTGGCCGCCGTCATTATACTCGTGATGATAACATTGATTGGAACTTGGCTTCCGTTCTTCAAGTGACCCATAACGACAATAATTCCACTAAGTCACTGTCGCCTCAACCTTTGGCTAGGAAACCCTAGATTATTTTTCGCTATACACGAATGACAAAACTATATTTGCTTATTCCGTGTCTTATTCAGTTGTGAAAAAGAATTCAAAAGTAATTTTGGGGTGTTGTCTTTGTAAGGAATTTCGAAAATTATGAGTGTAATAATGTTTCTTTTGATAACATTTAATCAATAAAAATAATATATTTAAAGATTCAAACAAACAAATGAACAAATCGAACCACATGGTGGTGGGCGAGTGGTTCTCGTTTGGTTGGAAGGATCGCCCTGTTGGTCTAGGCCAGTGATCGATCCTCCCCAGACGCAGTTTCGCTCTCTCACTCCTGTGGCCACCTGGGAATTTACCTGCGGACTTGCTCAGGCGCCCCAGACCACCAGTTTATCAGGGGGCCCTTAAGTGGAGGCTTAAAAATCCCTGTGACGCGGGCTTAGGCCCAGTGGGCTAGTCAGATCACTGTGTGGTCTGGATACTGGGTTATAAAAAAAAAAAATGAACAAATCGATGAACCCAAACACTGTTGCAAAATATGGCAAACAAAAATGGAAAGTCAAAAGCGCTGAGACATCAACGATGGATTCTATGTAGAGTCCAATAGCATAGGCCCATATATAAGCCCATTTTCCACCGACGTGGTTTAGTTGCTAACTAACTTCACTTGACAAATTTTTGATTGACTATTGGTAAACCAATCAAAACGCACCGTTTCTTCCGATTTGATTTTTTTTTTCTAAAACGAAACATATTAACCAGAGAAAAAATCCTTCATTGAGAAGCAATAAGATCTTTGTAATCTTCTCTGTTCCAAAGCTTCGCGATCGATCTTCAGTGATCAAATCGTAACCAGTAAAAATCGATCATGTCGATGCTCGATTCCTTCTTCAATAAAGGTTTCAAAGCTGCAAAATGGTATCATCCTCTGATTTCATCATCTCTTATGATTATCAATCTAGAAACTAGAAGAAGAATTTCTCTCTGGTTTTTTGTTTTTGTTTGTTACTAATTCTGATTATCAATCATGTGTTGTGGTTTTTTATACAGCAAAACCTTGCTCAAGTTAACGATCCCTAGGATTAAGCTAATCAGGAATAGAAGAGAAGCTCAGATTAAGCAAATGCGTCGTGAAATTGCTAAGCTTCTTGAGACTGGTCAAGAAGCTACTGCTCGAATTCGGGTTTGTTTTTATCCATGGATTTATTGGTTTTTATGATTAGGAACGTTGTTTTAAGTCTTTCGTTTCTTTACTAGGTTGAGCATATTATAAGGGAAGAGAAGATGATGGCTGCTCAAGAGATTCTTGAGCTCTTCTGTGAACTCATCGCTGTTCGTCTTCCGATTATTGAGGCACAAAGGTTTTAACTTTTTTGAAATCTTGGTCTGCCCATTGATGTTGTTCACTTATTTATTCTCTGTGAGAATTATTTGAATTATTGAGGCACAAAGGTTTTAACTTTTTGAAATCTTTGGTCTGCCCATTGATGTTGTTCAGTTGCTTTCTGTTATTCGCTTTAGTGTCCTCTTTGTCTTGCATTTGTTAGTTTTTAAGATGAAGGTTTGGAATGAGTTTGTTATACATGGGAATATTATGTCTTTTGTCTGTTTCTGAATTCTCAATTTAATCATTGTTGCTGAGCTTTTTCTGAATCCTTATTTTTGAAATTTTGTAGGGAATGTCCTTTGGATCTAAAGGAAGCGATATCAAGTGTATGTTTTGCTGCGCCGAGGTGTTCTGATTTGACAGAGCTGCAGCAGGTCCAGATTCTATTTGTTTCCAAGTATGGAAAGGAATTTGTTGCAGCTGCATCTGAGCTTAAGCCGGATTCTGGTGTCAATCGTAAGGTAAATCGGAGTTCATTGGTGGTAGAAGTTGCTTATATGAGACTAGCATGTAGAAACTAAAACAGATGGATGTATCATGTATGCAGCTGAAAAAGAATCTATATGATTACATGTCCATTTGTAGAACTTGTTTTCACTGGTATTCTCTATCTCACCTGCAGACTGAATCGCTAATATTCATTGCGTGGTTCAGTCTAGTAAAAACAAAATATTTGTTCATGTTTTTGTATTTTTCCAAATCAATTTTACAGTTGGTGGAGTTGCTGTCTGTGCGTGCACCTTCCCCAGAAATTAAACTGAAACTTCTCAAGGAAATTGCAGAAGAACATGAACTTGATTGGGACCCTGCTTCTACAGAAACTGATCTCTTCAAATCGCATGAAGATCTCCTTGTCAGTACTTCTCTCTTCGTTTTTCTTTGTTATCTCTTCTCTGCCTACATATAATATGGGTCTGGTCAGAATATGTTAGGTGCTTTATTTGTGTTTGGATCAACCCAGTATTTAAAGTTAGGCACTGAATCTGCAGTTCAAGGTATCTAATTGTTTCTTGAAACTCACATTGAAGATGTTCAAAGTTGGGTGTGCATAATAATGATACCCACATGGTTTTTTCTGTGTCAAAGTTCTTTTTCCCTTCTTGGACCTCTGTTTCCAGATATCCACGGCCTTGGGTTTCTTTTGTCCCTAGTCGTCTCTCTGTCTTTCCTAAATTGTCTTCTTCTTTTCAGGATGGACCAAAACAATTTGGTGGGGGATCTAAGCTGCCGTTACCGGAGGAACAAAATGAAGGGACACATGAGAAGGAGAAATCTGATTCTGACTCAGAGTATGATATATTGGACTTTCCCGAGGTTCCAAATGTCTTGCTGCGACCAACTCCTGGTGCTACCCCTGTAAATGCACCGGATGCAGCGAAATCTGCCAGTTATGAACATACCTCTCATGACTTGCCCTTTGATTCAGAGAAAGCAGGAGTCGAGAAAACAGCTTCTAAAAGAGATGATCATCCTGCAAAAGCGAACAAAACTGTCGTGGAAGGCCAACAATCTTCACCCATTGTGATGGAATCTTTCGAAAGGAAAAATTATTCTCCGCCATCCGTTGATGCAGTAGGGCCCTTCCCTACAAAAGAGAGTGGTGCTTCGAGGGATGCTCCAAGGAAAATATCCGATGGAGATTTGCAGGATGTCTTAACGGCTGCTCAAGCTGCTGCTGACTCAGCGGAACGTGCAGCAGCAGCTGCCCGTTCAGCTGCAAGCCTGGCACAACTCAGAATCAACGAGCTTACCAGGAAGACTTCTGATCAGTCTCCAGAAAGTCCGTCTGAGAACCCTTTCCATGCTCCCTCAATGGGAAACCTTCAATTTGATCATCAGAATTCTTCGGGCAGCAGTAGCGGAGATCTTACAGAGCTCCAGAAAGCAGAAACTTCGTCACTTTTCAACTCTGAGAAGAACAACCAACAGCCACAGAGACACTCTTCAATGGAAAAACCGCAGTTTGATCGTCAGAACTCATCATTTAGTAGCTATGGCGATCATACGCCACAGAGATTCCCTTCAATGGAAAAACCGCAGTTTGATCATCAGAACTCATCAGCCAGCAACTATGACGATCTTACACCACAGAGATTCCTGTCAATGGAGAAACCGCAGTTTGATCATCAGAACTCATCAGCCAGCAACTATGACGATCTTACACCACAGAGATTCCCGTCATTTGAGAAACCGCAGTTTGATCATCAGAACTCCTCAGTCAGCAGCTATGGTGATCTTCCTGATCTCCAAAGACCAGAGACTTCATCGCTTGACAGACTCAGCCCTGACCAGGACCACCAGCAAATGAGACTGCCTTCAATGGAAGATGATCCCTATTATTCATACCCTAATCTGTTCACATCGCAGAAGCCTGATCGCTCTTCTGGCTCTCATTCATTCTCAGACAATACAAGATCTGCTCATGATTCTTGACTCTTACCTCTGCATATGTTATAATGCAAGCTTGGTGTATTTTTCAGTGTGTTTCACTTCTGTTGTTCCTTCTCTAAGCGGAACAAAGAGCTCAAAATGTTTTTTTTTGAACAGCCTTTTCTTCCTCTTTATTCAGTGGAAGACATATGTAATGTATAGAACTTTGTGTACGTGATTATGTTTCATTTAAAGGCCTTGGTTTGCTCAAGAATTGAATTACGATTGCTGTTATGGACGAAGATTGATTAGAGACTACATTTTTTCCACCAAAGAAATAAAAAGAATACAGAGAAGTGATTTTTCTTAACATTTCTCTGTTCTTTCTCGTTTCTGTTAGACAAATTACAATGTCGTTATCTCGGACCAGACAACTCAACAGCATGAAGATTATCCGTAGAATCGAGGATCCAATCGGAGGTGGGGTGAGAAGACAGCTCCACCTCCTGCCTGAGAACTTCTACTTTCTGCCACTCGTCCCATTTCTCAGCTAAACCGTCACCTTCAAGCATTCGAACAACCTCAGACATCTTAGGTCGTTCCATAGGTGAGCTCTGTGTGCAGAGAAGAGCCACTTGTATGAGCTGTTCTACTTCTGCTTCTGTGTAGTTGCTCTGCAGATCAGGATCCACAAGCATCTCCAGTTTCTTCTCTTTCAAAAGCCCTTTCACCTGAGAAGATCAAATGAACAGCTAAATTAGCTTTTTGATAGTAGACAGAGATAGCCAGATGTGCTAAAAGATCTGTGTTATACCCAATCTAGGAGCATAACATCATCGTCATTCGCCAGTCTTGCAAGATCAAAAGCTCTCTGACCTGTAATCAGTTCCAAAAGCATGATCCCATAGCCAAAAACATCGGTTTTCTCCGAAGATTTTCCAGTTGAGAGATACTCAGGAGCAATGTGTCCAATAGTCCCACGCACAGCCGTTGTGACATGTGTATCTTTATAATCCATAAGCCTAGCCAACCCGAAATCGCCTACCACCGCCTCAAATTCCTCGTCCAACAGGATATTAGCAGCTTTCACATCACGGTGAATAATTTTGGGGTCGCAATGATCATGAAGATAAGACAAACCCCTCGCTGATCCTAGCGCGATTTGCTGTCTTATTGGCCAGGCTAGAGGCAACTGCGATGGTGGACGTTCTGTAAACATTTCAAGAAAGCTCACTCATTTGTATCCGAAAGTAAAAAAAATGGTTAAGTTCAAAAACAGCACTTATACATCAAAGTTATCGCAAACCAGCTCCACGAAAAAATATATTATGGAAATCTTTCTACTTTATGACACAAACAGTTGAAATTCCAAGGTTACCTCTCAAACAGGAAGCTACACTTCCGTTAGCCATGTAAGGATAAACAAGCAATCTCTCGGTAGGGGTCATACAAAAACCGCGTAGCCTGAGAAGATTTCTGTGAACGGCCATGCTTATCATCTCCACTTCTGTCTGAAACTGGAGCTCGCCACCTGGGGTACGCTCTTCTTTAAGCCGTTTGACTGCTACAAGTGTTCCATCAGCAAGACGGCCTTTGTAGACTTTTCCAAACCCACCTCGTCCCAAGATGTTCTTATTGCTGAAGCTATCCGTTGCTACTTGAAGTTCCCGTAGAGAGAACCGCTTAAGCTGCCCCAAGTGAACCTCAGGGTCCTCTTCGGCTGCATCACAGAACCGGAAATTGAAGTATTACATGCTAAAGCAATTCTAAAATGAAACAAAGCTTGAATATTGCAGACTCATTGACTAACCAGGAACATCAAAGAAGAATTCTTGAGGTTTTCTTCTACGCCACCAAGCAAAAGCTAAAGCAGGGGCAGCAAATAGCAAAGCAGCACCAGCAGCAACTCCTCCCGCAATGGCTCCAGTAGCACTATACCCACCTTAAATATTTTTTTTACCAAAAATAGTCAACAACCAAAAATTCTACCAGAGATATAGACTATTTTCAATCAAAATCCAGTTAAAATCCTGCAACAACCCTACACAGCTGTCCAGTATGTTTCCAAGCATGAGTGAATGTAAAAGATCTAAACTTTACTGTCTTCTTCATTTCATTACCTGGTGTAGGAACTATGGGAGGTGGTATAAAAGGTGGTGGAGGAGAAAACGGGGGAGATCCAGGGCAAGGACGGCTAGTAACTGGGCCGCATAGATCCAAGTTGTTAGCAAAACTGTGCAGAAGAACACAAATTATGAGGTCAACTGCTAATATTTTCATATCCACTGATAGAAGTAATAGAATTTTGGCAATGTAGTATGTCTATTGAGTAAATTTACTTAAAAGTTAAGATGATCAAACGAAACTTGGGTTCAGAGTTTGAATATTATAGCATCTAGTGCTTGATCCTAACTTATTAGATATCTTTAATCTAGTATGCAGAGCATAAAGAATTAAAGAAGTCTATAGCCTCGATTCCATAATGCGAGTGATTAATGTTTGACAGTATGGATTCAATCAAACCTGATGGGAGTGAAGAGCGAGAAGGAACCATTATCAGGAACAGATCCAGACAATCGGTTGTTCGACAGATCCCTGCATTTTGCAAGATAATAAGGAAGACTCAGGGGATCCATTAAGAGTGAGAAGTTCAGAAGAGCAGAAAGTGAAATTGAATTAGTGATACTCACAAAACTTGAAGAGACGTGATATTAGTCAATGACATGGGAATTGGTCCGGTGAGACTGTTATTGTTGAGCCGACTATCCTTGCAACAAAAACTCATACCACATTACCATCTTCCCATACCAGAGTTCAATCGAACAAGTTTATTAAGTGTTTTAAAAGACAAAGCAACTTTTTCTACCGCTACTCAAATGTGAAAATGCCCAACAAGTAATGACTTTGTTGTAGTAAGACAGATAAGCTTTAGGATAACTATTAGAGCTAGAAACTATAAATATTACAAATCAGCATGTTAGATCGCATGCATTTGGTAGTTTATTGTTATAAGTAACTCCCAAAAGGGCCAAAAGGTTTCTAAGTAAATATCTAATGTAGCCAGTGCATGATGAGAGAAGAGCAGACTAAGTGTTCTTACAGAAAGCGAAGCTTGAATAGCTTTCCCAGAGAGTCTGGAATTGGACCAGTGAATCTGTTTAGGTAAAGATCCAAGCTCACTAAGTTTGTCAGATTCCCAAGATCACTTGGAACCGGCCCGGTTATGTTATTACTATAAAGCTCCCTGCATTAAGAGTATCATATCTTCATAAGAAAGTTACAATGACCAACGCCGATTGAAGAAGTCCTAATGAAGATAACAAAACTAAATTCTGTGTAAACGACATTTCGGCTATCAGGTATGAGAAATTACAATTCTCTGGGAAACAAGTAGTTACACAGAGTCAATTCCATTGAGTCTCAATTAAAATTCCATTTTTGAAGGTAAAGCAAAAGCTTACAAGTACTGCAAGTTCTTGAGCTGGCCAAGCTGAGGAACCAATTGACCAGACAAGTCTGCATTCCCGAGATCGCTGAAGAAGCAACAACAAACAAGATTAAATAAGCTATAATCAAGACACCGGTGGGGGTCAGGCGTACGCAGAGAGACACTCACACTCTTATAACACTGTTATCATTGTTGCACGTTACATGAAACCAAGTACACGGATTAACAAGCGTAGGATCCCAGCTTTGCAAGACATTATTTGGATCAACTAGATTAGCTCTCAAACTGTGCAGTGCATCACCTGTTAACATACAAAGCAAAAGCCTAAGCCTTTCACAAAGAGAAAACACTTACCAAACAAACTAAACAACAAACAGTTTTAGTTCCAAAAGCATTGAATATTTCTTCAGTCCTAGTTCTTAATGTGTTTGCTAGTGACATAAATATAGTTTCCAATTAACATGTCGTAATCAAAGAAATAGCATTGAATCAAACAGTAAATCAATTGTGAATTTGTAAAGGAGCCTAACAATAGATTATGAACAAAACTCTCTATAAAAATTAAAACTTTCAAACAGAATCAGATTCTGAAAAAGTCCTTTTTGAAGAACAGTGACATTGCCAGATGAAAATTTCTATTCTCATGTACCACTAAAACAGGCAAAAAGTACTTGCATAAATAATAAATAAAGATAAGAGAATAGTAACAAACCTTCCATGTTAGAAGAGGCAAGCCATAATGAATTAAACAGAAAAACCAACGAGATTAAGCAGACAAGACCAAAAGCTTCAAACTTTTTTCTCCCCATTTCGAAAAAACCAAAAATCTCTCCTCTCAGATCCAAGCAAGACCCATTAAAACCCTCCAAAAGGATAAAAAAACCTAACTTTACAATCAAACACAAACCATGATCTCTCCAAAGTTCAGAGCTTTGAGATAGAGAAAGAGAGAGAAGTTACACTTGATGAAAATTACTCTCATTAATGACAACCGAGAAAAATGCCAAAGGGAAAACACAAGTGGTAACAGCTACAACAGAGAAGTGAAAAAGGTGTGAGATTTTTTTATGGGTTTTGTAGCAAAAAACGATTTAAAGCACAAAAAAAAAACCATTTTTCAAAACTTTTTGTTGCTTTTCAGAGCAAAAAGGTTTGGACTTTCTTTCTCCATTCTTATTAATGAATGAGTTTTGTGTTCTGTGGTTCTCTTTCAACAGCCGTCTCTCTCTCTCTAAAAGCCTAGTCTACTCACTACAAAAGTGATGGGCTCAATTTTAGTCTCTGTCTTAATGGAGCGTGATTGTACCAGTGGAGAGAGAGAAAGGAAGAGAGAAACAACCAAACACTACCTTTGAAATCAAAGTACAATCACATTTTTTTTGGTTTTAAATCTTTTCTTTCTTTGTCAACTTGTTAATTGTTCTCACAAGTCACAACTATGGAAAAGAAAAAAAATTAGAATCATTACTTTTGCTTACAAAAAAGGAAGAGAAACTATAATCGTAATTTTTTAATTGAATAACTTACAAAAACAACAATGAATAACATGGTATTTAAGAGAAATAACAAGGTAGTTTATAACCCAATAGACAAAATTGTATTTTGGCGATTTTGGATGGTTGTATCATTTTCGAATTTTGTTCTTTTTTTTATTACTGGACAAAAAAATAAATTTCATAATGTGTTATTTTCTTTATGAACATATAATTGTTGAAATTAAGTTTTTATATGGTTTACTTTATATAATATATTTACTATAGTCTCGTGGGTCAATTTTAAGGGTTCGAATAGTTGCGGTAGTTAGGGCAGACAAATTCGTTTGCGGTTTGAACTGCTTTTTATTTATCATTCATAAATTATAATCTGTAGTAGTGCGGATTGAAAAAAGTAGAACTAATTCGTGATGGACTAACTACGGACCGCTTTTACGTAGAAATAAACCTTTTTTTTCTTAGAAATAAACTTGGTCCGCAGCGGTTTGTTCTCCGCTATAAAAATAGAGTGGTTTAGTCCGTTAGCGGTTTAGTCCGTTTTGCCCACATCATCCATTCAAAACCTAAGAGTATTTTGACCTAACTTTTGTGAATGTGGCAGAATGATCAAACAAGTAGCAAGTAACACGATATCCTTCAACCGGCTTTTGTAGTCTTTGATGAAGATTCATATTGGATAAGTTGTTCCTACCTTTTAAATTTTGGCCTACTCTTTTTGTTGGGTTATCGCTTGCGCTTTCTTGGTTGTGTTTTTGTTCGAATTTTTTTCATTTTGCTTTTTAGTTTTTCGGTCTATCCACTACTAGTTTATCTTTGGCTTTGATTTTTTTCGGTCTATCCGCTACTAGTTTTATCTTTGGCTTTGATTGGATGATGTGGAAAAAGCGCACTAAACCGTGAACGGACTAAACCATTTTATTTTTAGAGCGGACAACAAACCGCCGCAGACCAAATCTTTTTCTACGTAAAACGGTCGTAGTTAGTCCGCCGCTGATTTTTTCTATTTTTTAATTCGTACTACTACGGATTATAGTTTATGAATGATAAACAAAAAGCGGTCCAAACCGCAAACGGATTTGTCCGCCCTAACCGCCGTAACAATTTGAACTCTTTGTATCTTTTATCAAAAGTTTCAAAAATTGTATAAAAAATTTGGCGTACTTTTTTTTTTTTTTTGACATCTTTGGATCGACAAGGCCCGATCCATAGTCAATCCCTACTACGCGGGGTAACGCGACTTAGTGGAGTCGAACTCCGGTGGAGAAGGCGGAGTCAAATGGACTTAACCACTTGACTAAAGACACACCCCCATTTAGGGTACTCTTAAGATAATCATATTTTCATATTTTGAAAATATCTGGATTCATACTCATTATGAGCTTTATGAATTTAAAATTAATCATTACCCTTTTCCACGTATCAAGAAGAATAGATAAAGATCAAACCGGTTAGTTACTCCATGTATTGGGAAAATAAAAAATATAAAGTTGAAGGTGTTATGTAGGCTATAAAGCAAGTAAAAACGTTGCATATAATTGTCCTCATGCTCACTTGTTCATGTGCTCAAGGAGCTCAAAGATTACCTTATCGACCATCATTATACAAAGAAAATACGTAAAAAGTATTAGAGTGCTTCGTATAAATCTAACCTGACCAACATGACATCATAAAACATTAAAAAGTAAGAAATTTTGCATAGAAATTTGAAAACGACATCCAATTCAAAAAAATAAAAATCCTAAAACGACAATTATTAAAATACGGAGGGAGTAATTGTTTTTCTCCCATTTGTGTATATTTAATATGAAGATACAAAATGCAAATAGACTGTTTTCATTTTAAATACTTTTGTTTTGTTGGGTTAATTAATTGTAAGCCAAGTGCAAATAGAATGTAAAGGTATACAGGTATTTTTACATTCATATTTTGATCTGTCTAGCTAGAGACTTGATAGAGTTAAGTTAACATTTTGGAAGGCCAAATTTCAATCTAATAACGTAAGGAACAATGAATCAGTAGAATTATCATATATAAAAATTTAATTCATTCTCCTATTCTACTCTTACCAATTAAAAGCATCGACACAACAAAGCTAATCTGAGCTCTTTTTTCACCGGCCGGAGAGAAAAACCGGTTCAAGGTTATTATCAATCGACTCTTTCACAGCATCAACAATGAAACAATGGCTAGAAAGCCACTTTTTGGAAAAAAAAATGCTGGAATGCCACCCTCGTATTTCCATTTTCTTTTACAATTTTTTTTAAACTCAAAAACTAAGGAAATGCCCAAAAACCCTTTCAAAAGATTACAATTACAAAACCTAACCTGAACTTTACTATCTCAACAATCAAACACTCTCAATCGATCTCCAATTATTCCCTCAGAAAACCATCACAACCATGGCTACTTCTCTCCGCACAACCACCGCTGCTTCTCGTCTCCTCTGCTCCTTCTCGTCTCCTCCGCTCTTCCTCCTCTTCCATATCCACACTCGCTCTCTCCGCTTCATCTTCTCTCTACTTTGCCAGATCTCTCGTCTCTTCTCCACTTCTCTATTCTTCATCTCTCTCTCAGGTATGTCTCACTCTCTCTTCTAGATCTTAGCCCTGCTTTAAGTATATCTTGTCATTCTATAATTTTGCGACCTAATTTGATCCATATCTGCTGCAATTTAGAAGAGACATCGAATTGCGTCTGTGAATCGGAGCTTTAACTTAGTTGCCGGTACGAAATATTCAGTTTGAGATCAGTTGAAAAATGCTAGAGAAGATATCAAAGAGCTGCTCAATTTCAAATTCTGCCATCCAATTTTGTGTCTCTTTTAAAAAAAAATTTCTTCTCTGATTCCTAAGAAATTGCTACGTTTTATTGATGTTGATAGTATGTTTGTGTTGTGTTTCAATCATAGGTTTGGTAAGGGTGGCATGATGCTGGAACGTTTAACAAGTACATCAAGGAATGTCCATAGAGAGGTGGAGCTAATGCAAGTCTCATATTTGAGATTGTGCTTGAACATGCTGCTAATGTCGGTAATATAGCTTTATACCATATGTGTTAGCATCTTTTTACATATGTTTGTTTCGTTTGTTTGTTATAAGCTTTGTTTGTTATTTTTTTTAGGTTTTGTAAATGCTTTAAACTTGATTAAGGATATCAAAGAAAAATACTCTTGGTCAATGATTCATTGTTTCTGATACGTATAGGAAGTATGATACTTTTTAGTGTGAATTTGTTGGTTATGAAGTTTTTGTTTCTGACCCGAGGAAGTAGATTACATTAGTTTCTGGATGGGATTTGATCCGTGTGAAAATCTCTTAAGCACTCAGTAGGAATCAAGAAGTCATGACTAAGTCCCATTCATGCTTGTCTTACGCTATGATATTGCCCTCCATGTCACAAAATTGTTGCATTTTGGGTTTCCAAAGCTACCATTCTGCTCTTTAAAATTCAGCCTAGCCGCCAGCAATGGTTTCACTTTTTCCCTTAGTCTAGGACCTTTGTCTAGGCTTCTTGTTTCATTCCTTCATCTGCTTGAATTGGCTGGTTTTGGCTTTGCAGTGTTGCTCTGTCAAATATAGAGAAGAAGTGGAAGGAAGAGCTTGATCAAGAACTGGAAAGAAAGCGCACAAGTCAAGTCTTTTTGTGACAAAATCATGATTTGCATTTCCAGGATTGCACATAACTTATGTTTTTGTATTTCATTTCTGTATTTGTTGTGTTGTGGATTAAGAACATATGACTTCATGTTTTTATAAACCAAAAAAATATTTAGATTATATTTATGTTCAATTGATTTTGTAAGTACAACTGGTCTGTTTACGTACAACTACGTGTATGTGTTACATAGAAGAAAGTACAATTAGATCACTTAGGTACAACTGAAACAATTAAAAATAAATTTTTTTTAAAAAAATTTTAACAAAAATTGGTATTAAAAAATATTAAACATCTTACCAAATTTTTTTTTTTAAAATGGTCCACGTAAGCATGATTTTGACGGCGGAATATTAATAAAAAATTGGACCGTGTGGTAAAGTGGGCCAATGACAGCAGGATATTAATAAAAAAATTGTTCATTTTAAACATAGTTGTACTAGTTGTACAGTTGTACTCTTATATTCATAGTTGGACTTTAGCGATTTTTGTGTATTTCCAGTTGAACTTTAATGAAAATTAGTAATTTATAGTTGGACATATGATGTTACACTATTAATTATCATTTAGAATGTTTTCATAATACAATGTTCAGAAAAACTTGGTTTTCACCTCTTTTGCTTCATATGAGGCGATCTTGTACAAAATCTTCCTTATACTAGAAGGAGTGTTTTCTATGAAAAAACAAAATTTGTTACAAAATTTATAAATTATAGTTGTATTGATTTTAAATACTTTATTTATATTTGAAGATGTTTTAAGGGAATTTCTTATATAAATCTTAATTTATAACTTAATAATTTAATAAAAAAATACAAATTTGATGTACCTAGTTGAACTAGTTGAACTAATAGTATGTATTAAAAAATGATAACTCTAATTTATAGTTCAAGATATTTTTGGAATCGTTATTAACTCTAATTTATCGTTTTCATATTTGTTGTATAGAACTATGTATACATTTATGGTCTTAGTTGTACTCAGTCGAACCTAGTTGTACAAATACAACGAATTAAAATACAGATATGTTCTTAGTTGTACCAGTGGAACCTAGTTATATAAATTCGACAAATAATGATACATGTTTTATTAATAATAACTTTGCATATAAAACATATAGATCAGTGACAGCAGCGGCAGATCGGAAGTGGTGGTGCCGTTCAGCAAAATCAGGAGTTCGGAGACATATTCAGGTCGAACCACAGCTGCTACAGTTGATAGTCCGTCTACTATGGTTGATTCTTCCGCCGTCGTGTTCTTTATCGGCTCCGGCGTCAACGCAAAGCTCCGGTCTCGCCGTGTCCAAGAAAAACACTTGGCGAGAGAATCTGAATCCCACGGCGAAGAGCATAGAGATGCTATTCTTGACTTCGAGGGGAGCCGGTGAGTGAAATGAAAGACGAGAATCGCGAAAAGTTTAGGATTAAAAGATCTAAAGATAGTTGTGGGAAAGATCTCTGTGGGAAATGTCTCAGATTTGGATATAAGGGAAAAATCTTGAGAGAAAAGAATTGAAAAACAGAAAAAGAGACAGATCCAAAGAAAATGATTCATGAAGAAGGGTCATCGAGAAGCAGAGAGATCCCGGCGCCGGCGAGTCTCTACCGGCACCGGAAAACATAGATGGAGAGTTGGTCTCGAGAATGGTGCCTGGGAGAGTCTCGGGGCTACTTCAATTCTGTATCCTGAGTGGCGTAATTGATCCTTCGTTGATTATAATCGCAATTGGATCTATTTCCATGTTATTCTCAAACAGATGAGAATTTCACGGAGACTGAAGTTTTACTTACTGTTAAATCTTTCAAATCAGATACGTAGATGCATTGAAGAGGAGATCGAAACGGGGAAGAGAGGAAGAGGAAGAAGAAGAAGAATAAAGCCTCTCTCTTTTTCTCTCTCTCGTTGATCGGAGCAAACAAAGAAACGACAACGTTTAGTTGGTAGCTTAGAGAGTATCAACCAATGTGCACGTGCCATAAGTGTGACCTCCGTGACCCTTTTAACGGCTCTGAATCGGGAATTTTTGAATTATTGATTTGTTAAACTTTCTTGATGATTCAGAGGGTTTCCAGGGGTAAAATCGAATTATCATATTAGTAGTGGCATACAGACTCCAAAATGGCAGGCCTGATTAAAATTTCCGGTTCAGTGGCAAACTAGCCTCTGTCTCATCAACAATCAGCTGCGTCTTCCGGCTAATGCTCAACCAAAACCCATCCGGTTTAGCTCCTCTGTTTTTGATTTCTCCAACCAACCGAGCAAACTCTATAACCATACACGCCTCTTGTGGAAGCTCAGTCATAACTTTATGCTCACTAACACAACCTCTACCACTCGTAGTAAACGCAGTCTCGGTTTCCCGATACGGTATAACAAAATCATGAACACGAAGAGTACCTTTCGTACCAATCGCAGTTATCTCCATAGTTAAATTCGCCAAAAAAGAACAGTACATCGTTGCACTTATCCCATCTTCCCAATCAAACAACGCACCACAAGAAAGAACAATTCCCGCATCGTTTAACACACAACCGGGTAAAGCAGTAACGGTTTTCGGAAGTTTAAAGTCGTTAGCAAGAAGAATCGCTTGGATCGTATACCATCCAGCATCACCAAGAGCTCCAAGCCCATCAAGACCAGGCTTTACACGAATATCATGTTTTAAAAAATCATCATTCGCAGCAAATGAGAAACAACAATGTACCTGCATAAGACCATCGCTCTATACTCAAAATTTCAAGAAACAAGATTAAGTTCTTGATAACATAGACACTTACAGATTTAATCTGACCAAAACTCTCTAAATCGTTGACAAATTCCTTAATCTTATACGTTCTAGGATTATGCATCCACTGAGTTCCATCCATAAATTGAACACCATTAACCTCACAAGCTTCAACGATCTGATCAAACTCAGATACGTTTAAAGCAACAGGCTTATCAAGGAGTATATGCTTACCCTTGCGAGCGGCGCGTGTAGCCCACTCGACGTGGAGGCGAGTGGGGATAGGAAAATAGACGGCGTCAACGTCGGGGTCTTCTAGAAGTGATTCGTAGGAGATGTGAATCTTTGTATTCGGAGGGAAATTGTTGGATTTAGTAAATGATTTTGCTTCTTCGATGGAGCTTGTGGTGGCTATGGCGGAGATTGTAGCGTTTGGAGAGAGGTTTATGGCTCGAGAGAGTTTGCGGACTATGTTTGTGCAGGTTAAGAGTCCGAATCGGATCTGGTTATCGCCGGACATTGGCTTGAATTGTTTTGATCCGGTAAGAGAAGGGAGAGAGTGAAGAAGAAGAAGACTTGGTCACTTTTTTTTTTTTTTTTTTTTTGTCACGGGTAAGACTTGGTCACTTTATTTTCTCTTTGGGTCTTTTGCAAAAGTAACCACTTTTGATAAACTATTTAAACATATAGCACCATAATGTTATAAATTAAGTAAGTAACACAACTAAAGAAGGAAATGTCTAAGTCCTTCACATTTGTGCTTTTGGACGAGCGCGTGAGGAGTGAAAAACGTGGGCTGACGTAGTGACGGTGGCAGGGATCGTGATGGTGATGGCCGCAATGGCGACGGTGACAGTAGCGGTGGTCTTTCACACTCTTTTTGGTGATGATGATGATGATGATGGCGGTGGTTGTTGTTGCCGTGGTGATGGCGAGTGGCGACTTTAACTCCATTATCTTCATCATCATCTATTCATCTTCAACGATAGTTTACAGCGTAATATGAGAAGAAGCATCCAATTCCAGAATCACAAACTTTCATTATCTAATTAGGGACCATTCTAATTAATATCAAACAATGTAGAATCATCACCAAAATAGTATACTATTTATCTAAAGTCAACAGCGACTCTAATTTTACGGGGTGTGGGAGTTGAAGTTACAGCGGAGGAGTCGTGATGGTGAAAGTGACGCAGAGATGGAGCCTGCGAGTTGGATTGCTATGAGGCCCTCTGTCTCTGATCATGGCCAGGCCAACTAGGAAAAAGAAGAAATTTGAAGTGACCCTAATTAGATTGAATCAAAAAATTGGGTTCAATCTAATCGAAAATCAATTGAATCAGAAGAAGCACAATCCAAATTCATGAAAGAGAACTCTGAAAAATTCTCGTAGATGAAGTCATGAAGATGAATGAGAAAGGAAGAAAACAAAAAGGAGACGGAAAAAAAGCGTGAAGTTTACAGTTTTTACACCGAGGACAAAATTGTCATAAATACAAAAAATACAGAGAATATCAACTGGTTTTTTGTTTGATGTTAATTTCTTAATTTATAAATTTTTTAAAGTTATTCATGCAAATTTCCCTTTCTCTTTTTATGTTTTAAATCTTTTTTTTTTTTTAATTTTGAAGATGTTGATATTAAGTATTAATTAAGGTTTGCGCGTTCGGATATTCGGTTCCGATTCTTTCGGTTCTAGAGTTTAGAAAAAGAATCAAAATAATTTTGGTTCGGTTTTGGTTATTTCGGTTTTAAAATTTAGGATTCATTCAGATATTTTCAGGTATTCAAATATCTTCGAGAATTTTTCGGATATTTTTAGTATTTTTGTAATATTTTTTAGTATTTCGGATATTTTTGGTTATTCGATAAAAAGTAACTAATATTTTTTGATATATAATCAAATTTCAGATATTTTCGATTCGGTCGGGTTCGGTTCCGATTCTTTTAGTTCTATAATTTAAAATCCATTTGAATATTTCAAAATTTCGGTTCCGATTCAATTCTTTTTTTTAATTTCGGTTCGGTTCTTTCGGTTTGGTTATTTTGCCCTGACCTAATGTCAACCATTTGTTTTGCAAATAATTTCTATATTTAATTGTTAAAATATGCATCTGAAATTCTAAGAATTTACTTTTTACTTTTTATATTGGACTAGATTCATTTCAATGAAAGAGAGCCAAAAAAAAGATCACGTTGTTTAAATTTAGATTTATGGAAAAAAAAAAGAGAAGAGAAAACAGATTTTGTTTCTAATTCTTTTCTCACGTATACATAGAAAATTACTCAACGATCAGCGCGTAACAAACACCTAATAATTCATTTTCTTAAGTCGCTAAACATTATCCGATGCTATAAAATTCGACATGATTTGTATTGTAGTCGGCAACTAGAAACTTCATTAAAAGAGTGGCGGCGACTAATGGAAGGCAACCGCCTCAGGGATCGATCACTAACAGAGGAAGGAGATAAGCTTTAAGCTTTCTATTGGAAGCTGCCATGAGTAGAACAGAGGAAACTTCGGTTGGTTGCGTCGTCGGAATCTGCTCTCTGGTTTCTCAAGGTTGCAGATTTCTACGGAACCTACTCTCTTTCCTCAGTGGTAACAGTTCCACAAATCGTGATCACAATCACCGTCATCAAGACAACGATCTCCAGATAGCTCAGCCTGAAGCTGCATCTTCGAACACAACCAATTATCTACAACCTCAGACATAGATGAATACAAGAGCTCGAATACACAGAAGCTCTTCAAGATTATGCTTTCATAAAACCAAACCAAGACAGTCTCTGTTGATTCTCGAAACTTATCTTGCGAGGCTTTGTGAATATTGAAACCCAGAAGATAGATATGCGGAAAACAGCAAGGACAATCGAGAAGACAAGAAACACCTTTATCACGAATTATTGTTCTTTTACTCTTTCAAACTCTGTACATATTCAAAGATTCATATTTTAAAATAGGTCAATAATCCCATGAACACTAACATGGATCATGGTTTCTTCTTCTAACTTACCAGTACTTAAAGAGTTCAAGAAAACCACCACTAGTCTTTCAAGAGAAGACGTTTCTACCTGAGACTCGAACTGTGGCTATGAACACCCAGAAGATGGCACACAAGGCACCCACGATTGATAAGAGAAGAAAACCTCTGTTTCTGATACCTTTCTTTGCTATGGTAGTAGTCACTGGCGTTCCATTGAACCTCATACGGCTGAAACTAGACATACGTACAAAGGTTCGGTTAAGAGGACCCTCACACGCAGAGGCTGGCGTTGAAGGTATTGAGTCCATTAATGCCCACAGAGCCGATGAGAACTGGCTTGTTGGTCCACCACCATTTTGGTGTTCCTGGCCTTGGGCATTCACACTCATAGTAGGATTGGTAGAATCGGGCATCACACCTAAGCAAATGAGGAGTATTCACAATGTATCAGTGGAAAGGCTTAGGCTTAAGTTATTACGTTTTAAGGTATTTACAAGAGGGTTTGATAACCGAGGAATAACAACAACCCGAGTATCATATATATACATGTCTTGGTTTAGGTCAAAGACAAATGCAGAAAAGAAATTTGTGCTTAGTGGAAATAGCTTAGCAGAAAACAAAAGGTGAATGCTCCGAGACAAGCATGAGTCTAAGTACCTGATGAGGGTGAAGCAAATGCTCCAGAAAAAGATTGTTGTTGATCAAAGAGAATGGCTTGATCATCTTGGAACCATACATCGTTAGTGAATTGATCGAGGGTTGTACTAGGATCCATGATGTTGTTCAGCTGGTTCTCAGGAGTCTGGTCCTGGAACTGTTGATAAAGGAATTGCTGTTTTTGGTCTGATGTGTTGTTAGCAAAATTACTCGGATAATACAGATCTGTAGAAGTTCCCTGATCAATAGGTTCCATATCCAAAGACATGGAAACATCATGGAACAATTGGTCAAACTCATCAAAATCGCCGAATTCACCATGGTTCGAGAACTGTGCAGCTTTCTCAGTTGAAGAAGCTCCAAGTTCAGGGATCAGAAGATCATCCATTTCAATGTAATCCTCCTTCTCGAACACCAGAGGTGCTATATCAGAGGTCTTGGGAGCTGACGTGACCTCAGCGGTCTCTAATGAGTCAAAACTTGAAGGCCTGTTGTATGGCTGACCGTTTGGCAAGAACTCTCTAGCAGAATTATTCATCAATGTGCTCTGCAGCTCTTCTTCACTATTCACCTGCAAGTACAATCATCAAATTAGTAAGCAAATCAAAACAAAATGAACATGTTCAATAAGGCCTAATCCAAAAGATTCGTAGTAAAACCATCTTCCTCATTTAAAGAGAGAAGAAACTGACCTGAGGAATACATCTTGGAGGAACCCCAGGTGCATTTGGGATTCCATTGAGAAGCTCATCGATATCCTCTAACTGAAGTCTAACAGGATTGAAAAGTCTACCCCCATCCACACGACGATTATCCTCATAACGAACCACAGGTTGCTCCGGTACAGCAATAGCGTTCTCATCTTCATTCTCATCATCAACCCATTCCTCTTCTTGGAATGGAGCACCATACTGTTCACCATTTTTAGGACCAGCCCCACTTTTCTTAAACAACTTATAGAGAGCATAGTAATCCTGAGGGTTCTTACATCTCCCTAATTCATCTTCATCCATAGTATACTCATGCATCACCCAATCAGTCCGCTCACCATTAGGAGCCCGACCTCTATAGAAAACAAGAGTCTTCTTAAGTCCTACCGATCTTGAATTATACTCAATGACTCGATCCTTCCCCGTCGCCTTCCAATACCCAGTTTCAGTTCCTCTACTAGACCTAGCTGCGTTCGGATACTTCCTACTCCTTGGAGTGAAATAGAACCACTGTCTATCTCCCGTCTTCAACATCGATTGACCTGTATCAACAAAACGAAATCAGTTGAAGCATAACGCAAAAGCAAATCGATAACGATCAAAATCAAGCTAATTTGTAAACGAAAGATGAAAATTTTACCAGGCAATTCTTCAGGATCCATTTTATAAACATCAACAACACCGATAACATTAACTCTAAGCCTCTTCCTACAAATCTTCCTCTTAAGATAATACATCACAAGCTCTTCATCAGTCGGATGAAATCGAAAACCTGGAGCACTGAATTTGCCTCCTTTGAAACACGAATCGGGTGAAGAATCCGCCATCTACGTAACAAATCAAAGCCGATCCCTAAAAAGAAATTGAAAATCCCCAGCGAGGAAAAAAGTACCGATCGGGTCAACGAGGGAGAAAATCTTTCTCTCTCAGAAGACTTAAGATCTCTTCTCTTCGTCACTCAAGATCCGGAAGAGAAGATGAATCAAACCTACATGACAGTGAGCAACCGCCGCGATCTAACGAATTGTGAACTCCTAGGGTTTGATCGGCCGGAGAGAGAACAAAAATGGAAAAAACGAGAAATGAGATTTTTTGTGGAGATTGAGGTGTTTTTGGTTGGCTACCAGATGTCTCAGCTTTTTCTGCTGTGAGAACCTACTGGGCTCGAAATACACTTTCTCAAGCCCATTAATGAGAGAGGCCCATTATTGTAATTGTTTTTTCAAATATATTTGTTTTTTTTTTCTGAACGTTTAAATTTTGTAAAATCATAGTGGCCGATTCGTAAGGACTTTTACTATAATTTTTTACTGTAGGCTTTTGGTTGTAGAGAATTTGGCCGATTGGTGAAGTCTACAATAGGTTTTTACTGTAGGCTTTTATAACTTTAAAATATTTATAAAAGATTGATTGGTAACAACAACTGTAGAAGCGGTGATTTTAAATATTTATAAAAGTTTGATTGGTAACAAAAACTGTAGAAGCTGTGACTATTATCTTAATATATATATTTTTTAATTATATCAACATAATTTATTTTATTAATAATGAAAATTTAGAACAAAATTACAGAAACAAATAGATAAATATAAATATTCTAGATGAATAAATTTATTCATATTTATTATTTCAGCCGAAATTTAATACCCAAAAATATCGGTAAAAAGTAGGACAAATTTATAAAAATTTGGGTGAAGTTGTAGAGCTTCGAGATCTTTATAATACATGTTTAACTGCTTTTTCAAAACATTTAAAAGGTGTTTCAGTTATTTCCACTCCAAATTAACTCCAAATCGATCGTTAATATTCTGAATAATATTTTCTTTCTGGATAGGACTTAATGCTAATCTTCCATTGCTACCCTGATTTTGTTTCTCCATAATCAGATAGAATAATCTTGTGCGGGTTTGTACGTAAGAAGAGGACAAGAGAGAGATTAATTAAAACATGTATAGTCTCCAAAAAGTGCCATTTTCGAGACTTTTGAAATAAACAAGGAAAAGAAAAAGAAAAGAGTAGTTACACTGTAGCGACTTTTAAAAATATAAAAATAGTAAAAGCACGATTGGATGAAAATAGACTGTTAATGCTGTGATGTCAAATGGGCTTCGTGACCATGGGCAAGATCAGTCCAAATTATAATGGTCCGGATTTGGTCGCGCCCAAATTCGAAGCGGTCAATATGGGCTAGAAGCCCTTATGGTCCACAAACAAATGGGCCAAATCCATCTGGACATGGACCGTCCAATAAGCCTCAAAAATTAGGGTTACTAATTTGGAGATTTTTTTTTCTTTATTTTTTTTTAAATTAGTGTAATATTTCTACAGTTTTGGCGGAAAAATGTGATTTTACGTTTTGGCGGAAAAATGCAATTCTTCGATTTTGAGAGAAAATGTGCTTTTGCGGTTTTGGCGGAAAATAGAAAATCATATTATTTGGGCCCCATGGGCTGTCCAGTTGGTCATGGTCTTATTTGGGTTTGGTCTTAATTGGACACGGTCCTATTTGGGCTTATACTATCATGGTCCTATTTGGTCTTGGTCCCATTTGGACAGACCCATTTGGACCTGGACAGCCCAATTGACATCCCTAGTCGGGAAGGGGTCCACTTAGGGAAGAAGAGAAGTTGCACATACGAGAGAAGTACTTGAGAAAATATCTAGGAAACAGACCCAAAAGTCAGATAGCCGAAGCTCCCTCCATCAGATGTGAACTATGCTATCATCTTCTCCCATTGCACAAGAAACCTGAGAAGTTGCAATGTCGATGTTCTTACATGATTGATCTGACATCAGCCACACCTCTAACACCTCAATTTTGTTCTAGGCAAAAATCTCTTTTTGTTTCTTAGCTAATTTACTACCTCAATTTTGTCTTTGCACAAATTGACGCTATATTTTATCTAATCAACCTCTAAAACTGAAATGACCTTAGTGCCTATAAGACATCAACAAAGAAACAAGATATTCTAGTATTATATGTTCTTAGATTATGTATTAATTTTGATTAAAAAAATATTATGTAAATGAGAAATACCCTAAATATCAATAAAACAAGTTTTATGGACAATTATAGTACACATTCCATAAATTTCCAAAATTAGCATTAGTAAGTTTACACAATAACTATTTTACCAATATTTAATTATGTAAAATAATAAAATTAATTACAATTTGAAATCACGATTAAAATACAATCGCGTGAAACGTCAATCAAATGCTTATATTAGTCTTTTTAATATTAAATTTGTGCTATTTTGGAACTTTGGAGATTGTGTGCTAAATTTGGCAACAAAACTTAATTTTCTGCTATTTGTGAGAAATTAATTAATTTTTAAAAAAAAATTTATCTCTTAATGATACACTAATTTTCTAATTGGTCAATATGTTAAAATTGTTGGAGAAAAATATAAATTTCATCAAAAATCTCATTGCAATTTGCAAATAGGGGTTTTTTTTTTCTATCATCTATCACTTCAGGTGGCCACACAAACTGGACAACACCTTTGACTTAAAACTTAAAAGTTGACAATCTTCAAATTCTTGTCAGACACGCAAGAGGTTCAATCAGTTTTTTATATTAGGTTTTAGGGGATGAATGGTGGAGACCTAGGCAACCAGGGCATGAGCGAGCCTCTATTACCAACCGATGCACCGCAGTCACATCTACTTAGGGTTTGCTCTCAAGTTTCACTTAGGGGTTTCTGTTTTTCTTTGGTGGGTTCTCTCTAAGCATTTTTCTTTTAGGTCCAAAATATGCTTCAGTCGTGAGAACACCGGAGATTACGCTTAAGGGCCAATCCATATAGTCTTTTCTCTTCACCTGAGATTTAACTTCTCTCCTAAGGCTGCTTAATATGATAAGCCATAAGATATGCAATCAAAAGCATCAGAAAATCCAGAAGAAAAAAAAAACCCTTTTGTTAAAAATTTAAGCTCTTTCAAACTCTATACATAATCAAAGATTCATATGATCACTAATGAGGATCATGCTTTCTTCTAACTTATCCTGCATCAAGAGTCTAGGTCATGACAAGACAGGTCTTCCCAAAACTCCAACTGTGGCTATGAACACCCAGAAGATGGCACACAAAGCACCCATAATTGATAACAGAAGAAAACCTCTGTTACTGATACGCTTCTTTGCTACAGTGACTTTTCTACTAGTCACTGAGGTTCCATTGAACCTGATGCGGCTGAAGCTAGACATGCGCACAAAGGTCTGGTTAAGAGGACCCTCACAGGCAGAGGCTGGTGTTGATGGTATTGATTCCAGTAATTCCCACAGAGCTGATGAGAACTGGCTCCTTGTTCCACCACCATTTTGACCTTCCTTGTCTTGGGCATTTACACTCATAGTGGGATTCATAGACTCAGGCATCACACCTAAGCAAATTGGTGTTCACAAAGTATCAGTAAAAAGGCCCTAGGTTATTATGTTTCAAGATCTTAACAAGAGGGTTTGATATTAACAAAAAAACAGAGTATCATATATACATGTCTTGGTTCAATTCAAAAACAAGAGCATCGTGGGAAATAACTTGACAGACAACATAAGTGTGAATCCTCCAAGATGAGCATGAGTTTAAGACTTTAAGTACCTGTTGACTGTGAAGCGAATGCTCCAGAAGAAGATTGTGGTTGAACAAAGAGAGCAGCCTGATCATCTTTAAACCACATATTGTCAGTGAACTGATTAATAGTGGTACTAGGATACATGAAGTTATTCAGCTGGTTCTCAGGGGCCTGGTACTGAAACTGTTGATTAAGGTATTGCTGTCTCTGGTCTGATGTGTTATTAGTAAAATTACTCAGAGAAGACAGATTTGTAGAAGTTCCCTGAAAAACAGGGTCATCCAAAGACACGGGAATGTCATGGAACAATTGGTCATATTCATTAACATCACCAAATTCACCATGGTTCAAGAACTCTGTGGATTTCTCAGTTAGAGAAGCTCCGAGTTCAGGGATCAGAAGATCATCCATTTCAATGTAGTCCTCCTCCTTCTCAAAATCTAGAAGAGGTGCCATACCAGAGGTAGCCTCAAATGAGTTTGCTGACTTCAGTTGGGACTGAAAACTCGAGTGCCTGTTGTATGGCTGGCCATTTGGCAAGAACACTCCAATTTTCCGGGGGTCAAGAAACTCTCCAGAAGAATTATTCAGCAATGTGCTCTGTATCACTTCTGCGCTATTACCCTGCAAGTACAAGTATCCATTTAGTGAAGGAAGCACAACAGAATGAGTAAAGGAACCCAAAAAAAGAAAAAGCCTAAGCCAATATGTTGGTAGAGAAACCATAATCCTCATAGCAAGAGAGAAGAAACTAACCTGCGGAACACCAACAAACTCATTGAATTGTCTTGAGTTAACCCCGGGTGCATCTGGGACTTCATTGAGAAGCTTCTCGATATCCTCTAACTGAAGATTGACAGGACTGCAAAATTTAGTATCATCCACACGACAACTGTTCTCGTAACGGACTACAGGATACTCCGGTGCAGCAACATTATCTGCGTCTTCACTATCACTATCAACCCATTCTTCTTCTTGAAACGGAGCACCATACTGTTCACCATTTTTGGGACCAGCCCCACTTTTCTTGTACAGCTTATAAAGAGCATAATACTCCTGAACAAAAAACGAAGAAAGACAGATTAGTTAACTACAAATAAATCAAGAAGACCAACGGATAAGTTTTGGCTATAATACTACCTTGGCGTTCTTACATCTCCCGAGCTCTTCTTCATCCATCGTATACTCGTGCATCACCCAGTCAGTCCGCTCACCATTAGGAGCCCGACCTCTATAGAAAACAAGAGTCTTTTTAAGTCCAACCGATCTTGAATTGTACTCAATGACTCGATCCTTTCCAGTTGCCTTCCAATACCCAGTAGCAGTACCTCTACTAGACCTAGCTGCGTTTGGATACTTCCTATTCCTTGGAGTGAAAAAGAACCACTGTCGATCTCCCGTCTTCAACATCGATAGACCTGTTGCATTCAATGTGTTAGACAACTAATTCCAACATTGTGAACTATACGAAACAGCGGAAAATGAAATCATTTGAGCATAAATGAGAGTCAAGATCGTCAAAACCATCGATATGAATTCGATAGTGGATAAAAGACGTTTACTTGTCATATACTCAACAAATCATCAACAACCAAAACCAATTGATCAAAGAAACATGAATCAAAATCGAAATCAAGTAACGAAAAAAGGCGATGAAATTACCAGGCAATTCAGAAGGATCGACTTTGTAGACATCAACAACACCAATGGCGTTGATTCTAAGCTTTCTACAACAGATCTTCCTCTTAAGATAATAAACCACAAGCTCTTCATCAGTCGGGTGAAATCGAAAACCTGGAGCGCTAAACTTACCAGCTTTGAAACACGAATCAGGAGAAGACTCAACCATCGATTGGGTCAACGAGAAGTAAACCCTTAAAAAAAACAGAACACACAACCTAAAACCCTCTTTCTCTCTTCGCCTCTTTTAGTGGAGACAACGAGATCAAACTTACATAACAATGGAAGAAACCGCGGCGAGCGAGAATTGATAATTCTAGGGTTTTTGATCGGCGAGAGAGATATAGATAAAGGAGAAAGATTTTGGATTGAGTCAAAAGAATGATTTTGGGATTATTATGTGTCAGCTTTTATTTTCTGACTAACGAAGTTTCCGAGAATCTTACTGGGCTTTTGGAATATACGCCCAAGGGGCCTACATTTATTTATTTATTTGATTTTTAGGATATTTTACCAAACTGATAAAGTTTTATATTCATTAGTAGTTGTTTGTTGTTAGAAAGAAGAAAAGGTTGAAATCCACTCACTACTACTTTTCAAACTTATATCAACATCACATAATCGCATATAATCGTATAAAATAAAATTAGATTATATACTAAAAATTGTAGAATGAAAACTTGGATTATAAAAGTGTAGAATAATTCACTTAAAATTTATGTGATTGAATACGTTGTGTGAGATAACAGAATTTAATATTACATTACTTATATATATATACTAGATATAGACCCGTGCGTTGCACGGGTTGCTGGTCAAAATTATCACTTATTTATTTTAAGTTTAACTAAAATTATATAAACATCTATATTTTGATTTTAGAAATGCAGCATTTTAGTTATTTTTAAATAGATTTATTATGCATAATATAAAACACTATTTGTAGTTGTTTTATACTAATTATTAAATTTTCTAATATAAATGTTGGCCTATTTATCACACCACAGTTACCGGCTCTTTTCTTCTTTCCAACCTGATCTTATTTCTCCTCTTTCTTTATCTTCTCTAGCATCGAGTCGAGCCTCTTTCCGACAACAACTCTAGTCTATGTCCATCGCCGTTCGTAATTCCTTAATTTGGCTCAATCTCCATATATTATTTGGATCTGAATATCACATCCCATTTTTAGAAAACCATTGTAATTCAAAGCGATTTTATATATAAATGACATGATATATTTCTAAAAAATGATAAATAACTTTTACATGATTCATGTTATTTTAAAGTCAATCGATCACCACATCCGTAACCATCAACCACCACCATCGTCACCTCCATTAACAATCACATTCTACTCCTATTTCTTTTAGTATGATATACTATTTTATTAAATGACATTGTTTTTTCTTCTGATTCTAGGTGGATGTCTCTCTTTCGTTGTCAAAATTCCAGTATTGATTTTCTTTATTTTTAGATTTCGTGTTATTAGTGTTTATTTTATTTTTTAAAATCCTAATTACATTTATGTTTTGTCTTTTGTTTGAGGGCTATTTCAACGCTGAAAAACATTAGTTTCTAAAGTTTTTTTTTACTCATGCTTTTACCTTAATTGTTTTTGAGTCAAAAGTTAGTTATTCATATTATCCTAAATATAATTTATGACAAAAAGAGAGGAAAAACTTTACTAATAGAATGAAGTTAAAGAAATGGTGGTGTTTCTAAAGAAATTAGTTTGCTTGGTGAAAAAATATGAGACAATCTATTTGTTTATAAAGAAGTGAGTATTTACAAATTTTTTTCTTATATAATTAATAAATTATATAATTTCCTTAATTTTTTTTTAAAATTTTTTTTTCTTGTATAGTTATAATTTATAAATAAAACGTTTAGCATAATTTTATAATTTCAATTTTTATAGAAAATATACATATAACTTCTTTATATATACGTATAGTCGTAGAGTTTCCTTGTAATAATTTTTTTCTATTATAAAATTCTTTAAATTAATAATTTTGTTATAATTATCTTTTTACAATTTTTAATTAGTTAAAACCATTTTTTGCCACATGGCAAAATGTCTTATGGAAATATAGGTATAATTTCTTTATAGTGATCTTTTTACATTTAATACTATTTAAATTTATAATTATTTTTTTCTTTTTTTTAATTAGTAAAAAGGAAATATTTATTTGACACATGGCAAAATCTAAGATCGATAGATTTGACATGTGTCACGATCACGCGAGTTATTAACTTTGAAAACCATACTTTATATAATAAGATATATATATATATATATATATATATATTTATATTTAGTAATATTTTAGTAAGTTTTAATATATATTATTTAATATTTGATAAAAGTATTGAAAGTATATTAGAAGTGCTTAGAAGTTGTGAAAGTTTTAAATATTATTCTGGAAAGTGACATATTTTTCATTATAAGCAAAAAAAAATCCTACAATTGTTCATTTTTATACGTAAAATAAAGAAAAAAATAATTTATCATGAAATAAACAGTAATACTTCCACTTATTTGCATACTAAATTTTTACTATTATTTCTTAGACGAAAACATAAATCATGCGTTTTACGTTTTGTTAAACATTATGCAAAAATTTGATTAGGACTTCTTGCCGAATTGCATTAGCAAACATCAATTCGTCACAATGTGTGTTACCAAACGAAACTTGTGTTTGAAAAAAAATAAACAACATGTTGAAAGTTTATGGCAAAGTACAAAGAATTTTTGCTTTGCCGTACTATGTTCACCGGGTTCAAGAAGGAAGGGGTTGTGATAGCTCGGCAGAGGGGTAAGCGGCCGATTTCACGGTTGGACACGATTGGTACTTAAAGTGAATATGCCGGATGGACATGTAAATGTTAGTCTAAGGAAACATCAAACAAGCTTAAGTGCAAATCGTCAAGGTAAAGGATAAAGCATACTTGGATATATATATATATATATATATATATATATATATATATATATATATATATATATATATATCATTCAATAAAATGAATAATTACGAAGTTTCCTTCAATATATCATTCAATAAAATCAATATTTATGAAGTTACCTTTTTATCGAGTCAAAAATAATAATCTACAACCCTAAATTTTTTAGTAAAACTTATTAAACAACTTTAGTAGGTTCGTAATTTTTCCACATAAATTAATTTCTTTCGTGTAATATGGTAACTTAATGAGGTCTTAGTCCCTATAAATACATGCCTGTTGTATACATCAAAATCCATCATAAAAAAAAAAAGAAAAATCAAGATCATTGGAGAAACAAAAGGTATTCGTTTAGTAGCTTTAAGCAATATCAAGAACCACTCATAAAATCATTAAACATAGGTTTTATGCTAATTCTTTAAACTTATAATGATATCTTATTGTCTAAGGATTCATAAATTCTAATTTTTTTCTTTTATCTAACATATTAACAATTTTATATTGGGGAAAGGCTTAAAATACTCAAACTTCTTTATTGATATACATTTGTTAAAAGAAAATATGAAGTATATCTTTTCCTTATTTATATATAATGAAAATAATGAATGATTAAACTAATGTTGTCTGCCTGATTTTTAAATCCCAAATTTAAATTTTTTACTCAAAATCATATGAGATATAAAAATGGTTTAATATTTTGTATGGAAAGATAATTATATTTTCCCCGTTAGTAAGTGTAAGCTTAACAAACAAGATTTTGATGCTTTTCTTGCTTTATGATTCATAGAATATCAATCTTTGGAATAAGAGCTAATGGAAAACAATGGAGAATTGAATGCCCAGCCTGAATTATTAGGCATAAGTAAGAATTTTTTTTTTTTTTTTTTAATTTTCAATGTACTTATTTCATATATATGTAAATATAAATTTTTGTTTTATTAGTTGATAGAACCCATACCTATATGTATGAGCAATTGTGGAAAATATGTGCTGGACCTTTGTGCGATCTTCCAAAACCTGGAGAAAAGGTTTATTATTTTCCTCAAGGGCACATTGAGCTCGTGAGTCTCTCTCTCTCCCTATATATAATTTCTCCCTTTTGCTTTCCTGTCTGATTTTTGAAACATTTTTGTGGCAATTTTCAGATTGAAGCATCTACAAAAGATGAGTTGGATAAGATAAGGCCACATTTTGATCTTCCATCTAAGCTTCGATGTTGTGTTGATGATATTCAACTTAAGGTATGTCTCTTAGTATTCCAGGGGATAAACATAAGTTATAATATATTATTTTGTATGTTATATTTCATTGTAGAAATATGTAATTTGTTGCTTGTATTATGTTTATTATTAGATAGACCAAAATACGGATGACGTCTACGCAGAGATTTATTTAATGCCAGATACAACAGTGAGTGACCCCAAAAACGCTAATTTCAAAGTTAATTCTAATTTTTATCAATTTTCTCTAATCGATTTTCTAAAATTGTAAATCTTTAGGACGTTATAACTCCTATTACTACTATGGATAATCAAAGACCAATGGTTTATTCTTTTAGTAAAATTTTAACGGCGTCTGACGCCAACACACATGGTGGATTATCTATTCTTAAGAGACATGCCACTGAATGTCTTCCTCCGCTGGTATTTCTGTTTAGTTTCACTGTTTAATCTCGAATTTAAGTTTCAGTATAATATAATCTACTAAAAAAATTTCTCTAGGATATGTCCCAACCAACGCCTATGCAGCATCTTGTTGCGAAAGATCTCCATGGTCGAGAATGGACATTCAAGCATTCTTTTAGAGGTATTAAATATTTTTCTTCACCAAGAACTGATAAAATTTTGATTAATAACTAATATCCTCTTTTTTGCATGTAGGTACACCGCGGAGACATCTTTTTACCAGTGGCTGGAGCTTATTTGCAACAACAAAAAGATTGATTGCTGGGGATGCTTTTGTATTCCTTAGGTATGTTTTTGTCTTTTTACGTCATCTCTTTTCGTTTTTGGATTTTAGAATTTAAACAATTTTTTTGTTGTTCCAAAACTATTTTCTTTTTGTTCAAGAGGAGAGAATGGGGAGCTAGGAGTTGGTATTAGGCGAGCAAGGCATCAACTAAGCCACAAACCTTCATTAGTAATATCAACACAATGTATGAAAGATGGAGTAATTGCTTCAGTAGTAAATGCTTTTAAAAGCAAATGCAAGTTCATTGTGGTTTATAAGCCAAGGTGATTCAAAACACTACTTATTTTTACATTTATTAGTTTGTCAAAATATCATGATATTAGTTTCTTCAACAAGTATGTTTACATTTTGTTTTTTTTTTGATATAATATTAGTTCAAGTCAATTTGTTGTAAATTATGACAAGTTTGTTGATGCAATGAACAATAAGTTTATTGTTGGTTCGAGATTTAGGATGCGGTTTGAGGGTCAGGATTTTTCTGAAAAAAGGTAAAAGTCTAATCAAAACTTTTTTCTCTGTTTCCAAAAGTTGTTATTTGCATAACACATTTTATTTCATTGACTAAGATACTCTGGGACGATTATTGGTGTACATGACATGTCTCCTTATTGGAAAGATTCGGAATGGCGAAGCCTACAAGTAATATTATGTTCACACTTTCATTACATTCTTTCAAAAATACGTTTTGAGTATGTTCTTGTAGGTGCAATGGGACGAGCTTTCACCATTTCCAAGACCTGATAAGGTTTCACCATGGGAAATCGAGCGTTTAATCCCTTCGCCAAGTATTTCCCAGTCAACTGTACTCCAGAAAAAACGTGCTCGTCAATGTAATGAAATCGGTAAAAGGAAACATTCTTATAATCATTTGTTTAAAAGTTAAAGATTCTTTGTGAATACCTTTCTCATTATAGTTATTTCCATATATAGGTTCAACATCATCGAATCTTTTGACAGGCCAAGAAATTGGACAATCGAGCTTGAGTTCTCCGACGAGTGTTCCTGAGTTTAGTTGTCGCGATGCAGTTGAAGATTCCAAGTTTCCTTCTGATTGGCTAATGAGTGACCTAGTCCCAGCCATACCTAAACCAAACAATAACAACAACCAATTGGTTCAACCAATGAAAGAAAAGATAACAACTGAAGCAACCACTAGTTGCATATTGTTTGGAGTTGATCTGACCAAAGCCTCAAAGACCAAAGATCCCATGGGTCCAATTGAAGCAACCGAAGCAACCACTAGTTGCATACTCTCTCAAGATAAAAAGCTTGACCAAACCCTAACTTGGACATCACCAAAAGAGGTCCAAAGCAGTAAATTCAATTCTACTAGACGTCGTATCAAGGTAAGCATAAAGTCTTTATCTTCGTACTATTTACATATGACCTATTTATAATGTGAAACTAGTGCATTTCAAACAAGCTAAGCATTTGTTTCAAGAAAAAAAAATTATTTTAAGAAATTTTGAGTTCATATACATATTAGGTACTTTAATAATTTTTACACACAAAAATAAATTTGTGTAAAGCTTTCATGAATCTACTCAGCTCACATGATCTTGATGTGGTGTTATCGAACAGGTTCAGATGCTAGGTGTAGTCATTTGCAGAGCTGTGGATTTAACTGCTTTTCATGGATACAATCAGCTGATACAAAAACTAGAAGAACTCTTTGATCTCAAAGACGAGTTACGAAGCCGCAATAAATGGGAAATAGTTTTTACAAACAATGAAGGACATGTGAAGCATGTCGGGGATGATCTATGGCCGTATGTTTTCTCTTTCTTTCTATATATTGAAAACCATGTTAAATATTAAGAGAAAATGTTTGATTTTGAGGGTTATGTGCATGCAGTGAATTCTGCAATATGGCGAAAAAAATACTCATAGGTTCAAAAGAAGAGATAGAAAAAATGAAGTCCCGGAACAAAGTCTCTCAAGCTAAATCAGCAGTTTTAACATCTTCTGACGTACCACCAAACGTCAAAGCAGATTATTAACGTCTCTCATAAAGATAAGAGAGTCTCAGAATTTGTCTTAAAATTTCGTAAAGAAAAAAAACAGTTTTTTGTTTGTTCCGTGATGTAATAAAGGGTTCGAAAATGTAACCCATGTTTTTACAGTGATGTTGTTGTCCTTTGTGTCTCTAATGTGTTTCTTCGTCGTTCATAAATGAAAAATTCTCCTTGTTATCGTCATATTATCTGCTTATCGTTGCTACTACTAATGATTTGAGTACATATAGTCACTAAATTCTGCTTATCGTTTGCCAAACCGAATATTTTGGAGACCTAAAGAAAAAAAAAAAAAGAGAAATCTTTAAAATATAGTTTAAAATTGCCACCCTCTTAATTTTGTAACTTTACCAAAAATCTCTGCAAGAGCAAGAACCATCTTTGAACCTATGAAATCGAACTCGATCCCTAACAATGATCTCTCTCTTATAAATCTTTGAAATATGTTTGAAAACAACGTGACAGTCCCCACAAATTCTCAGGTTGTTTATAACTCTCACCGGACTCTCCTCGTCCGCGCCATCTATCATCATCAGTCCGTAGGCAACCGCCATTTTCTCGCTGTGATAGCACAAAGCGTTCTCTTTTTCTTCCTCTCCAATGTCGTGCAACACAAGTCCCGTCTGTGCTACGTAACCATCCTCCCTTATCTTGAACCTATCCTCATCAACCAAAACATAAGAAAGAAGTAAATCAAAAGCATTAGAATTTGCCAATCTCAGCTGTTAGAACTTGTTCTGTACCTGATCTCGTTGATCTTCTCATAAATCTCTCTCCACTGTTCATGGCTCTTGTCACTGTTGTGGAATTGATGAATCGTTCCTTTGGCTTCTATGTAGCTAATACCGGGAACTTTCTTCACTTGTTTTCTTTCCATATCATCTCTCACTTGTCCTACGTCCTTCCATCGTCCCTGCGCTGCATAAACGTTTGACAGCAACACAAAATCACCGTCATTGTTAACACCCATTTCCTTTATTTTCCTAGACGCTATCTCAGCCATTTCGACATTATTGTGAATCTCTGCAGCCCCAAGAAGACTCTGCCACAAAACAGGATCCGGAACCATCGACATCGAACATATAATGTCGTGAGCTTCTCTCAGCCTTCCTGCACGGCTTAACAGATCTACTACACAACCGTAATGCTTCATGTTAGGCTCAACTCCGTTACAAGCCATGTTGTTGAATATAGCCATACCATACTCCACTAATCCTGCGTGTCTACACGCGGTTAGAGCAGCTAAGTACGAGACATCATCAGGCTTGATGCCATTATGCTCCAACTTCTCGAAAATCTCTAACGCTCTGTGTGCTTCTCCGTGCACTGCAAACCCCGTAATCATAGTGTTCCATGTAACAACGCTCTTCTTACCCGTGAATTGTTCAAACACTTGAAAAGCTTTATCAACAAACCCGCATTTCGAATACATATCAATAGCCGCGTTACTAACAATCACATTATGATCCAACTTTGCATCTTTATTGTATCCATGGAGAATCTTTTCACCTTCCTTAACATCACCCAAATGAGAACAAGCTCCCAAAGCAGCAACAACAGTTACGTCACTTCTTCGAATCCCTTCCATTTCCATTCTTTTATACAACTCCAACGCCTCACTCGCTCGATTCCCCGCCACTAACCCCGCAATCAACGCATTCCACGACGCAACATCTCTCACAGGCATTTCATCGAACAACTTCAGCGCACTAATCAAATCTCCATTTTTAGAGTAAGCATCAAGCAACGTAGTACAAAGAAGCGCATCAGCGGAGAATCCACGACGACTAATCTGACAATGAATCTGAACCATAGCGGAACAACAAAGCGCACGAGCACAAGCTTTAAGAGTGAAAGAACAAGTCAAAGCATCTACTCTACATATAGCCGACGATGAAGATCGCTGTAACATGGAAAGATACCATGAAAACGCAAGTGAAGGATGAGAACTTCCGGCGAATCCGCGGATGATTGCGTTCCAATCATTGGTTAAAGGTTTAGGGATGTGACGGAAGATTTTTACGGCGAAGGAAAGGTCGCCGAATGGTGAAATTGCGCAGCGTTCGAGAAGACGAGAACGGAGAAAGGAAGATTGGAAATGGCCGGCGGTGAGGAAATGAGATTGGAGTTGTTTGATTTGAGAGAAGGTGACGCATTTTTGTATCATCGTCTCCATGTAAACACGAGCCATTCCATTGACGAGCTCCACCAAATTAAACCGGGCTCACGAATTAATTGGTATAAGGGATTATTTTTACCGGTTTTGTGTTTTTTTTCTTCGCAAATTGAAACCGAAATCAAACCAAAAATGAATCAATTGAAATCTTAAATTGAAAAATAGTTTGCTAAAAAAAAAAAAACAAATAGGAACCAAAATGGCAAAATCTATATTGTATCTACATATACATTTTTACAGGGTTTTTTTGCATTAATTCATTTGGATCCGGGTTTTACCCGGGTTTAACTCTATCCGGATCTTGGATAAGGAATTTTAGGAATGTTGTCTTAAAACCACATTAATTCTTAATTAACACCTAAATTGGAAATATATATAATATATCTAAACTAACCATATTTGTTATTTACCTTAACTACTTCTAACCATTATTATTTAACTATTTATTTCTATATAGAAAGAATATGTGATTAAAATAAATATTTTGTAAAATATTGATTTGGGAAAAAATTGTTCTTACGAAAAATAATTTGTTTTGTTATAAAAATTAATAGTTGATATTTGTATTAAATTACATAAATAATAATAATAATTTGTCTACACCATCAAATGAAAATAGTTAGTTATTTAATTTTTTTATTTAATATTACGTAATTTAAAAAAAATAAATTTAACAATATAATGTCAATGGGTTTAATTCTAAAGATTTGAAAATATTAAAAAGATACTAACCAAAAATTATATATCCTAATTTGAATTTTATAAAAATTTATAAGAAGTTTAAACATTCTAAATATTTATAAAAGATATTAATACGAGACGGTATACTACGGATGAAATCCTAGATATAACAATCAAAATTTAATTATGAAGTTTGAGTCAATATTAAGGAGGGGTTATTGGTTCATGGATTTATAAGGAATTAGAAATCCAAACAAAAATCATTTGTTATTCAATCATTGATTTTAAAATCTTAATTAAAATCATGTGTTATTGGTTCTATGATTTATAAATACTAGTTAAAATCCTATGTTATTCGTTTAGTCATTTCTTTTTGGATTTGAGAATCCAAATTATGTTTTCAATGGATTTGAATGGAATTGAAAGAGAAAAATAGAAGGATTCAAATTCATGGTTAAACACATGTTATTTCAAAATCCATATATCTTGATTTCATAATTAATAGAAATTTTCAAATTCTATATGGATTTACAAATTAATAAACCAATAACACCCCCTAAAAGTTAAAACTTGACTGCAGTTTCAAATATTATAAATATTTGAACTTTATAAAAAGTTACAAAATGAAGTTTAATTTCACGGGATGAGGTTATATGGTGGGACGGATTTAGGTCGATATTAATACGGGGATTGTAAAATCCCTGATTTAAACTATTGGGACATCGATGCTCTTGTTCTTCTATACCTATGTCGCTTTTACATCGGATTTCGGTTTCTTCATGGTTGAATGTGTGTGAGTCATGTCTTTGGGCTCGGTCTCGTCGTTTTGCTTCTCTATTTTATTCCTCCCATGCTTGCTTTATGTGTTGGAATACCTTCTTCAATATGGCTTAATATTGTCATTTGTTGCATATGTGTCTGTGCCCCTGAAGAGGACTTGGAAGAGGTTATTCATTGAACAATATATATAGGTAGAGGAAACGGACTGAAACTTTGAAAGTTTCCTGCTATTTTCTTACTTTTTTTTCTTCTTTACAATATACAATTACAGAATGACTAAGCCAACAGAGTGATAGAGCTCACACGAAACCTGTAAATGAGAAGTGTAACACTCACAGGTAAAATAAGTAAGACTTTTATGTTATAAATATTATGAAGACAACTTCAGCCATGAGCCCATGACTCTGACTTGAATTAAAAACTTAATTTCTTAGGAACTGTTTAGATAACTTGATGTTTACAGAGGAATACAACTTGTATCAAATAGAGAGCTTTTAGCTGATTTGGGGATCAAGTTTTGACAAATGTAAATTAATCATCTTCTAAAAGACGCAAAGCATCAAAATTGTTAACGCTCTCAAACTTACTACGATCTTTTTTCTGGTGAGCAACGGTCCTCACTTGATGATCTTCTTTAGATGATGTGTTCTGTCCTGATCGACTTGCAGCATATATTGTCTTCATAACATCAAACTTTAGATCCTCTACATGGTCTACAAAGGCATAAACTTCATGATAGTCAGACCATTCTTCCCCTTCTTGTCTAACAACACCTTGGATTTCAACACTTAGGAGAGTGTTCCTTTCGGGATTGAAGTAGAAAACATAAAACGGTTTACGTGCATTATCTTTCGCCAAAACAATTTCACCTGAAGCAGTCACCCCAACAACAGAAATATAGTCGTTATCCTTAAGGACTCTATTCTCAGCCCTCAAGGTGTAGGTATATGTAGACCATTCATATTTCTCGGCATTCTCTAGAACCCACATATGTAACTTAAGGGGAAATCCACTTTTACTCTCCATATTAATCACACCTAATTTACCCTTATAGTTTATCAATTTAGTATAACAACCACGATAGCGTAGAGATTGACGCTTAAATTTCTCATACCTAACATCAAAGCAAACTAAATAATAATCCCCAAAATCATTGCAATAAGCTATGTAATACAGAACCCCATTGATGCATATCCCACTACTTCGAGGTTGATGAGAACGAATCGAGGGACATTGGATCGTCCTCCACCTAAGTTTTTCAGTTCCTAATGTCAGGATATGATGACCATTGACACTATTGAACATGACCAAAACCTTGAATTGCTTGCCAATCGGATCAAACCCTAAAAAGCCACCATGAATTCTGTGTCAAGGAATGATATCCCAATCATTCCCCAATCATATCTCAATCATATCATTCCACTTATGTCAACTGTATATATCACATTTATGTCGTCTAACCTAGTGTCTCTAGTCTCCTCTGTATATTTATACTCTCGACAATCACTCTAATAATACACAACATTCTCTACATCTTCTCTATATGGTATCAAGAGCCATAGATTCCTAAAAACCCTAGAATTTTCTCCTTTCCTCAAGCCGTCACCTCCTCTTTTCTTCTTTTCTTCTTTTTCTTCCTTACGCTCATCATGTCGACCTTCACCCATGAACAAATCGTTGTCTCCGGCTCCAGTACTGCTCTTCTCAACGTCAACATGACGAATGTCACAAAGCTCACCTCCTCCAATTTCCTCATGTGGAGCCGCCAGGTCCATTCTCTCTTTGATGGATACGATCTGGTTGGCTACCTTGATGGATCCATCTCTCCACAGGAGCCCACTCTCACCACCAACGAAGTTGTCTCGCCGAACCCTGCGTTCAAGATGTGGACGCGCCAAGACAAGTTGATCTATAGTGCTTTGCTTGGTGCTATTGCTGTCTCTGTCCAGCCGATCTTGTCCAAAGCTGTCACCGCAAAGGACATCTGGACCACTCTCTCCAACACGTACGCCAACCCGAGTCGTGGCCACATTAACCAACTGCGCCAACAACTCAAACAGTGGTCCAAAGGCACCAAAACCATCGATGAGTATGTTCAAGGCTTCACCACCCGCTTCGATCAACTCGCTCTCCTCGACAAACCGGTGGACATTGAAGAACAAATTGAATTCATTTTGAATGGTCTTCCTGAAGATTACAAACAGGTGACTGTTCAAATCGAAGGACGAGACTCCGCTCCATCGATCACCGAGGTCCACGAGAAACTCATCAACCATGAGCTGAAGCTACAAGCCCTTGCTGTCTCCTCTCCGCAGGCTCCGATCTCTGCAAACTACACTAACAGCAACAATCGCTCATTCTCCAAATCTAATCAGCAGCGTCAGAATCAACAAGGCTCCAACTGGTCAAACAAACAGAATCACGGTCAACAGCGCACATTCAAGCCGTACCTTGGTCGTTGTCAAATCTGCGGCACCCAAGGCCACTCCGCAAGGCGCTGTCCACAATTCCAATCCGGACCATCTCAGCGTCCGTTGCTGCCCACACCATGGGCACCCCGTGCTAACTTTGCTCATGTTCCCAATTCGAATCCATGGATTATGGACTCTGGTTCGACACACCACATCACTTCTGACCTAGCCAATCTAGCACTACACCAACAATACAATGGTGGAGAAGAAGTTCTCATTGGCGACGGCACTGGTCTCCCAATCGTTAATACGGGTTCAAGCTCTCTTCCTTCATCTTCTCGACCACTCTCTCTTACTCAAGTTCTTCATGTTCCTAATATTCAAAAGAATTTAATATCTGTCTACCGACTTTGTAATGCTAATAACGTTTCTGTCGAATTTTTCTCAGCTCGGGGGCCCAATTGCTCCAAGGACGGACTAAACATGAACTCTACGAGTGGCCAATCCCGAAATCGGTTCCAGCTTCATACTTCGCCATACCCACCGTCAAGGCATCTGTTTCCGATTGGCACTCAAGGCTTGGGCATCCATCTATTTCAATTCTTAAAAATGTTCTTTCAAAGTTTTCTTTACCGTTTTCTGATTCATTGTTGAATTCTCTATCTTGCATTGATTGCTTTACCAATAAAAGCCATAAGCTAGCCTTTTCACAAACCTCTATCTCTTCTACTCGTCCTCTCCAATATCTCTTCTCCGATCTCTGGACTTCCCCAATTCTTTCTGTTGATTCTTACAAACACTATCTCATAATTGTTGACCATTTCACACGATATACTTGGTTTTATCCACTAAAACTTAAATCCCATGTCAAAGATACATTCATAAAATTCAAAGCCTTAGTCGAAAATCGTTTTCAACACAAAATCGGAACACTTTTCTCCGATAACGGTGGCGAGTTCATCGCCCTCCGTGACTTCCTCTCCTCCTCCGGGATCACTCACTTGACGACTCCTCCACACACGCCCGAGCACAATGGCTTGGCCGAGAGACGCCATAGACATATTGTTGAAACCGGTCTCTCTCTTCTCCATCATGCCAAAATCCCAAACACCTACTGGTCCTATGCTTTCTCCACTGCCGTATATCTCATAAACAGATTGCCAACTCCTGTTCTATCTCTTTCATCTCCCTACCGTCTCCTCTTTAACACTGAACCAAACTACACCAAACTAAAAAATTTCGGTTGTCTTTGTTTTCCTTGGCTTAGACCATATCGCTCCCACAAACTCGAACCACGTTCTACTTCTTGTATCTTCCTCGGCTACTCTCTTACACAAAGCGCCTTCCTCTGTTTAGATCCCACCACAAACCGTCTCTATGTTTCTCGCCATGTTCAATTTGTGGAAAACAAGTTTCCGTTTTGTGAACTCTCTGCGATGCCCACAGTCTCCGAGTTAATCCCTGCCTGGAATCCTCCCGTCAGTCATGTTCCTGTCTCCACAGTGCCACTCGTAGACGCAGAATCATCATCGCCGTCGGCCCCTAGCTTGGATCCTTCACCGCCAGTGCATACCAACTCATCTGCTCCTTCTCCTCAAACTGAGGCTCATTCGTCATCTGCCGATCATACACCTCAATTTGAGGCTCATTCGTCACCAACAGTTCACACACCTCGATCAGAGGCTCATTCGTCTCCGACCAATTCAGCACCTCAATCTGAGGCTCATTCGTCACCGACCAATTCCGCACCTCAATCTGAGGCTCATTCGTCCCCATCCGATCACGCACCTCACTCAGAGGCTCATACGTCACCCACGGCCACCGATTCCTCCTCGTCACAGTCACCATCACCACAGTCACGTAATGACGACGTTGCTCCAAAGTCAAAAACAGATCCAAGAGCCCAAACCACTAATTCAAACAAGCCCATTACAAAACAATTCACCAAAGGCCCAACAAATAACTCCCAAAGTCAAACAGGCCCAAATCTCACTTCAGCCCATAACAAAACCACTACAGCCCATAACAAAACCACTACAGCCCAAACCACCACAAATGTCTCGTCTTCTACCTCCGCTCAACAAACTCCCGCAGCTCCCGTCGACAACCTCCACTCAATGACCACCAGATCCAAGAAAGGCATCGTTAAACCAAACTCAAAATATGCCCTCGCGATATCCAAGATAGATACCGAACCAAAAACCGTACTCCAAGCTCTCTCCGACGATAAATGGAGAAATGCAATGTCAGAAGAATTCGACGCTCAGCTCCGCAACTTCACTTGGTCTCTTGTTCCGCCAGCCCCTAATCAAAACATCATTGGCACCAAATGGATCTTCAAGCTCAAATATCAACCGGATGGCTCCATTCACAGACACAAAGCAAGACTCGTCGCTAAAGGATACAATCAACTCAAAGGCATTGACTATAACGAAACGTTCAGCCCCGTCATCAAAGCCACAACAATTCGGGTCGTTCTACAAACCGCTGTCTCCTGTGACTGGCCCATCAAGCAGCTTGACGTCAACAACCCATTTCTTCAAGGAACACTAACAGAAGAAGTCTACATAACGCAACCGCAAGGATTCGTCGATGTCAACAAACCAAATCATGTCTGCCGCCTTCACAAAGCGCTCTACGGCTTGAAACAGGCCCCTCGCGCCTGGTACGAAGAACTCAAAAATTTCCTTCTCACCGTTGGCTTCACCAACTCACTGGCCGACGCATCTCTATTCATTCTCCATCGGGGATCAAGCCTCCTTTATCTTCTGGTTTACGTTGACGACATCATTGTCACCAGCAATGATAACTCTTTACTCCAGAATACACTTCAGTCTCTCGCCACCCGTTTCAGCATCAAAGATCCCGAAGACTTACACTACTTCCTAGGACTTGAAGCTCGCCGCACAGCTCACGGACTCCACCTCACACAAAGACGGTACATTCTCGACTTGCTCACTAAGTGTCACATGCTTGATGCTAAACCAATTACGACACCAATGGCTGCTTCACCAAAACTCTCCCTCCACTCGGGGTCTGCTCTCTCCGACCCATCGGAATTTCGAATGGTCATAGGAAGCTTACAATATTTGGCCTTCACTAGACCTGATATCTCTTATGCCGTCAATCGCTTGTCGCAATTCATGCACAAACCAACATCCGATCACTGGCAAGCGGCAAAACGTCTTCTTCGCTACTTGGCCGGAACAGCAAACCATGGTATCTTCTTTCACCGCAACAACACCAACTCCATTCATGCATTCTCCGACGCAGACTGGGCTGGTGACACTGATGATTATGTTTCTACGCATGCGAACATAGTCTACATTGGCAAAAATCCAGTATCATGGTCTTCTAAGAAACAAAAAGGCGTAGCTCGTTCCTCAACGGAAGCCGAGTATCGATCTGTGGCCAATACATCTGCGGAGGTTCGCTGGATTTGCTCATTACTCTCCGAATTACGCATCAAAATACCAGCATCACCTGTGATTTACTGTGACAACGTAGGCGCAACATATCTTTGTGCAAATCCTATTTTCCACTCAAGAATGAAGCATCTAGCCCTCGACTACCACTTCATTAGAAATCAGATCACATCCGGCAGTCTACGGGTAGCTCATGTCTCATCCAAGGATCAACTCGCCGATGCACTAACAAAACCGCTGGCTCGTGCACCCTTCTCCTCAATGTCATCCAAGATTGGAGTCTCAAAAGCCCCTCCATCTTGAGGGGGGATGTCAAGGAATGATATCCCAATCATTCCCCAATCATATCTCAATCATATCATTCCACTTATGTCAACTGTATATATCACATTTATGTCGTCTAACCTAGTGTCTCTAGTCTCCTCTGTATATTTATACTCTCGACAATCACTCTAATAATACACAACATTCTCTACATCTTCTCTATATTCTGTACGTCGTTCTCGGTTCAGGTAAGACCGCATACTGTCCCGTGCTAGGGTTACATATCACATGCCTTGCATCCTTATCCTCCTTTGAGATCTTTATACTATGAAAATAGAGCAAACCAGAGGCATATCTAAAACTGTCGTAGTCAAAAGAGATCTTCGTATGAAAATCAGCGGCTACAACAAGAGACGACTTCTCATATTGATTCTGAGGCTGAGGCGACGAAAAGAAAAACCACTCACCGTCTGGTTGTTTGACCCCAATTAAGAGACGTGGACGAGCCGATGACCTAGTCAAGAACAAGTCGGTGAAGTGTGGCTTGCGAAGCAAGGACCCCCATAGCTTCGATACACAGTGAAACCTAGCGATTGACTTTCCAGGCAATCTCGAGAGTATATCAAGAATGTGATCAATAGGTATGGAATCTGAGTTCTCTCCTCTATTCATGATCGTGTGATGTATTGATTTGTCGGACGGAGAGAGACTCTAATATACAGTACGGAGTTTGGGACATGACCAAATAAAGCCCTAGATTTAATACTCAATAGAATCCCTGATTTATTACCATAATTATAAATATTTTGAATAAATTTCATAAATTAAAAAAATCATGACTTACAAATTTTAGATTAATACTCAATCAAACCACTGAAAATTAATAACGTTGGGATCATGACATTTTATTAATTTATAGTGATATTAATTTTTAAATAAATTAATATTTAATAATTTATAGCATAAATTAATGTTTATTAATATATAGAGAGATTTGTTTTAATTGTTAAATTTCTAGACAAATATGAAACTGAGTCAACTTTATCTAACTAAAATTAATATTTTAGATGTTATAAATTATGTAATTTTGGACTTGAAATTTAGATAAAGCTATTTCGGCAACAAATTACAAAGACCATATAGATGCATTAACTTATTCAAACGATATACACAAATTCAAATTTTGATTATTCCCAAATTAAAAAGATATAAAATTTTAGTTGTTTTTATAATGTAGTTATAGAGTATCCTACAACACTATAGCTTAAAAGCACAAAACAATTGTTTTATACAATATAAGTTAGAGAGACGAGCTCTAACGAAAATTTAATTTCTTAGAAAAATATTTAAACCATACATTAGTATATTATCTTACAGAGGTTTTACTGTATACGTAATCAATCGATAAACCGTCAAACAATCAACTGCTACGAACAACAGACTCAAAGCCTCTCTATTCTTTTGATGGTCACCGAGATGCCCCCTTACACTACACATGACAAGTTTCTTGTTTCCTTGGTTTCAATTTTGCAGCTCGTTCTTCGTACGACGCTGCAAGAAGAAGAAAAAAGCAAGATGATCATATACATGAGCTTTCCATATTTGCATATGTACATGTTGCAGTGAGATATCGAAGAAGACTTACGCTCAGTTGGTCGAGATAATAGGGGAACGTGTTCTGCTCTTTTCTTCTTTTTCTCTATGTCATTGCATGAGCTTTCCTCTGTTGAAACTGAAATTTTATTTTGAGTCAGATTCTCTCTTTCATAGAAGTCATCTTACTACTAGTTACGTTAAAGGAGATAATGATATATTGTACCATTGCTTAGAGGTAAACAGTTCCGGAGAGCCTCCTGGTAAATCACAGACTCTAATTGGTATGTCAACGATTCATTCTTGAAATGAGATCGCAGTGACTCTGCAGCGCCTTTAAGCATGAAAAACGGGTTTGTTATTATCATATTTACTGAATCTAAAACCACTCCCAAGGTGTCTCGAACAGACTTAATTACCTGGAGAACATTTGAAGTCAACATTTTCAAATTCACATGTACGGAGGACTAAGGGTATCTCTGAGGCCAAGAGGTATTGAGGTTTTCTTGGCGTTTTCTTCGTATCCAACAATGTATCTATCACCTGCATAAGTACCACCATCCCGTTCATCGCATAATCAACACATGAAGAATATCTAAATCCCCAAGTAAGCTGGAAAAGAAAATTGGAACAAACATGAAGGCGTCCAAGAACTTACATCAACTGATTCAACGCCCTGCCCAATCATGAATAGCACGGCGACCATGCAGCGGATCTGGTGCCACAGGAAAGCACTGCCTCTCATTGTAAATATGCAAAGCTGATCACCCTCGTGACTTTACAAGAAGATAAACAAGGACATGGTTTAGGACCAAAAGACAAAAATAAAAAGTAGATGATCAGAAGAATGTGTATATAAAGTAGTGACTGGTGTGAGTTTAACAATGCGTGCTCAAGAGGATGCAAATTTTCTATTGTTCCTGTGATTTCTAGAACATGATTTTCTCTACCCTTAAATTTTTCCAATTCTTTAAGTCATAACCCTATAATACTAGTGGTCTACCCTTAGTTGCTGAAAAATCCTACAGTTTTAATTAAGAATCTTAATTGATCTTAGCCTTTCTAGCAACCAAAATCAGTTTTAACGAATACTAATGCAGTCAGCAGTCATCAAATGGAGGATCAGAAGATCTGCTTAAATGTGCTGTTTACCAAAGCCAACCTATTTTGACAAGGAGAGACTTCAAAGAAAGTAACACGTCGTGTATAGCAATGCACATTTGCCACGTCCATCTTGCAGAAGTTCCTGAAATCATGCTCCCCAATGAACTTCTTCCCGGCAATGTCCATGGCCTAGAGGAAGATGTGAATAAATATTAGTATCTACATTGTTTCAATTTTGAAGTGTTTTGACTTTATTAACAAGTGTAGAGATCACTGCACCGAAAGATTCAGGTTCTGCCTCCAGAAAAAATATTTGTATTCTCTAGCATAGCAACTAAACCTGTACCCAAGTAAACAAAAAAAAGGGTAAGCATGCACCATCCAATAATAGTTCACGAAGTATTCTGCAGTTTAAAGGGCGAATAGCACAAACAATTACAAAGGATTTTTAAAAAAGGGTAACACACAAACCTTGCATGAAAGTCAACAGGAGCAGGAGACCATCCAATAACTCGGATGTCATCAGGGAGAGCACGATTTAGAACTCTTACATAATCATATTCTGGTCCTAAACCAGAGAAAACAGAGAGTTACAGCAACACCATTAAGAGGGTGGAAACCAATAAATTAATAACATTGGCAGAGTAAACTTACTTTCACCCGTTTTCCCATTAACTTGGGCTTTAGAGTCTCCAGGAGGTGACTTCAGTCTGGATCTTAAGAACAAAGCAATCACCTGCATCAATAATCGAATACGCATATGAGATTGCTTCTTCCACGACCCTACCTTATAGACATTTGGGAATGCTCCTATTACAGGGTTTTTGAAAAACATCAGCACAATAAGAATTGGTTCTTAAACTGATGAGATTATATGATTCTATGGGAATTATATCATTGGCACACAAGATCATTTGCTACATACAACCAGTGAGATCGAAAGAAATTATTGAGAAGTAAAATGCTAGAGATCCTAAGCAAAAAAAATCATGGGAGCACAAAGCAATCCACCTGCCCTGTGGACGAAACACCTTTATCTGTTCTTCCACATCTCGAGTAACAAGAATCTTTCTTGTCCCCAACTAAAAGCCGTGTCCTTTCAAGTGCTTTAAAAACTTCTGACTGCAAGAAACACACAAATTACACATCATGCAAATAAAAACTAGTTATTCGTTAACAAACAAAACAAAGAGAACACAACCACACCTCAATACTTGGTTCCATTTGTGCTTCAGCCGAAAAGCCGTAAAATCTGTAACAAGAGAAATTCATTCATTTATACAATTAGGAAAAATGACATATCATGAAGAATAAAAAGCAACCTACAAACATAATGGCATACCTCTTACCAAAATACATGATTTTTAGTGCAACATATCTCTTCGAGATAAGATGACTCGGTATACTATTCTTATCTCCTTTTCTAACTCTCCTTCTCCTAACTAAGCTACTAGAATCTGACACTGACCGATCATGCTTCACTTCCATCTACAACATAAACACCGATATTTTTGACAATTTCGAACAAACTAGTGTGAAGTCAATCAAAAGTTAAGAATATCTTCACCTGTTGGCATTGGCAGCTTGAAACCTGAGACAATAATTTAGCATTTTCCACTTCTAACTCCTGATGAGAGATATAGAACAAACAATGAATCAATCAACAAATTTGTGCTACTTCACCAAAATTATTCAACATAATTTCAAATTTAACCTCAAGGACTGTTAATCGAATCGTTCCACTAACAAAATGCTTAACAACGAAGGGCACAAACATTGAGCGAAGAGACTACAGAGAAGTTGAAGAAGCGAATATGACAAGTTGTTCGGAGATTTTTACCTTCACGCAATTACGGAGAAACACTAATTCGGTTTCTTTAGCGATTTCAGAGTCTCGGTCATCGCCGCCGGGATCGGATTTTCCGTCGGAGATAGTCATTAATCAGCGGTGGAGTTAATGACGGCGACGAAACGAGAATCGACGCCGGTTGAAACGAGTCAACGACGGCGACGAAACGAGATTCGACGCCGGTTGAAAAGAGTTCAACGACGGCGACAAAACGCGGCGTCGAAGAGAAACAGTGTTGGGTTTTGGGATTAGTCACAGAGTCAGAGATACATATGTTTCTCTATTTACATATTAGTCACTATAGTTATAGATATTTCTCTGAAACCCCTTTTACTTCTTGTTTTTTTTCTATTTTAAAGATTTTTTTAAGCAGAAAAAAAAAATATTGATTTTGCTGACGATATATTTTTCTATAGTGGTTTCTCTAAGTTTCAAAAAGAAACTAAAAACCATGATTTTGAGGTTTTTGTGGAAACTTATTTTTTCGACGAGATTATGTTTATTTTTTACTTAAAAATATTTAATTTCTTAATTTTTTATATTTATAGCAAAAAACTAAAAACCAAAAATTTAAAAACCAAAATCTAAAAACAAAAAAACACTTAAAAACTTAGTAAATATTCAAAGCCTTAATTTCTGGATTTGAATAAAATAAAAAACAGTTTACGATTATTTTTTAGTTAAAATGAATATTTAAGATGTAGTGTAACAGTTAGTAAAGCTTATCTTTATATTTTTTTATATTTTATTTCAGAAATTATTAATTTAGTCGTAGTAGAAACTGACTTTTTATATATATGACTTGAGGACCATACAACAATAGATTTATATTTAGCTCTCTCCTAAAACAATCATCAGAGCACGAAGAACTGTTTACAACTATGGGAACCTCAGAGAACAAATTTGAAAAGCTTACGTTATATGTAGGAGATCTTGATTCGAGTGTTGACGACAGTGAATTATACACAACATTCAATGAGATCACTCATGATGTTTCTTCTGTTAAAATTTGTCGCGACCGAAACACCGGCTCGTCTCTTGGTTATGGATATGTTAATTTCAACCATGGTTCCAAAGGTAAGTCTGTAATATTCTATATGTTCTAATATATTGGGTCTGATTAGTAGTAACCAAAAGCTGTACAAATTTTTTAGCTGTTAGCTGGAATTGTAAGTTTTACTGTAATAGTAAGTAAGAGCTGTACAAAAAAGTTGAGAGTAAATCTGTTAATAACGTTTTTAATAAAGCTTTTGTGATTGGTAACTGTCAAAGCTACCGCTTTGATAATAGCTTACCATTCAAAGCCATTGTTTCATTATGTTGGTTGTTTCTAGGGTTTAGTCGTTTGAGAAAAGAGTTTTCGTCAATGATTGGTCACTAATCTAAATTTGTTATTATTAATTAGGCAAACGTGTATATGTTTCAATTTAAACGAATTTGAATGTTATTGGTTTGATTTATTTATTGTGGGGAAAAACAGCGAAGACTGCAATGGAGATGCTGAATTTTTACAAGTTAAAGGGAAAACCTATGAGGATAATGTTTTCAGAACGTGATCCTAGCAAGAGAAGGGGCGGCAGAGGTAACGTGTTTGTCAAGAATCTAGACGAATCTATCGACAACAAGCAACTTAGCGACATGTTCTCTGCATTTGGCAAAGTTCTCTCTTGCAAAGTGGTTCGTGATGCTTCTGGAGTTTCGAAAGGATATGGGTTCGTCCAGTTTTACTCAGAGCTTTCAGTCAATATCGCATGCAATGTTCGCAATGGCACGCTCATCCGCAATCAACATATTCACGTTTCTCCATTCGTTAGCCGTCGTCAATGGGATGAATCTCGGGTTTTCACTAATGTTTATGTTAAAAACTTGGCGGAAACTACGACGGATGCTGATTTGAAGATGATTTTTGAGGTGTTTGGGGAGATTACTAGCGCGGTGGTGATGAAAGACAAAGAAGGTAAGTCTAGAATGTTCGGGTTTGTGAACTTCGAGAAGGCTGAGGCGGCGGTTACTGCAATAGAGAAGATGAACGGGATAGTAGTTGATGAAAAAGAGTTGCATGTTGGGAGGGCTCAAAGGAAAAATAATAGAATTCAAGATTTGAAAGACATTTTTAAACTAGAAAAGATAAAACGGGATATGAGAACACGTAAAGGGATGAATCTTTATGTGAAGAATCTTGATTATTCTGTTGATAACACAAAGCTTCAAGAATTGTTCTCAGAGTTTGGAACTATCATTTCCTGCAAGGTACATATGCAATCTATTAGCAAAAGAATAATTTGATTTGTGAATACGACGAATTATAGAATTTAACTTATGAATTTTGTAGGTCATGGTCCATTCCAATCGTATCAGCAAAGGTGTTGGGTTTGTTGAGTTCTCAACGAGTGAAGAAGCTTCTAAAGCTGTAAGTTTGTAAACCATGTAATGGTTTTTTTTTGGTGTTGCCTTCTTAATCAAGGAACTCACACTAATAAGTTGTTTTTTTTTACAAAGATGCTCAAGATGAATGGGAAAGTGGTGGGAAATAAACCAATCTATGTCTCTTTGGCCCAATGTAAAGAGGAACATAAGCTTCATTTACAAACTCAATTTAATAACCTTCCCTGGAACGTTGTTTCGTCAACTATAGCACCAAGTCCTCACCAACACCCTATCTTCAGTCAAGCAGTCGCTCCGGCAACAATGTTATCTCCACAACCTCCATTTAGAGGATACAACTTCCAATCGTATTTTATGTGCGGATCAAGAATGCCAAACAGTTGCCCTCCAATGTCTATCCCTAATACCATGGTGCCACAACCATTTTGTCCAACTCTATACCCACCTGCTCCTCCTGTCGGCCTCTACCATAGTTTGCCACTGCCACTACTACAACCAAATCTATGGAACATATACCGTAGAATTTAGTAGCTTATAGGACTTGAAATTATGCTTCCAAAAGCGAACGGTTGGATTAATAGTCTTCTTTTATTAAGTTAAGGTCATGTTAGGATTTCATTTACCATATTATATTTACTCACTGGTTTTAATATGCGTAAAGTTTCTTTTGTCTCTAATTTTCAACATTCATGTTTACTTTGAGGATCAAACCAAGATTAAATTACATAGCCTGTTTTAAAAGTAGAAGAACAAACCAATGCAAATAGGTTTCAACTTAAAAAAACTACAAAAATTGTCTCTGCATAAAAAATAAACAAAGTCCAAGAAAATCCGAAATTGTATGGTTCCTCCTCAAACCTATCAACTATCTAAAGCCATTTTCGTAACATTGAAGCGTCACAACCTGTTCGTAGGAGGTTTGACTCTGTAAATGCGAACTATCCAGTTGGATGTTGTGTAAGCTTCTTCTAAGTGTTCAAGTTTGATATCTTTGTTCCCTATCTCCACTCCTCTTGCTCTATCATACCTGCCAATAATTCCACCGCTCAACTTTTTTTCATATGTAAAGTAAATGCGTTTATAATGAATTAAACTATCTTCAAAATGCAAAACACAAATAGGGGTTTAACGTACCCGGGTGGCTTGCCGTATTCTGTGGTCAGCTCACCAAACCTGTAATAGCATAACTTGTACCTATACACGAAAACAACAATTAAGATGAATTGCATCGTTTTCAAATTTAACTTATACATGCTAAAAGTAGAGTCTTGAGTGTTAACTTACATAAGACAGTTCAGCATTTTTGGTGATGCACCCTTGTCTACACGGAATTCACCATTCACAAGGTAATCAGGTTCCTTGATCACTGGGAATACTCCGCCTCCAATTCTCACCATCCACAAGAACCTAACCCACAATTTTTATATTATTAAAGATGATCAATAACTCCACCACACATCAACTGAATCAAAAGAGTCTCCTTATGAATCACTAAGAACTGGAAGACCATTAAAGATATTAACACGCCAGAAGTATATCATCATTGGTATTATGGAGATATATATGTAATAACAACTAAATCTCAGTGGACGACTCAAACCAATTGCTACAAGTCAACAGTAGAATCCACCCACTTAAGACTAGCCCATGTCATTTTTTTGTTCACTACTACTTCAAACCAATTACTACAAACCCCACACTTGTTGTATAACCGAGAAGTAGCCAGACAAACAAAATTTTCCAAAAGAAAAAACAAACGTATATATCTAACAAGCCACCAATTAATGCCGTATTTGGTTGACACGCAACAATAACCAGAAATTCAATAATAAACGAGAAGAGGAGCATACATGAGAGAAGTTAAAAGACTTACTTGTTGATATCATCTGAAGAATAACCAGTAACACCACCAAAGACGACCAATACATAGTTCACATCAAGTGACCTCATAATGTCATACGCCTCATCTTCATAAGAAGACATGGCACGTCCAACGGTAGCAATATGCGTGTTGTTCCAGGTATTGTTATCGACGATGACAGTTCTGTTTCCCATGGCAGTAATTTGGTACCCATAGTCCCACCACGACATGATCTTAGCATCAGTGGGTGTGTTTTGCCTAAGCCAGTAGTAGGCCTCGCGGTAATCATCAAAGATGATTCTGTTCCCATGGGCTCCTCTTGCAGCTAAGACAATTGAGGGAGATGAATATGCCTCTGATGTCACCCATGTGCAGTGAATGGCATATCTACTCAGCAAATAAAATACACCAAGAAGAAGAGCAATGGCACCATTCTTCTGGAAAGGCTGAGACTGATCAAGTGTAACCTGCTAGGACACAGGAGACAAGGATTAAATTTTCTCCTTTCACCAGAGAAGCGTGCTACAGTTCAAAGTAGGTGGCAAGTGGTACAATAGTTTAAACCAAAGAAGATAAAAAAATGGAAACTAAAGATTCACCTTTGAAGAGGCTTTTGAACTACCAGCTCCTTTCGTGGAACCAGTCTGAGAAACCTTTTGTTTTGTCCTTAACAGAGAAGTTAAATTCTTGACAGTGGCAGAGACAGCTATGGCACTGATAAGACAAACTGCTGGAGTGGCGACGAGAATAAGCCGAACCATGACACCAGCAAAGTACAAGCTAGTGAGACCATACATGACAATAAATATTGTAGCATCCGTCAAACGCTTGAAACAGAAGTAAAGACCCGCAGGGAAAAGAAAGAGCAGAATATGGTAGTCAAACATGAAAGACGACCAAGCCGTAGGCTGATGCTCAGAAACAGATGCAATAATGGGAATATGATCCTTTGCATAAGTCGGGTCAAGCAACGAGTAAAATCGACCAGTCCATGGAGATATATAGCCAGACGCTGTTCCAACACCCAAAGCAATACCACCAACCAAAATAGCCGATGTCACAGTTATCCTCAAAAAGGTTTGGAACAACTTGGTGTCATTGAGCTGGTACTTCACCCAGTCCAAGAAGTAAAAAACCTGCATCAATAAGAAGACGCCCATTGCACCCATATGCTCACCAGATTGAACATGTTGAAAACCAACAAACCGAATTTGCATCGCGAGCAACATCCCCAAGATATACATACAGTTATAAGCAATGTAAAGCCTCATCGAATACCTTCCGGTGATCAACAACACCAACACATAAAGCGGAACCAAGTTGATAATAAACACATATCCTCCCCAAGCAGAAACCATGTAAAAGTAACCAAACGCAGAGCCAAGAGCCCAAGCCAATGAACCAGTGTTAACCGCTTTAACAAACAGATAAAACGTCAACAAAAGAGCGAAAATCGCAACAGCTTCGTTATCATAAGACCCCGCTACAGACCGAGAAATGTAGCCAGGACAAATAGCGATTAAAACAGCAGCAACAAGACCAGCTCCTGTATCCCAAATCTCTTTACCAAAGAAATACGCAACTAAAGTCGTATTCGACGCGAAAAACGGTGCGGTTAACACACAAACCTCACGGATATGAACGAAGAATCGGAGAAACCGTAATGTCCAGTAGATTAACGCAGCTGTGACCATAAGACCAGGATAAAGCGTACCGCCGATGATTCGACCAAGCGGATACCAACTCTCGGAATCAAACCAGTTCCAAAACTCGTAAAAGCCTTTCTCAGTGAGGAAAAGAGTCGTACGGTAGTTGAAATACGGATCGAATTCGTGGATCATTGATTCGTATCGGAGAACACTGAAGAGACGAGCTATGAAAGCTAAGATGTAGACGAGACCAAGGATCGAGATACGGAGCAAGAGCTCTTGTTGCTTCGTCTTCAATTTTAGGGATTTGAAAGAGAAGAAACTAGTGTTGAGTAGATCTGGATTCGTCGTCTTCGTCGCCATGGATTCCGATTTCGTTGGCTCTGATTTTCCTCCCATTGCTTTGAGGAAATGGACGAAGGAGCGATCTCCGACGGGTGTGATCTTAAAGTCAAGTCGTCGGAATTGTGAGTGTAGAGAGTTCTAACTTCTAACTCTTACTGATTTGTGATTTTTTTTTTAATCAGTGATCAAAGTCAGTGTGAAGTGAAGTGAGTGGCAGATTTATTGGGCTTTTACTAAGCCCATTATTTACCATAGCATAGCCCATCAGTTAAAATATTTTCACAAGTACTTTACAATGCATCTTTCACCATTGCCACTAAAAGCTTCCTATGTGTGTACTTGAGCACTATTATACATGAAGAGCATATAAATTGTTAAATTACTTTACACAAATGGGATCTGACAGAAGAGGGGTATTTAGTCGTCAAGGCCTTGAATCTCGGCATATGTGAGTGTAAGCGCACGCTGAAGTTTCCGTGGAGATAAAACCTCGACCTTGGCCAAGAACGTGGCTGTGACAGGTCGATGATCCGATAGTTTAATCTCGTTTCTTCTGTAATTAAAAAGCTTCATTCCCTTTCCATTCCAAATGATGCGGTCACACCTGATCAATCATTCCAAATGATTCAAAGTCACTTCGAACTCATTGTTATGTATACTATGGAAAAATGTTGTATTACAGTGTATGAAGACAATACCAGGCTGGTCTACGTTTCCCGGATTCCGGGTCATCTCCGATGTAGTTCTCTGAATTGATTTCGTATTTGTATGTTGGTGCGAAGTCTAAAGTTCCCTCTGACCATCCCTCGAAGACGTTCCCTTTTGTCATTTCTCTTGAAAGCTATCAGAGAATAAAACATGTAATTTCAACCTTTGTTTGGATCCATCTATCAAAAGATTGTTTCATATGTAACTTCAAAAACATAAACGTTAGAGCTTTGTGATTTAGTATTAAACTATACAGTAAAGGTACCTGGTCATACTCTACCAACCTCTGCCATTCCTTTCTTGCAATAAGTTCATGTGCCTTCTCATACGACAAGTTAATCCGATAGTTCAGATCTCCCATCCAGATTATTCTTCTATACAAGGTTATCTTGTTATCTTTTAAGAAATTGAGAGTTAACTGTAGTTTAATGGATCAACTGAGAAATAAAACGTACTCATGATCACGGATGCTTCTTGGAAGATCATTGGCATTTAAAGAATGCGGAAGAAACTGCGTTCTTCTGTGAATTTCACGTACATCATCGTTTCTTTTCTCTTGATCTGTATCCTTTTCCCCAGATGACAGATGCGAGCACAAGAAACAAAATGGTGTTTGATAGATTGACATGCTCACAGATACAGATCCCTGTAACACCGCAATAAACCGTAAGTTATTTGATAGCCTACGAATATTTAGAGCAACTAGTAAGAGAAATCAAGACCTTGTTACCAATGTAGCCCATAATACCAACACCAACAGTAGAGACACAAAGGTTGCTTATGTGCTTGCGCAAGTTCCTCCTAACCCAGATGGTGAGAAACACTCCAACCATCTGTTTGCTCACAATCCTTACATACGATGGTTTTCTCAGATTCGTGATTGTCAGATTCACTGACTTGAAGGAACCACGTCTTTCGGAAACATATTGATTTAGCAGCCTCAATGGAGGTTCTGGCCAGCTCAAACCTACTCTTTCAGTATAACTAAATCTTTCTTCCCTTTTGGAATCACTATTAATCTGCATCGAGAGAGAGCGGTCTGGCGTATTTGGTGATGAAAATTGCCTCTGTAGATATTCTTGTATTGGCAAGCAAGACGCATTGTCATTGGTAGAACCCAAAACGTCTATATTAGTAAGTGAATCTTCGCTTACGATTGGTATGTCCGTGCTTTCAACAGAGTTGAGTTTGTTATCCATTGAACTAATCGCATCACAAGCATCATGACTGGTTTCAACAAACATATCTTCTACACTATAAGGAACCTCTTCAGATTGCTTAAACTTTGATGGAGAAGGGGGATCACTGTGACTTACAATCTTCAACTTTCTAGGTCGAACTCGGTTTAAGGCATCCCGTATCAATTTCTCCCATTCAGAAGCAGGCTGGTCATCCTCCATACCAAAAATGTTTCCAGCATTTAAGGGAACAATTTCCTGAAGACTGAAATGAAATGAATCATAAACACTGAATACAGAACTCTTTCACCATGGTAATTAATCAAAAGATTCAGAAAAAAAAAAAAAACATACCCAAGAACATAAATGTCAGCAGGTTCAACAGTGTCTAGCCAACCACCAATATCCAAGTCAGATGAAGGAACTCTCCCTCCAACATTCCATGTCCCAGCACAGATTCTAGCTACATCAAAACCACATACCAGGGACTCACACAGATGAAAAAAATGGAACTTCTTAAATAAATGCTTCACAATATAGCATCAGAGGAGAAAAGAGAGACAAGAAACCAAATATCTGTCTACAAACTAAAGTACAAGGAACTGTGTTTCCTCAACTAAACATAGACCAGCAAACTCACAATGTAGCAGAAACATCAACAATCAGAAAGAAAACATTGATGATGCAAAGATAAGCAGAGAAATCAAAAGACCTGATTGCTTTGGTATCCATATACTGCACCCTGAAAGTTTCTGAATTTCGTCTTCTAAGCTTAGGCCCATCTGAAATTAGTTTAGGAAAAAGGAATCTGAATGAGCGAGCAATAATGTTCCTCTAATGCAAACACTATCACTGAAATTAGCCTAAACAACAAAGCTATAACGATTCAAGGAACAAAAACTGAGAGCTGAGAGTTTTCACTTTTCAGATCACATTACTTACCGTCAGTATCAACACGAGGATTGGTAACTCCAGAGCTACTTGGGTCAAATTCTGCTAGACCAGGTTCAGATTCAGTCACAAAATAGTATAGAAAACCTAATTATTCCCGGAGAATCAGAGTAACCTGACCTTGGGCTATATCTTCGTAATCATCGTCACTATCAGCGCTATAATCTGATTCAGTGGCAGAAACATTGAACCATTTACGGAGAACAAGACGTGCCCAGTAGAGCTGGAGACATGAGAAAGCTGAGCAACATATTGTAGCCCAATTGCTCTGCAACATTTCACATGATCGTTATCCCCCGAAATTCGGAAAACCCCTAATCTAACCAAACTATACGGAAACAAAACAAAGGAGACGACAGAGATCTGGATACCTCCGTTCGCCGTGATCGTGATCGTACTTCCGCCATAGACTCCGGTCAAACCAAACTGAGAAAGAAGAAGAGGTTGCAGGAGGGGAAGAAGACGCGGTTGAGAGTTAACGACCTATACAGATTGAATTGCTGATTTTTTATTTTCTTTTAGAACCGACGGTTAAAAGTTTGATTATATTCCGGTTTAAAACCGGTTAAGAATATGTCAACCAAATTTGGGGGAAAATAGTTAGATTGTTACAATTGATTAAATGTGTGGTTAACAAACATATATTTGTAGTTATATAAAATAAAACAGATATTTCTCTTTTATATTATAAAATTTTGGCATATAGATAAATCGTTTTCATATATAGTACACATGTTACATTCTTTATTTTTCCTAGAATTTGAAAATTTGTAATTTTTTTTAACACTAAAAATATTTAAATCGGTTGATAATAAATCGATGTTAATTATTTGTATCATCACTGTAAAATTTATTTGCATTAATTATAAATAATGGAAATATATAAAATAAATGATACAATACACTTTTTCTTTCTTTTTTTTTTTTTGGCAAACAATACACTCTTTTTTTCGTAGTGATAACAACATATGAGAAAAAGCTTACTAGGCAAGACAGTTTCAAAAAAAAACTGGGATGAAGGCTAATTAATTGAACGTAAATAGTTTAGTAATGCGTAAACATAGCAAATGTATGTTGGTGAATTAATTAATATAAAAAGCTTCCTTAAAATTCCGTAGGAGGTAGCTCGAGTGATCAGACATATAGACTGTATACTTGACCGTGGATGCACCGTAAGCAAGTTTTACCCACCGAATAATGGATAGCCGGTGAGTTTCCGAATTGAATTGGACCAAAGTAAGATATCAAAATGAATCTTGGCTCATTGGATTTCAAGTGTCTGTTGAAACCTTGTCATGATCAATGGATGATCAAATGACTAAGGTTTTGTATGCATATTGAATGATTCAGGTAGAACTATCCTAGAATAATTGGTCCAGATGGGAAGAAATGACTAAACTATCTGGAATATGCAATCTAAACGGTGTAACGTGAGTAGGAAAACTTTTTTCATATTTTTTCTTGTTAATAATATGCAGTAGTCGACCGAAAGCTCTCAAATTTCTCATCATTAAAATTGGAATTGGTGATTCCACTTTCTTCTTGTGGGATCCATGGACCCCTTATGGATCCTTTTATCACTTTCTTGGTGCAGATGGACCCTCCCGCTTAGGGATCCCTCTGTTAGCTATTGTGGCTGAAGTTTGGAATGTAGATGGCTAGTCTCTACCAAATCCCAGAACAGAAAGACAAGTCCTTTTATCCGTTTTCATCTCTACTGTTACTTTCTCATCTTCCAGTGACAAGGCGGTGTGGGAGGTAAATGGACTACCATGCTGATTTTTTCTTTCAAAGCTATGTGGAATTCAATCAGGGTTTCAAGAGAAAAACGGTCATGGGCACCTCTTGTATGGCCTAAACTGGTCATACCAAAACATGCCACTGCTACATGGCTATTTATTTTAAACCGCAATCCTACATTGGATCGTATGGCTTCTTGGGGCTACGATATTGAAAAAGATTGCTTTCTTTGTGGTGTAGCTCAAGAAACTCAAAATCGGTTTTTTTAGTGTTCTTTCTCGGCTCAGCTTTGAAATAAAATAACACAAAGGCTGGGAATTTCATCTCCTCCTACTATTTGGGATCAAGTTTTACTATGGCTTCCAACTGCCCTAACAACTAAGCATAGCAAGTTGGCGGGCTTACACGGATGGCAAGGTGCAATTTATGAATTATATACGGCGTAAAAGAAATCGACGTTATCATGATGGTCTCACTCTATCCCCGACTACGTACGGTTGCAAAGCTTGTCATTTCCACCATGGAAAACAAGTGTCATGCGTTGCACCAGCTTGAATCCAAGAATGCTTTACATGTTCTTCAATGATGGATGCGCACAAGGTAATGTGGGCATCAGAGCTGAACTGGTTAGCTCACATTATTAGAGTATTGGCTTTGATACCATCTTTTGTTAAGTTCCTTTTGTTGGTCTTATTCTCAACTTTATTTCTGGTTTGGCTCTTGTTTGTTTCTTTGTAAATTTTTTATTTTCAGTTATATAAGCAAAGCCCTTTAACACAAAAAAAAATGTAGTAGTATAAACTTGGACGTTTACTTCCAGTTCAATTATTGGTTTAAGTCATGAATTAGCATGGCAACAGTACGTACTTCGACGTTTTAGACCTCAGTGTATTCCAGTATTCCTAGTCAAGGCTTGTGTGTTCTACTCTTACATTTTGAGTTTTTATATACAAATTAAGTTTATCAATCTTGTATCACTTTGAAACAAACATTTCTTGAATATTTACCATACAAAAGATAAATGGTTTAGTAGTAAAATGTAGGTCTCCAACATACGATAAAAAAGTCTTCAAGAATGTTATTTTACAACTAGGTTAGCTCGAACAACCAGTAATTAGCGGCCGCGTTAAAGCATTTGCTTTTGGAGCGTGCATGCAGACAAATTAACCACATTTAATTATATCATTAGTTACCCTAAAATTTCTATCGCCGCGACGCCGCCTACAAGATAGTACTTCTTAAAGTTACATATACCGAAGTTTGTGAAACATGAGTTAACTAGTAACATGTGACATTAGTATTCTAATAGTTTTACCATTACTGAAATAGATATTAAGCAAAGCTAAAGTATATCTTATCAACTTATCGAGTACAAAACTTTAAATGGGTAGTAAAAAGAGGTCGTCAAAGTCTAATACTATTTTCTTAAAATACATTTTATAGCTCTCTCCTTCATGTGAGTGTTTTTTTTCTATAAACAATATTTGATGCTGCTCACCTCCCAAAACGCACCCACCTCCTCTGTCTTGGTAATGTAATTTTGATTTTTACGTATCGTTTTAATTAATTATATTATTTAAGCAATTAAACCAATTTTACGACATTAACAAAAAAAAATCCATCCCATTAGATTATTCATAGAAACACGACACAAACAAAAGGGACTTCCCTCCAAAATCACTTTTAAGTTTTTAACTTTCACCATCTCCTAGGCCATGCTGGCTCTAATCACTTGTGTGTTCCCTATTTATAGTCCTAATTTATTCATAACCAAGATATAATTGGGATCTTTTGTTATCATTTCGTCGTGCTAAATAATAGAGAATAGGTTTGTAGTACTCTACCCTTCAAAACTAAAATAGAGTTTACGAATGTAACACAAGTACACAACTATTGTAGAAACAAAATATCTAGTCCACCAAATAAACTCCAAATTATTACGAACGTTATGTTTTATTTCCACCTTTACTACACTATATAATTTACAAGTACATATGTCTAATACTCCTTCATACGAAGTGTTTGGCATATTTGTAGATAAACTATGATGTTCTAGTTTAACAAAAACAAAAAAGATGATATATGTTCTTTTGAAGTACTCAAATCAAACCATTTATGTTCGTGAATATCACAGCTTTAGTTAGCCTCATTTGTCAGACCACTCTCATTTCATGGATATATCGTTATTAGCTATATGAAGTTAGGAAGATTTAGGATATTATTAATTATATTAGACTGAATTTTATGCATATGAAAGATAATAATATTAAATGCTGTTGATTTCAATAAAATGGAGGTAGTATACATACATATAGGAACACTAAATTTTAGAATGAAATTAAATACGCGAAATATGTTAGAATTATATTGACATCGAGAGATGAGAAATTTGTAGGGCAATTTATAAAATACATGGATATATCCACTTATTGTCAATTGATTTTGAAGTGAAATCTCATGTTTAATAAAAAAATAAGACTAGGATTTGTATTAACATCGTTATAGTTCTATCGCTCTTGTTCAAATATCCATATTACAAGTTGACAGAAAATAAACTAAATAATTTATCGAAAATAAGTATATTTTTTTTTGTTTTTTCGAACAATGAATTTACTATATATTTCTTTTAATATAAACCAAACATGTAAATATTATTTTTGTTGGCAAAAATAATAATAAAATTATTTTTGTCGCAAGAGATTTTTGAAAAATATAATAATAATTTTTTTTTACAATTACTTTATAAGTTGATGCCTTGATGGTGTCTTTCTAAATATTCCTATTCTTTTTTTAATTTCATACATCATTATTTATCTTCTTCGACACATTAGTTATTCTAAATATCTACTATTTAATGTATACTTCTACTATAAAGGTGTCATTACATGTTTTGGATCATTCATATAATGATTGACAAATATAGTGTAACCAAATTAGTAAAGACATCCACATCCTAATCCTTATACTGTTTTGGTAACCAGATATGTCCCACTGATAGAAATCCAACAATATCCAGGTTAAAATGATGTTGTTATCAAATGTAATCACCCAACAAAAAAATAGATCAGTTTGCCATATCATTAGAGACAACCCACTATGGTGCAAACCAATTAGTGGATCATCAGTTTTGATTATCTTGATCATTGTCGTATAGTATGGGTTCATCTAATGTAAAGAGTAAAAATAGAGACCAAACAAGAAGATCCAAGGGTTGGGAGTGGCCGACAAAAGGAGAAGAAGATGGGAGAAGAAGACAAAGAGCAATAACATGTATTGTTACTTTGTTAGCTACATTGCTTCGTGGTTTGATGTTATCACACCCTAAACCACAAAAATGTGTGGGTGTAACATTATGTATACAATAAAATAACTTAGTTGCTTATACGTTACACCTGAGATTCTTTAACCAAACAAAATAACTTAGAGATCCTCTCTTCGATTTTTTTCTAAAAAATTAACCGATAACGAATCAAGACCTACCGAGATTACATACCGAAATCGATACATCTTATAAAGAGACGTTAAGTTTAAACATAAAAAGTTTAACCCGAGATTGAGCAATAATGGAGATGTGTTCTTTCTTCACTATTCAATTATACGCATGCACCCGTTTTTTTTTTTTTTTGAATAACATGCACCCGTTTTTATTGATAAAACTTATAAATTTATGGTATTAAATCAAACATGTGAGTAATGAAACATGTATACTAATTAACTTTGATAGTGTGCCAAGTAATGAAACTGCTTTTTATTATGTAAAAAAGGTATTACAATCCTATGTAAACAACATTCCTCAGGAATGACTCTTTTGAGCTTTAATTAATTTCGGATGACAAAAAAAAAAATCCTATTAATGGGTTTTCAAACTAATGATAGACAAAATAATTTTGATACAAATTAACTTAAATATCTACAAAAATCTTTGGTCCGTGAATATACTTTATAAAAAAGCAAAGCATAAAACGAACCTTGATTTTTGGAAGGAAGACTTAATTTAAATACCTTGGGTTTTGAGAGAAATACAGGTTTGTTTATTGTAGAAATGTTAAAAGTTTAAATATTTTCATAAATAGAAAATAGTATTTTACATATAGCACACACATCCACGAAAAAACGGAAGAAAATCCGGTGGCGCCCAAATCACTGCAGTATAATAATCTAAGAAAAAACTAAAAATCATATAAAATAAACAGAGTAATTCAATCTTATTATTAGTCTTCCCAAGAAGGCAACACCAACAAACGAGAAGAAAGAGACAGAGAGAGATAAAGCAAAACCCAAAGTCCAAGGTCACCTTCTTCAACCTCTAAGCTCCGGCCACCTTCATCACCACAACCACCGGATAAAGTTTCTACCTTTTTTCCACCACCAGAGAGTTTCTCCATATGGGAGAGAATGTGAGGACCTCACATGGTTATCTACAGTTATTGCTCTTGTTGTTCTTGTTCTGCAATGGTTTAGTGTAAACCTTAAGCAATCACAAAGCTCTTACACATGCTTCTTGTCTCCTCAAGGTTCAACAAAAAAAAGATAAGACAACACTTTGCTTCTCTTCTTCCTCATCCTCCATTAACACCACCCACCAATCATTTCACCAACACTTTCATAAACCTATCACCTTCATTTTTCTTCCCTAGAGATTCCATGGAGAGAGAACAATCTCATTTTTTCTTCTTGTTCTTGTTCTTGGTTTGTTCATGGGTCTCCATGGCCCAACCCACTCTTTCTCTTTCATCAGATGGCCAAGCTCTTCTCTCTCTGAAGAGCCCATCACCATCACTATTCTCTTCTTGGGACCCACAAGACCAGACACCATGTTCATGGTATGGCATTACATGTTCTGCAGACAACAGAGTCATCTCTGTCTCTATCCCCGACACTTTCCTTAACCTGTCTTCAATCCCTGACCTCTCTTCTCTCTCCTCTCTTCAGTTCCTAAACCTCTCCTCCACCAACCTCTCTGGCCCAATCCCTCCTTCATTTGGAAAACTTACCCACCTAAGGCTTCTCGACCTTTCTTCAAACTCTCTCTCTGGTCCAATCCCATCAGAGCTTGGTCGCCTCTCTTCTCTCCAGTTCCTTATCTTGAACGCCAACAAGCTCTCTGGCTCAATCCCTTCACAGATTTCAAATCTATCTGCCTTGCAAGTGCTTTGTCTTCAGGACAATCTGTTGAATGGTTCGATTTCTTCAAGTTTTGGCTCTTTGGTCTCTCTTCAGCAGTTCAGACTTGGAGGTAACCCTAATCTCGGAGGTCCTATCCCTGCTCAGCTAGGGTTTCTGAAAAATTTGACAACTCTAGGGTTTGCAGCCAGTGGTTTGTCAGGTTCAATCCCTTCCACATTTGGGAATTTGGTAAATTTACAAACTTTGGCTCTGTATGACACTGAGATCTCTGGTACCATTCCTCCTCAACTGGGTTTATGCTCAGAGCTCAGAAACTTGTATTTGCACATGAACAAGCTCACTGGATCCATCCCAAAGGAACTAGGTAAGCTCCAGAAGATCACTAGCTTGCTTCTATGGGGGAATTCTTTATCTGGGGTCATCCCACCAGAGATTTCCAACTGTTCTTCCCTTGTGGTGTTTGATGTTTCCGCCAACGATCTGACCGGTGAGATTCCTGGAGATTTGGGGAAGCTTGTTTGGTTGGAGCAGCTTCAGTTGTCTGATAATATGTTCACCGGTCAGATTCCTTGGGAATTAAGCAACTGTTCCAGCCTCATTGCTCTTCAGCTGGATAAGAACAAGTTATCAGGCTCCATACCTTCCCAAATCGGAAACCTAAAGTCTCTGCAGAGCTTTTTCTTGTGGGAGAACTCGATTTCAGGAACCATTCCGTCTTCTTTTGGCAACTGCACGGACCTAGTCGCCCTTGACCTCTCTAGGAACAAGCTAACAGGAAGAATCCCAGAAGAGCTCTTCAGTTTAAAGAGGCTCAGCAAACTTCTCCTTCTTGGAAACTCTTTATCCGGTGGATTACCAAAGAGCGTATCGAAATGCCAGTCGCTTGTGAGGCTAAGAGTAGGAGAGAACCAACTCTCAGGTCAAATCCCTAAAGAGATAGGCGAGTTACAGAACCTTGTGTTTCTTGATCTCTACATGAACCATTTCTCTGGTGGGCTTCCTTACGAGATCTCTAACATCACTGTCCTTGAGCTCTTAGATGTGCACAACAACTACATAACTGGAGATATTCCTGCTCAGTTAGGGAACCTTGTGAATCTAGAGCAGCTTGATTTGAGCAGAAACAGCTTCACCGGAAACATACCGCTGAGTTTTGGTAACTTAAGTTACTTAAACAAGTTGATCCTCAACAACAATCTCCTCACTGGTCAAATCCCTAAATCCATCAAGAATCTGCAAAAGCTTACACTTCTTGATCTTAGCTTCAACAGCTTATCCGGTGAAATCCCACAAGAACTCGGCCAAGTCACTAGCTTGACTATAAATCTGGATTTAAGCTACAACACCTTCACTGGAGACATCCCGGAAACCTTCTCAGGCCTCACACAGCTACAATCACTCGATCTCTCACGCAATTCACTACACGGCGACATCAAAGTCCTCGGTTCACTCACAAGCCTAGCGTCACTCAACATTTCCTGCAACAACTTCTCCGGTCCAATCCCAGCTACACCATTCTTCAAAACAATCTCCACAACATCATACCTCCAAAACACAAACCTCTGCCATTCACTCGACGGCATCACTTGCTCATCACGCAATAGACAAAACAACGGAGTCAAATCCCCAAAGATCGTAGCTTTAATCGCGGTAATCTTCGCTTCAATCACAATCGCCATCCTCGCAGCCTGGCTTCTCCTCTTACGAAACAACCACCTCTACAAAACCCAAAAAACTCAAAACTCCTCTTCTTCACCATCAACAGCAGAAGACTTCTCATACCCATGGACATTCATACCCTTCCAAAAACTCGGTATCAGCGTCAACAACATCGTCAATTGCTTAACCGACGAAAACGTGATCGGCAAGGGATGTTCAGGGATCGTTTACAAAGCCGAAATACCTAACGGAGAGATCGTAGCAGTGAAAAAGCTTTGGAAAACTAAAGACAACGAAGAAAGAGGAGAATCAACAACCGATTCATTCGCAGCGGAGATTCAGATTCTTGGTAACATCAGACACAGAAACATAGTGAAGCTATTAGGTTACTGTTCGAACAAATCAGTGAAGCTGCTTCTATACAATTACTTCCCTAATGGGAATCTTCAACAGTTGTTGCAAGGAAATCGAAACTTGGATTGGGAAACACGTTACAAGATTGCTATTGGATCTGCTCAGGGTTTGGCTTATCTTCATCATGATTGTGTTCCGGCGATTTTGCATAGAGATGTCAAGTGTAATAATATTCTTCTGGATTCGAAATATGAAGCGATTCTTGCGGATTTTGGACTCGCGAAGCTGATGATGAATTCGCCGAATTATCACAATGCCATGTCTCGTGTCGCTGGTTCTTATGGATACATCGCACCAGGCAAGTTTCTCTGTTTTTTGATGGAGGGGTTTCTTTTGCAATATTACAAAATATTAGGGGTTTATAAATAAAATTTTAAAGCTTAGGATTTCATTGGCATTATTACAAGAGATTGGTGCATTATTACAAAATATTAGGTTTTTTTTTTTATGAATTGTTAAAATTTAATGTTTCATTTGCATTATTACAAATGATTGTAGGTTATTTTTTGTTGGTAGATTGTGTGCTTTTTAATAAATTGTTAAAAATCAGGGCTCTTATCATTATAACAAAAGATTGGGATTTTTTGTGAATTTGTTAAAACTCAGAGCTTCATTTGCAGTATTACACGAAATCAGGGCAAATTTTAAATGAATTTGTTAAAAATAAGGGTTTCTTGTGCATTATTACGATAAATTAGGGTTAATTTGCTAAATTTAAGGTTTGAGTTGCATTATTACAAATATTGTGGTTTTTTTTGTTGTTGTTGGCAGGTTGAATGTTTTTAATGAATTTGTTAAAATCAGGGTTTCATTCATTTTACAAAATATTGGGGTTTTATTTGATGAGTTTGTTAAAAATCAAGGTTTTATTTTCATATTTGCAAAAGGTAAATATATTAAAGCTAAGAGGTTTCTGTGTAATTTATACAGAATACGGATACACGATGAACATAACAGAGAAGAGTGACGTGTATAGCTACGGCGTCGTTTTATTAGAGATTCTAAGTGGCCGGAGCGCCGTGGAGCCACAAATCGGCGACGGACTTCACATAGTAGAATGGGTGAAGAAGAAGATGGGAAGCTTTGAACCAGCTTTATCAGTACTTGACGTGAAGCTCCAAGGACTACCAGATCAGATAGTTCAAGAGATGCTTCAGACATTAGGAATCGCCATGTTCTGTGTGAATCCGTCGCCTGTAGAGAGACCAACGATGAAGGAAGTTGTGACATTGTTAATGGAGGTTAAGTGTAGTCCTGAAGAATGGGGTAAAACATCTCAGCCTCTTATAAAGCCTTCTTCTTCATAACTAATGGTGATTGTGTTTTCTTGTTCTTGTTCTTGTTTTTTGATTTAGGTCAAGTTTGGTTGAGAGGTTTTGATTTCTTGTACATAAAGTATCATTGTTAGTTTAATATCCTGTTGTATGGATAATTTGTTGGAACTTGGAAACATTTTAGACTTTGGAATCAAGTAGAATTGGTTACAACTTTGTATTACATCATTTGGTGTTTGAAACATACATTTGAGAGCTCGGGTTTTCGAAGCCAGTATTGTTTGAATCTCTGTCTTGAGTACTCGGCGTAATCGAACTCGATCTTGTTTACATATCCCTGCACAATCACAATTCATATTTCAGATACTTTCTTGGTTACATTATGTTTGGATTGGAGAAAGGAAGACTCTTACAGAGATGATTCCCCATAAGCCCCATAAGAGATGGCTTGCTAATGTGTACTTCTCAACATCATCCAAGAGCTGTTTTATGTCTTCTTCCTTTGGTTCCTCGCCTAACAAAGAAGGCGTATTAGTTCATGAGACGTTGTTATGACTAGAAGAAGAAGGAACTATGTTTCTTTGAGAAACTGACCTGAAGAGCTGAGATAGTTATGGATGAATCTCCTTCGTTCCTCTTCTCCTGCAATTCCCAAACCAATCAGTCGAAATACGAATGTATTTGTTACTTTTCGACTTGTCGATGATATCAAACCGGGTTAAGCTCTGTATTACCTGGGTATAGTGTGTAGTCCAATATATGGGGAGTTTCAGAATGGTAATTTGCTGCCATTTCGCAGAAGTGATTTGCAATGTCGTATGCAACCGGGTTATAACTAGCGTACTCGTAGTCCTGTTAGAGAATCTCATGTTGGTCAATGAGTGATGATATTTTAACCTCAAGGGTAATGAGAAACTTACAATGATAGTAATAGCATTGGTGTCTTCATCAATCATAATGTTGCCATACTGCAAATCATTGTGACAAAACCCAATCTCTTGCTGATGATTCTCATTGTGCAGCTCATGTTCCAGCAAGTTTATCTCAGCTTCAATCTTGTCTAGACCAAACTCTTCTAAATCTTCAGGTGTACACAGACTCTTGGCTTGTCTAAGCCAATTCCTGGTCATATGTTTTAAAGATTCTGTTATTGATCAAACCACTTCATGCTTCATAATAACAGAGAAAGATTACTCACCTCATCCTATCCCAAATGAGCACATTTCTATCACCAGGGATGTTTATACCATGAAACTCTCTTAGCTTAGCCGCAACACGAGCAGATACTTCCGTGTCACGTAGATCCACCGCCGATAAAGTCTGATCAAAAGTCATAAAATGCAATTGAAACATAAATAAACCAGAATCATGATGATGATTGATGAATAAAGTGAAAACAATGTCCATCAAAAGCATCTCAATCGGTTCACAGCTAAACCGGGCATACCTCTATTGGTCCTAAACAAACCACTATCAAAGATCGTTGTTGATGATAGACAGACCCAAGTTATGGTGATGAAGTCCAACAAGAGCATCTAAATGTTCCTTGTTACTCAATTGATACACAACTAAACCGGTAAATAAGTCTACTGGTAATTTTCCCGGTTCAACATCAATCACAAAACAAAATCTCCTAATTAAAAAACACAAAATCAAAGGACGTTGTACTATCTTCTCCTACTCAAATTCAGACCAAACACTATCATTTCGTAGACACAACATAATGAATCTAAATCAAATGAGTTTGGTGAATTATTCCACAAGAAACCAAACCAAACCAAACATACCCGGGCATTAATAAACTCCTCGATTCTACCGCCAGCAAACCGGCCAAGAAGCTTAGGACCGTAACCATAACGAGAGACAACCTCGAACGTACGAATCTCATCTTTCCTATTGAACAACAGATCACCAACTCCTTCTCCATAAACACGAACAAGAAGCTTCCTATGATGAAAATCATTATCCTTTGTTGGCCACGTCACCATAAAAACTTCGTTAGTCATTGCACCTTTCATGGGTTTCACTTGAAGACACTCAAGATCTTCAACTACATCTCCCCATTTTCCGGACAGTGTTTCAAGTACTTTCTTTAGACTGTCTGGTGATGAAATTGGGATCAAACCCAACATTTCTTTTCTCTGTCTCTGCAATTGTTGTGATTTCTGTAAGAAGATACGACAAAAGCTCTCTGCTTTCCTGAACATTCGGAATTATTAAGAAAGTAACAGTTGAACAGAGGAATTTTTGATTCAATGTTGGGATCAATGGGATGAATTTGAATTAACTCGTATTTATGTGTTAATCTCAAGCCGAGATTTTAGATACATGTCTTAATATTATTATAGCCTAAACCCTAAATTGAAAGGATAAAAAAGTAATTTAGACAATTACAAACACTAATTGCAGTATGTAACCCATTAGGCCTGCGATTTCGGTTTTTTCGGTTCAAACGGTTCAGATGTTTTGATTTTCGGGTTTTTAATGATATTTACAAACTTAGCAAAAAAAAGAAAAAAAATCGGCTAATCATACATATAAAAGTAAGGTTTCACTCTCTCCTTATTGGTCCACTTGGCAATTTATTTTTAAAATATAATATTTATTTTTTAATTAAACCTAAAATGTAACACATTTAATCATACACATTAATTCATACTTTAAATCCACACTTTACTACTAAATTGTAACTGAAATTACATAATTGTGAATTGACTATTTTTTCCTCTATTCATTATCATATTTAAACACACAATAATTATAATTGTAACTCCTATAATCTAATTATTTTAAAAATGTAACTTCCATCACTTTTTTCCTATAAATAACCATTCTCACATCCTCTTCCACCATGTCTCAAATCCTAAATATTTTCTTTGTTTTGCTTATGTTTTTGCATGGGTTGAAAACTCAGTTAAGATATCATTGTAAGAGTTTGATTATATATTTTGTTACTGTATATCTTACATTCTTTTTAATTTTATTTCTTTTTTTTATTATGTACTTCTTCCTTCTTTCTTTACTTTTTTATAATATTTTTTAATTTAAAATTAAATATGATGGCTATGATAAAATTACCTTATTGATACAGATCAAAAATATTAATTCCGACCATGACACAATAAGGGAATCAAGATAAAAACTATCTCCATTTTTTTTACTTTGAATGTTTGTTTCTTACATAGTCATGTATATTTATTTTATTTTTGATAGTATGCAATGTTTTAACGAAATATGTTTTTGTAATACATTTATCAAATTAAGTTTCCTTCACTCTCTCTTACCTCCAAAAAAATTGTAATACGTTTTGAGTATACTCATCATTATATTTATTTTTTTATTCAACATATAATTATAGAAAGATCATTAAAATTTTTATTTAATTCAAATCTTGTAGTGTAAGGATTTTTCTATATATAAGAACAAATTTGATATTCCATTTCCAATCTATCTTGTACTACAAAGATGAAATCATTAGAATTAAACTTAGCAATATAACTTAAATTAAGTAGAATACAAAAAGAGATTGAACAATGAAAGTAATCTTTGGGATTTTTTTTAAAGCTTTTCATTGAACTTCATATGATTTTAAAGGAAATGTATTTAATTTGTTATTTACAAAATAATCTGGAAAATACTTCAAGTTATATGTTAGTTTATATCAAAAACTTAGACTAAATATTTGAAACATTGTAAATTTTCATTTTTATCATTAATAATGTTTATTTTACCTCGAATGCTTAAATATACTAAATAAAATTATTAGCATAGTTGAACAATAAACGAATAAATTCATGAGACTTATATGTATGGTTATATTAAATAAGTTATGTATATTCATATTGTCTGATTTGAATAAATATAAGTGTAGAAAATGTTATTGACACAAATTATTTGTTCCAACACAAATTAATATTTATTTCTAATTAACTCGCATTCAAAATCATGTATAATTCTAAATTTAATCCAAGTGTAACTCCTACCCAATAATTATAAAAAACTTCATTATCCCACTATATGACTCCACATTTAACAAAAATATAACTCCTACCCATTACCCAATAATTAAAAAGAAAATTTCATTGTCACACTAAAATACATTAAATATTTGATTATATTGACTATAATTCACAAATTGAATGGTAAACGTTTAAAACGTATAAGTAACCAAATTATAATAATTTTCTTAATTAACTCACATTCAAAGTCATGGTACACATGTAACCCGATAATTAACCTCACATTTAACCCAAATGTAACTCCTACCGAGTAATAAAAAGCTTTATTCTCCTACTAAACTTTATTCTCCTTTCACAACATTTGATTATTCTCCTACGATACAATATACAAAGATATTGAATTCACATTATCATAATTTTTGAAAACATGAATGATAAATTGATAATGCACATTATCATTAGCTTTAAGCATTGAATTCTCATTTTTCTAACGGTCAACTAAATATTGTAAAAGGAAAAAGAATGTGAATTAGTACATGGAAATATATGTATATATAGATAGACGTTCACTTTAGTTTTGGACTCATATTAGTATTCGGGTTCAACCTTTTAGTTTTTGTAAAACATTTTATATTATTTAATGTTCCTATTGTTATTGTTAGTTGAGTCTTAGTTACATATATTTTATTTTTATATTATTGTAATGTTCCGTGTTCTTTACGGTTAGAGCACCACGTTTTTCTGGAAGAGACTGCAGATGAGCTCTTCTATCACTGCTTTTTGGCAAAGAGGAGGATGTGGAGGCATCATGGTAGCGACATGATGATAAGTATGATAATACGCTTTTCCAGATTATTTTGTAAATAACAAATTAAATACATTTCTTATTTTTGTTAATTAAATTTATAATTATATATAGCTTCAACATATGTGTTCACTAAATTAGGAAAAATTTATAGGTTTTAAGTTAATATTATGTTTTATTGTTTGTTGTATTTTTCTAAGTTTTTTCTATAGATTTTTACTTTGGTATTATAAATAACCATACCAAATAAGCTTGATAAAAATGCAAGGTTTCACTTTCTTTTTTATTTGTCCACTTAACCTCCCCATTATTGTCATATAGATAAGAAGTTTTAAGATTTAATTTTCTAGAAAAACAATAAAAATTGTTTTCGGCTCTTTTAATTGAAAAAATAATTTATTAATTTTTAGAAATATATTTAAAGCTATTATGCAATAACCCACGCGTCGCGTGGGCTCAAAACCTAGTCTTCATAAAGGTCAGGTTTGGAATTTGGATTTTCTTTTGGTTCAGGTTGAAAAAAGCAAAGAATCAAAGTTTGGGTTAAAAAAGGTTGTTGGCAAATAGTTAGGATTGAAAAAGACTGTTTCCCGTATTTTATACATCACTATATAATCCGAAACATTAGACCATTTTGCTTCTAATCCTTTGTAAAATTCATTATAAATTTGGTTTATTAATTCTAAGACTCATAATACTGTAATAAAGTCATAGTGAAACACATTTACCAAATAAACCACATATTTAAAGATCAAGGAAGACGAGCAAGAAAACGGATGCGCGTTAGCGCAACGGCTTTCGCTAATGTTGTTTAACCCGTTACTTGTTTCCGGCGCATGAAAATGTATTACAACAAAAGTTTATTTATTTTATATTTCAATATTCATTAAGTTGTTTTTATTTATTTAATCTTAGATTTTGTTCAAATTCGAACATTATCATTTAAAAAATCCAACTAATATTGAAAACCATATGAAAACTATTGATTTATTTTTCATCTTACAGTTACATGCATACTTATAACATTAACATTAGATTGTTTCATCTTACAAGCATACTTATTTATCCCACACAACAACATTTGTCATCAGTACAAAGGCCTCCACGATACTTTTGTAGTTTACAATAATGATCGCAAGCTGTTTCCCCTCTATAAATACACAGAACTGGATCGAAGCATGTAAGCCGCCCTATTCCATAACCTGTTTATTAACAATACTCATTAAAACATTAACAAAGAACAAAATCATGATCATAATAATAATAATTGAGGATATAACTATAATAAACAATTACCTGGACTATCAGCAGTTGTAGGACGACAATGAATAGAAAATATAATGAAGAGGATAGTGAGAAAAATTCTGACTAAAGTTTTTAAAGTCATAGCCATTTTTATGATATTTTCTGAATTTGTTTTGCTTATTAAGTTTTCCTTTAGTATGCTATTATATATACACAAATATATATATATATATATATATATATATATATATATATGGAAATATATCTATCTTTTAAATTAAAAATAGCATAACATTATTTTCTTACCTTATTTTATCTGGTCAAAAAAGAAAGACCTCAATCTTTTAATTTATTTCCTTAAAAATTTACACTCAAAAGAAAAATACAGATATATTTTTTTGAGATGATATATATATTTTATACATAATTTAATATGTAATTTGTTTTCAGCGTAAAATATTTAGTTAAATGTTTAAATATTAATTGAAAATTATAATGGTTATATTAGAAGTGAAAAATATCTAGATCTTTAGTTTGGTTTGCGGGAAAAATGGTCAACTTCAACTTGAACAAAGTGCAAAGTGCGTTTTTAACTTTTTATATCTCAACAAAGTTATAGTGCTTTTTTCAACCTCAACACTAAAATAATTCAAATAAACTACTCGGACTATTTGATTTGAGCGTAAAACTACATTGACTTAAACAAAACTAGTCAAACGTTTGCTTTCGCTCATTTGGACGATACGATGGCGACGGAATATCATTTCATCTTTAACCAAATAATGTCGTTTTGGTCATTTGAGTCTATAAACTCAGCCGAAAGATGTCGTTTTGGTCATTTGAATCCATAAACTTAACAAAACGACGTCGTTTGGTTAAGATAAAATGACACTCGTAAAGACAAAATGACACTTCGTTGTCACCATGTTAAGTTTATGGATTCAAATGACAAAAAAAATGTTATACTACTTCGTTACTATCGTGTCGTCTAAATCTACGAAAACAAACAGTTGACAAATTTTTTTTTAAAATCAATATTGTTTTACGCTCAAATATCATAATCTGGGTAATTTATTTGAATTATTTTAGTGTTAAAATTGAAAAAGGTACTGTAACTTTGTTGAAATATATAAACACATTTTACAATTTGTTTGGGTATATATTCACCATTTTGGCATTTTCCCTTAATTTGTGTGCTTGACTAATGTTTGTGTGATTCCGAATCTGTAAACGGACCAATCCTCAGTTTTTGGTTGATTTATTTCAATATAAAAAGTAAAATTGATTATCCTACCAAAAAAAAAAGTAAAATTGATTAAAAAAAAGATTAATATAGACCTAAACCATAACTCCGAAGAAGGAAAATGAAGTGGTAAAAAAAAAGAAAAAAGAAAATGAAGTGGTTAAAGTTAGACCAATATAAATTGGTTCACCGGTCGAACCGGTAATTCCGGTTCGGTTTGAATAGTAAAATTTTGGCCTTTTAGAGAAGGGTTTATGGCGAAAGCTCAGTGGCTTCTGTTGCTCTACCTTGCTTGATCTGTCATTTTGGTTAGATCTTCGTCTTCTCTCGTATAATTCTCATTATCTGCTCCTGAATATTATCTTCTTCTTCAGCTTAATCTTGACTCTTTTGTTTCTTCTAATGGTTATAGATGGATAGTGACATTGTTTCCAGTAGCGTTGATCAATCTCGGACAGCAATGCCTGGTAAAGTTTCCCCCTTTTAAATCTACCACTCTATGATCGATTTGTTAGAAAGGTGGGATCTTTATGCTTTTGTTGTTCCATTTGAAGACATTGATGTTATGAATTATTTGTATCCAATAAAGGATTGAACTTGATACCTTCTTCTCTAAAGCAAATCAATTTTATAGCAATCAAGATTTACATTTTTATATTGATTGGTTATGTTTATGTTACTTGTAGATTCATTGGCATTTAAGAGTATCAATGATCCTATCAAGAACAAGATCAATGGTTGTGCTACAATCTGTGTTAAACAAGATGATCCATGCCATTTCTTGCGTGTCCTTTATGGTAATGGTTGCAAACACATCTTCATGTGCTTTTGTTATTGAAAGATCCAATTTTTTTCTCTTTCAAGTTCATTAGATGTTGTTTGCAGAGTCTCTGATAACAGGAGGGTTGGCTGGTGTTGTGGTGGAAGCTGCTCTATACCCGATTGATACGATCAAAACTCGAGTACAGGTTGTTTCTCCTCAAACCAATTTGTGTTATGATCCAATATAAGCTCTTTTTTACTGCAGTTCAATTTCAGAGAGATTCCCACTATGACCAATGCTTCACTTACAACGGCTAATTATAGTGGTTTGACATGTTTAGGTAGCTCGGGATGGTGGAAAGATAATATGGAAGGGACTATACTCTGGTCTTGGTGGAAATCTTGTCGGTGTCTTACCGTAAGTATGCAGTCAGAATGAAAGAAAGAAAATATATGCATACACATTAAGTAATTGCGACTCTTTGTTTCAGATGAACAATGTTTTCTTACATGTGCAGTGCTTCGGCTCTATTTTTTGGTGTATATGAACCAACCAAACAGAAGCTGTTGAAGGTTTTGCCTGAGAATCTTAGTGCGGTTGCACATTTGGTATGTTTTCTCTTTAAACAATCCTGAAATCTAATTTAAGCGTTAGAGAGAAGATGAATGTCTTCGTGAGCTGTATACATTAGTCTTGCTACCATTTTGTTTTTAAAATTACTGATTTGAGACAGAGGCCCTTAGAATCTAGTGATGCTCAGTTAAAAAAGGATATGTCTGAGCAAGATATATAAGCTTAATCAGGCTGCAGGTGCTTTAGGAGGTGCTGTTTCATCTATTGTTCGAGTACCTACAGAAGTAAGTCTCTTCCTCCATTTTTATTTGTTTATTCTTTTGTGTTGGCTGTGCACTTGAAAAGGCTAATGGAAACTTCAACAGGTTGTCAAACAGCGGATGCAAACTGGTCAATTTGCTTCGGCCCCTGATGCTGTTCGCCTTATTATAGCCAAGGAGGGCTTTGGAGGCATGTATGCGGTATATCTGTTATATCTGTTATTTTGAGCAGGCAGTACTTGAGTTTGTAGTTCAATTAATCACATCGCTTAAGATTGGCGAACAAGAAAAGCTCCATCAAATTGTTTCATCTTATTTTTCCAAACACGCAGGGTTATGGATCTTTCCTGTTGCGAGATTTGCCTTTTGATGCGCTCCAGTTTTGTGTATATGAACAATTACGGATTGGATACAAGTTGGCTGTAAGTTTTTGTTGCTACAATGATAAGTAAAAGAACATCTGTTCTTTGCAGACTATTGACAGTGAGATATCCATATTGTTTAGAACAGGCCAAAAGAGATCTAAATGATCCAGAGAATGCAATGCTTGGTGCTTTTGCTGGTGCTGTCACTGGAGTTTTGACCACTCCTCTAGACGTTATCAAAACCAGATTAATGGTTCAGGTATGTCAAAACGATGAGTACACAAAATACTGAACGAAAATGTTCTTCTTGGTTTCAGTTCACAGGAGAATAAGAAGCTCCAGTAATATAGTACCGACTTTTTCGTTTTGAATTTTGGCAGGGAGCAGGAACTCAGTATAAAGGAGTCTCAGATTGCATTAAGACGATAATAAGAGAAGAAGGGTCATCAGCTTTGTGGAAGGTGAACCAAATTTCTGCTCTTAACCATAATATTTTAGGAATACACAGTTTCTCATGTTTGTGCAAAGTTGTTGACAGACTTGAGACACTGTATTACAGGGAATGGGTCCAAGGGTATTATGGATAGGTATTGGAGGTTCAATTTTCTTTGGTGTATTGGAAAAGACAAAGCAGATTCTTTCAGAAAGAAGCCAAAAGAGTCACAATGCTTAAACAGTTAGATTCTAGTTGTGTCTACATCATTCTTGTCTCTTGATGTTTGGTTAACATGAAGTATTTAGATTCTTTACGTATCTTTGCTTGATTCTAATTTTTATTCCTAGAAAAATTGTCATCCTCTTTTGTTCAATCATCTTCCACATTTAAATTGTATTCTTAAGTCGAATCTATTACTGAAACTTCAACTTTATGTGGACGTTTTAAGGTTGCGTAATAAACTATGTCATCGTCATTATCAAAGACTTAATCTCTCAATTTCTGCACAATTTAATTATAATTTAGAATTATTTAACAACTAATTTGATTCATTTATACTTACCAGTAGCCTCTCTAGTTGTGATATTTGAAGCTTAAGGTTTTTGCAGGTTTGAGTAAAGACGATGCAGAAGAAGCTACTTCTTACAGTGTCAATCTTTTTGAATCTCGTATTCACCGTTCATATTCTTTATTATAGTTCAACCACATGGAATCCGACGTGGACCAATAGAGCTGCCGCAGAAGCAGAAACTGCAGCCTCTTCTTCATGCTCAGGCCATGGCAGAGCTTATGTGGATGGCCTTGGTGTCCTTGATGGCCAGAAACCTTCTTGTGAGTGCAACAATTGCTACACCGGAAAAGATTGCTCCGTTTTTCTCAACGATTGTCCTGTCGATGCTAACTCGTATGCAACAACTTTTCATCTTGATCAGTATGACCAAACCAATCTGTAAACTTTGGAATAAAAATGTTATTTGTTGTTTTTGTGGATTTTGAAGAGGAGACCCTTTGTTCTTGGAGCCTTTCTGGATGCGACAAGCAGTGAGCAGCGCGGTTTTGGTCTCGGGATGGCACAGGATGAGTTACATTTATCAAGATGGGACATATGTGTCTCGAGAGCTCGAGAAGGTCATTAGGAAACTGCATAGTGTAGTGGGAAACGCTGTTACAGATAACAGATTCGTAATCTTTGGATCTGGAACCACACAATTGCTGGCAGCAGCTGTACATGCACTGTCTTTGACAAACTCATCATTATCATCACCTGCAAGGCTTTTGACTTCTATTCCATACTACGCTGTACTTAAGCCTGCCTTAACCTCTGTTGTTTAGTTAAATACTTTCGAATGTTTGAGTCTGATCTGTCTGTGTGTGCAGATGTATAAGGACCAAGCGGAGTTCTTTGATTCAGCACATCTCAAGTTTGAAGGAGATGCGTCTGCGTGGAAGCAGAGCGAGCGCAATGATAATACCACACAAGTTATAGAGGTAGTAACATCTCCAAATAATCCAGATGGGAAATTGAAAAGAGCGGTTCTTGCTGGTTCTAATGTGAAAACAGTGCATGATTTTGCTTATTACTGGCCTTATTTCACACCTATTACACATCCAGTTGATGAAGATTTGAGCTTGTTTAGTCTCTCCAAGACTACAGGTCATGCTGGCTCCAGATTCGGGTGATTGATTTACTTTTGCCCTCCTAGTACTCTAAACAAAGCTTTGGATTGGTCTCAACAACTCATAAGTTTTTCTTGATGCAGGTGGGGATTGGTAAAGGACAAAGCTATTTATGAAAAAAATGGACAGATATATACGTTTAACTAGTATGGGAGTTTCCAAAGAAACACAGCTTCATGTTCTTCAGCTGCTCAAAGTAGTAGTTGGCGATAGAGGCGATGATATATTCAATTTTGGCTATGGAACTATGAAGAAAAGATGGGAGATACTGAACAAGATCTTGTCCATTTCCACGCGTTTCTCGCTCCAGGCTATCAACCCTGAGTACTGCAACTATTTCAAGAAAGTCAGAGAGTTTACTCCTTGTAAGTTTTTCTTCTAATGCAAGAAAGTGAGACTTTTGTTTTGTTTTGGTTTGGTACTTTATAAAACTTATAATTATGTGTTTGGTTTTCATTTGAAAGCTTATGCATGGGTGAAGTGTGAGAGACCAGTAGATACAAACTGCTATGAGATTTTCAGAGCGGTGAAGATAACAGGACGCAATGGCAATGTGTTTGGATCAGAAGAAAGGTTTGTTCGATTGAGTCTCATCAGATCACAAGATGACTTTGATCAGCTTATTGATATGTTGAAGAAGTTAGTCTCTGAGGAAGCCGTAGGAGCTGACTCCATCTGAACAACTTGATGTATTTAGTATTTACTTAGGCCTCTTTAATTAAGCCTAGCGTTAGGCCCATTCTATAAAACCTCCGTTTCTATCAGAATCTATCATTTCGGTTCGGTTTAGCAGACCCATAAATCTCCATTCGTGAGAAAAGAAGGGCTATTTAGATTGGTATTCTAGTTTTTTGGTATCAATATTAAGTGATTGGTAAGTCTAGTTTGAAATAAAAATTTTTGTAAACGTAGTAAATAAATGTTTGCGCAGGTTTTTGTTTTTGTTTTTTTTCGTCTGAATCTTATCCATTATATTATACGAACGTGGAATACATAGTAGAATATGGTTTTGGTACACATAACCGGCAAGAGTCGAAATCTTTCTAAAAACTAAGCCAGCTGAAAACCTTTCTTCTGTTGCTCGTACAAAATGGATTTACACCTTGAGTGTTCTTTTTTTATAGCTAAAAGAAGTTAGATGAGTAAGCTATGTCCATAAATGAACCTTGGGTAGTGAGCATGTTTAAGTCGCATGATGGGATTGTTTGTATTGATAGCTCTTTTGGCTTGCTGAACAGAACTGGATTGGACGGGCACCGGCACTCGGACATACTGAACAAGACTGGTGGTCATCAAACAAACGGAACTGACAAATTATGTGATGCTTGAACTTATTTAGTTTATTAAAATGAACTTATATTGAACTTAGTTGAATACATAGAAGTATGGAACTGAAAGAACTAAATAATTGGTTAGGATGTATACAGAGCCGGCTGTGGTGCTAAAATCCACACTCGAGATTTGTATTTAGTTTTTATGGGCAAAGAGGGTTAGATTTTCAATGAAACTCTAAGAATTGAATTGCTAAGAAGGAATGAATTTTATTGATATGAATCAAGTGAATACAATGGGAAGTATGTGAATACAAGTGTTTTTTTACTATTAGGTTTTAGTAGCAAGTACGCGATGATGATGCGTGTATTATTTCGCCTCAAAGTTTTCCCTTAGAGACTACACGAAATACTGCAAGTGCATAGTTAATCGGATGTAGTATTTAAGCATCGATCCCACAGAGACTTATAAGTACGGTACGAATTCAATGAAAATGAATATGTCTAAGACAAATCAAAAGAGGGGTTTGGTTTTGGGTTTGTCACGAAACTAAACAGAAAATAAAGGCTAAATAAACGAGAAGTTGGGCTTCAGTGATTTCTTAGGATATCATGGATCGGGTTATTCTAGGATTTTAAACAAAGGTAAACCTATGCTTTTTAAACAGTTCATGAACTATGAAACACTTATGTAAAACCGTTTGGCTTATGACCAAACGACTATCTAAGTCTAACAACTCCATTACTAAACTAACGCATGCAATGACGAGATTAAACCAACATGATTAACAAGTTCAATTATGGTTCTGTTGTTTGTTGTGATGTGTAGGCTGGATTTTTGATTGATCCGGAATTGAATCCGTGAGATGGTTGTGTTATTGGATGAATGTCATTGGTTTGTTTTGTTTTCATGAATTATGTGTTGATTTGTGATCTTAGTTGCTTGTGTTTATAGCTCGTAGATGGGAGGATCGCCTCACTAAGTATTTATTGAAATACTTATGCATCTCTTTTTTTGGTGTAGGTAAAGATAAAGTGTGATCGTGAAATCATGACGAGGAGAGGAGGATGATATATGATCTCGTTGGTGTTATTTTAGTATTTTTAGTATGATGGAATCTTGGATTAGAAGTTGTTAGAATCGTTAGATAATTTATTGGTTAATTTATTATAAACTGAATTAGATTTTTGATATGAGTTGTGTTGGTTTTGCCATGATTTTTAATTAGGGAAATTAATTAATATTAACGGAGATATTAGTTAATTAATTAAAAAAAAAACGGGCCGCGTTGTTTCAATGAGTATGGAAGACTGTTTCGAGAAGATGAATGACATGTGATCCATGATCAACCAGTAGAGTCTTGGCAGACTCTTTCTCATCCACGAGCTTGGCTAAGCTCAGGTTTTCTCCCGACCAAGAACTGCGATTGGTTCAGAGATGGCCTTGTCTCTGGCTTTCCTTACCCGATTAGAGAGGCTATCGGCGCGAGGAGGGGGAGAAAACAAATGAAACATACCGGGGGGACTCATCTTGATAAGACGATCGACTTCGTGAATATAGTAGAGAGTGAATGAGTTCTAGAAGGTTTCACCTTTAATTGCAACCTTGAAGAATTCACTAAACTCTTCAGTAAGAGGAAGACGGGCTTGTGTAGCTGCAAAGAAGAAAAGGGGGGGGGGGGGGGGGGGGGGGGGGGGGGGGGGGGGGGGGGGGGGGGGGGGGGGGGGGGGGGGGGGGTTAGAAAATTGAACGTCGAACAAAATTGAGCAATTGTAATGAACCCTAATTTCTACCAGGCCTCAACGATCATTTGATTAGGAGAACATCGGCTAGAGCACCAATTGAAGCCGGCGTCTTCTTCACCAAAAACAAGCTACGATGCCAGCCGTCATCACAGTTCGGGAGTTATGATATTAGCGTCCTGTCAGAAGCAGGATATCTGGTGATGTATCCCGGAACCCTAGTAATTCGAATGAGTTCGAGGTGTTCGGGGTCGACGATAGAGTAGCAACGGTGAAGATCCCTAGGATCATTCGTGCAAATTGGGGGTGAGCTGGGGAAGAGCGATATTCAAAGCTTTAAGGTATCAAACCAACACTTCAAGGAGCGGGATGAACAACCTGCACCCCTTGAAGTAAATCTCATAAACGCAGAAGTAGCCCGGACGATGGCTCTCCAGAGATTCAGTCGGGAAAGGATAAGCGATATCTCGATGGATCTCCTCCGGAATTCGGCACAAACTTCCAAGGTTCGCAAGGGAATGAAGAGTACAACCAGTGCGAAAGTGTGGACCGACGATTTCATTCGGGTGAGTAAATGCTAACTCCGAAAAAGGATTAGGAGAGGAATCTCTCTCAGGCGATTCAACTCTGAGGGAGCTAGTTCTAGACGGCGACGAACTCATTCTCGAATTGATTGAAGAGATCGGAATAAAGAGTCGAATAGAATAGCTTCTTTCGCGAGAGGGGAGTAGAAAAATATTTCGCCGAAAAATGCAAATGAAACAAAGTAATGGAAAAAGAAGAAAAGCTACCTTTTAAACTAGTGGCTGAGGATGAAACGCCTCGGTAATAGTGAGAGAAGTGGAAAAGTTTTCCCCATTTAAATAGTATTTTAAAAGAAATCAATGTAATTAATGTGACAGATGTCATCATGAGTCAAAGATCATGTCGAGCAATATTCGCTACTAAGTAATTAAGTCCTCTGAACAGAAGAAACAACTCGAAGAACTAGGGGGTGGGGGAGCTAATTGTTGGTGTCGGATCTCGCACTCCGTATTCGGATCTACCTGAAGATTGCCACGTAGGAAAAGAGTCAACAAAATGGTGGTCAACGAAATACATCTTTGAACCAAAGCGAATGCCCAAAGCGAAGAGCTCGGAAAGCTTGCCGAAGTGGGGGAGAGGCTCGAGAGCAAGCAGTGTGCCGAGAGCTCGAAAGCCCAAGAAGGGTCCAAGAAAATTCAAATAGAAACGTTATGGCATTCATTGGAGAAGCAAAACGGACACATGTAAGAGTATTTATTACATTAATTAGATAATTAATGTAATCATTTGTGTATAAATATGAGACTCCTAAGACATAGGAGGGGACATCGAATTCTTGCTACAAAGTCAATACTATATTATTTTTTATTTGCGTTTTTACATATATTTTCATACTATTTTCTATACGTATTTTGTATTGTATTTGACCTGAGAGCTTTAACTCACAAATAAATAAATAGTTGAGTGTATGAATCCGACATCCACAATCACTAGAACAGAACATGGGTAAGGGCTCTTGGATATGGAGGAAGATACTTAAATACAGAGAAATGGCTAAAGCTTTTTGTAATGGTGAGTCAACATCTTTCTGGTATGATAATTGGTCCCCATTAGATAGACTCATTGACGTTACAGGAAGTAGAGCTGTCATTACAATGGGAACATGATGGGAAAGTCCTGTAGCAGATGCTTGGAAAAACCATAGACGGAGATGACACCGTGCAAGTAATCTCAATTCAATTGAAGAGACTTTACATGCACTGTGGAAAAAGAAAAGCGACAAGACAAGATGGTGCTATGGAGAGGGAAGAATGACATCTTTGGTCCAAAGTTCTCAACTAAGGACACCTGGAATCATATAAGAACCACATCAAACACAGTTGCTTGGCATAAGGGAGTCTGGTTTACTCACACGACTTTGAAGTTCTCTTAAATCATATGGTTTGTGGCTCATGATAGTCTCTCGTCGGGTGCGCGAATGGCTAAGTGGAACAGAGGCTCCTCAGGGACTTGTGTTTTTTGCAACACCATTGAAACAAGAGATCATTTGTTTTCTCATGTCAATACACCTCGTCAATCTGGGCAGCGTTTACTAAAGGCGTTATCCGGTCCAGACACATAACAAATTGGTCCACTAACCTCACCATCATCTCGGAAAATCATAAGAGCAGAGAATATATGATTTCCTTGTTCGATATGTCTTTCAAGCTATTGTCTATAAAATATGGAGAGAGGGAAATGGGCGTCGGCATGGGGAAGAACCGAAATCAGTAGATCAAATGGTGCGGTGGATTGATAAGCAAGTACGAAATCAGATTTCAGCAATTCAAAGAACGGGCGGCAAGCCTTATGAAGAAGGGTATCAGATGTGGCTCCAATCTTGTGGCCATATTTAAAGAGTCTCGAGTTGATTTATAAACTTGGTTTAATTCAAATAATATTGTACTAGTTGTAAAAACGTTATTTTCTCTTTTGAATATAATTTAACACTAAATTCATAAAAAAAAAACGTTGTACTAAAATTTGGATTTTCATTTTTATTTGTTATCGACTTGTTGTGGGAAAATTTGAGTTCAGTCATCTTTGGTTGAGAGATGTTAAGAGGAGTTGGAGTGGAGGAGAGATCTCTAGCAAGTAAATGTCGTCGGATCATTGGAGTAGATAACTCTCGCGAGAAGAAGTAGAAGACGATTTTGGCATATCGTATATTCATGCATCCAATTTAAGTCTTGGATTTTTTGAGTAGAGATCTCCGGCGAGAAAAAATAAAGGTGGATTTTGAGGAGGATTAGGAGAGTTTAAAAGATATTATTTTGCCAACTATGTCATCAAAGTGCATTTATCTTTTCGGTCAAACATTCTTAGAAAACTCTATTTCAGGATGGTTGATCTGCCGGAAAGTGATTGTCGGGACCATATCAGTAAAGACAAAACACGGAAAAAGACTAGGTGGTGATTTGTAGGGTCAGTAAAAAGTCTTTAAAGCTCTGGAAGTAGCAAACTAGCTGTCGAAAGAAGGTGGGCTCAAAAGCTGAGAGATGACAAGGATTAGCTCGGATTTTTGTCTCTCGGAGTTCTCCAACGAATTAGAAACATGTGGCAATCTTGACATAGTTTTTACATTATACGTTGTAGAAATTTGAAACATGGATCTAATTGTAGAGGAAGTATGTGCAGGTGAAAGTCTAGAAAAATCGCACAAAAATTTGTGGCTATGCAGCGGGATACATAGAATATTAACATACAAAGTGTCGGAGCCCTAAAATTGAGAAAAATAAAACTTCACAAAAACCAAACCGATTAGGACAAAATCCAAACCTATCGGTTTCATACGTCTTTGGTACCTACTGGTGCAAGAGTGTAACCGGTTAGTCATCGTCTTCAATCTTTTCTCCTTTTGATGCATATTGCTCCATTTTGTCTTCTATAGTCCTCTTTTTACTCCAGCTTGTCCAGAAACCTGTAAAGACTCAAAAACATCGAAAACTAACTTGTTCTCGACAAAAAGACTCTAGACTTGATACTCAAATGACTCTTAAAACAGTAAATAATATGAATAGCTTAAAGTTTTACGTTGTGTCGATTGAGGTAAAAGACTGACACACATTACATACTTTGCCACGGAAACGGAGACAGCACACTCTCTATCTCTTAGAAGCCTCACGGTAGTTCGAGGTTTTATGACTGTTCACTTATATCTTTCTATATATTCTCTTTTCTTAACTTAGTCGGATTTGAGATGTGGATGATTCATTTAATGGTAACCACATAGAATACTTTCTACATATACTAGCAAATAGTTGAAAACAATCTTGGGTTGGGTATATTACTTTTTAGGAAGATAAGAGCCAAAGTTTAGACATGACTCTTATACCAAACTTACAAACATATAATGAGAATTGGGTTTTTAGGATCAAGTATATGTAAGATATAAAGCAAATAATTAAGAAAGGGAGTTTATACAAAACGGGAAAGCTTTCTTTTTAAGAACACTATCAAAGAATTACAAAGACTCGACAGAACTCTTAATTGTTTTTTCACTCAGTTAAATTGGGTCTAACACTATTTACCAAACCTTGGTATTTATAGTACAAAACTTAAGAAATATGTATGTAATGTTGTTTAAGATATTTTACTAATTTACTAGATTTTAACCCGCGGTACACCGCGGGATGATTAATTTTTTTAAGTTCGTATATATAAAATTTTACAAATTGTATCTTTATAGTTTATAATTGTTAATAAGTAACGGTATACCACGAGTTCACGAGACAATTGTTAATAGACTGAGGATTTAACCCGTATTAAAGCGGCATGTTAATGATATTTAAAATTTTTTAAAATATTAATTCAAACTCTTCCGCCATATAAACTTGTTCCGAAATATAACTTGTCCCGTAATTTTTTTACCCGTCCCATGATTTATTTTTTAAAATAGTGATTTTAAAATTTAATGATTATTTATTATATATAAAATTTTACAAATTGTTCAATCTCTAAGACATTTATATTTTAATAAATTGAGGATTTGATCTATATTAAAGCGGCATGTTAATGATATTTTCAAATTTTATAAATATTGATTCAAACTCGTCACCATATAACCCCGTTTCGAAATATAACCCGTCCTGTAATTTCTTAACCCGTCCCGTGATTTGTTTCTAAAAGTAGTAATTTTAAAAATTTAACAATTATTTAATATATAAAAAAGTTTGCAAATTCTATCAATCTCTAAGACATTTATATTTATAGTTTACAATTGTTATTAAGTAACATTATACCACGGGACAATTTTTGGTTTTATACAATCTTTTCTAAATAAGACTCATTTAATATGTCTAATATCGGTGGTATTAAAAAAACAAATTAAGGATTTAATCCGCATTAAAGCGACGGATTAATGATATTTTAATCTTTTTCTTATTGTTGATTCAAAAACCCGTCCGGCCAAAAAACTTATTTATTTTATTAATGTTGATCTTATTTATGATACGATTCTTAATCATTGTCTAAATATTTTAATTGATGTAGAACGTTGAACACACATTTTCGTCAATTGGATAATATATGTCCGTTTTTAAAATTTCGAATCACAGTATATGCAGAAAAAAATTGATTTCTTTTTTTACTTTATGTATTATATGATGATTCAAAACAGTTAAAAACCAATCAAACAAAGATGATAGGAGAATCATAATTTTAAATCTTAATCAAATCTTCTAAATATTTAAATTATTAAATATGGAATATCCGGTGTATGAGTTGGGTTAAATATAACCCGAACCAACAAATTTTTTATGACCAAAATTTGTAAACGGGTCGGATATCGAAATAATCTGGGATCATTTTTATCCACCCGGCACCAAAATGACTGTAAAAATATTAGTATAGATTTACAACCACAACTTTATTTATCACTCACAATCAAAACTTTATTTACCACAATCTCAATCACATATTATTTTATCATTTTATGTTATAATGGTGGTATAGCCACAAACCCAATACTAAAAAGTTTTATATATTTTTTCTTAAAAGGCATATATAGACTAAGTGGAGAGCCAACATTGGAGGTCTGTAGTTGGTAAGATTTGAAACCTTGGCCTCGGCTACTAGACTTCGATCATTACCTGTTACATGATATTACACATCCTGAGAAACCATGGATTTAAACATATTAGCAGATATTTTATATGTAAAGCAGATGAGAGAAATGGGACACATAACACAGTGGCTTAATTGTACAGTTCTGACCTTCGTCTTAGGACACATCTCTTCAGTAAATACACTCCCATCATTGTTCTGGTAAATAGTTGCGACATGGGCCATAACCTCCTGAACTTGCTTGATCATCTTGCCTTCATTGGTAGTCTTGTTATCAAAGACAACCTTTCTGCCGCCACACATTCTGAGAACTGCCTGAAGTTGCAACAATCCGGTTATTATATATATATGTAACAAAAAAGAGTTTTCATTTATCTAAATGCACTACTATATATTTTTATCTTGGTTTATTCAAAAAAAAAATGAAAAGAAAGAATAATTTTCAAAATTTACTCCGAAAAACCATTTCATTTCTTTTAAAACAAAATAGATTTAAATTATTTATGTATGACTTAAGACAAACCTCCATGCCCATTATGCAAAGTTTTTAACACTATTCAATGCAGCCATACCTTCAAAAATTCAGGGCATTCGTAAAGGTAATCGTCCAGTGTCTCGTCTTCCTCAAAGGAATCACCACCAGTGAATAGAACGACCGTATGGTCGATGATTTTATTCCCGAAAATGACCTGTAACTCGTTAAATGTGGATTCTTCTTCTTGTGTAATCCGAGAACGGACAGATAAAACAAGAAACACCACGTGTAGTCCTTCATTCACCCTATCGAAGCATTTCCTGATTTCCCTATTAACATGCTTGGCAGTCACGGAAAAATCAAATAGACCTGCATCACAAACCATAGCAAAATTAGTCTTTGTTGACTTTAGACTTTAGACTATAGGCATGCCAATGGGCAGATGAGCCATTGGTTCGATTTGTTTTGTATAGTTATGTATGACTAAAATGAAATTTGATACGGTTTTACAATTATTCAAAACTTATATAAATAATTGTTTACCATCCGGTGTTTGAAACTTTATTAATATAATGTGTGTGGCTTAGGTTTATGGAGTGCATCATGAAGAGTTGAAGATATTTGGAGCTTTATGGGTAAAAAGGAGGTGGGATGAATCAAAGGATCAAGAGAAGATCAAGAGAAGAGAGAAAATAATCACGATAACATATTTTTTATTGACCAGCATGTTACCCAATCGATCAAAGCTGGAAGCTTCATGGGACATCTGATCGACCTCAAGGTTTGTTATGAAGTTGATCAAAAGCCATTTTTATGTTCTAATTACCAGGTTTTATCCGGTTTGTCACAGGTTATCCCGTTCGATCCATCTCTATATAAATGTGTTTTAGACCTAATTTTATTGGACTTTTGCTTGTTTTGAATTTTTTTCTTTCCTCTTTTATGGTTTTGTATGAATCTTAAGTACTTTTATGCAATTTAATCTTATTTTGTTTTAGATTTCTTGTTTGTTTGCTTCTGTCATTATGATCATGCAAAGAAACAACATGGATCTTTGTGTTTTCATAATGATTTTTGAGTAGTTTCCTTTGAGCATTCGAATTTAGTAGATTACGGTGGTTGTTGATTGAGTCAAGATATTTAGGGCTTAATTTTAATAAATCTTTACTCTTTAGGTGTTCTTAGCATTAGATTAGTATTGATCAAACAAGTTTAGATCATATGAAGTTTCATGCCTAAAAGATGATTGATGATATTCGGGAAAGAACTTTGTGAGTTCTTAGCATTCTTAACCAATGAAAATTAATGATTAGGGGGCTAGGTGGTTATTTAGGCTTGAATTGATGCATGTAAGTCTAGTAATCACAGATGAAAATATTTGTTAATTGCATGATTAGTGTAGAATTAGTATCATGGGAATGGACAAGTTTGCATTAGCGTTCTAAAACTGAAAAAATTGGTATTGTTATATTGATAGAACACACCAACAATTGGAAGGTTTATTGCTTTCATTATCATGAATCAAGATATGGAATCCAACCTCCTCCAAGAGAAGCCAATGCTAATAAAATCAAGGCAAGTTGGATTAGATTGATTCAAGACTCTAAATTCTTTGAGCTAGTGATGGAGAATCTCTATGATCATTTGGACCCTTTTGAGAGGTTGTCTAAAACGTTAACAATTGGAGGTGTGTCCGAAGATAGAATCAAGCTCATTTTGTTCCATTTCTCTAGGAGAAAAAGTATGCTATTGGCAGAAAGCTAGACAATCTCATTTGGTCAATTCTTGGGATGATTGTAATTAAACTACAAGAAAACACGTGATTAGCGACGATATTCAGCGACTGATAAATTAGTCGCTTAATTTGAGAACTGAATTGCGACATTTTGGTGACTGAATTTTGCCTAACAACATTAGTCGCTAATCCGTCTGCACTTGGCGACTGATAAAAATAGTCTTTGTATAGTCGCCAAATTAGGCGACTAAGTAGTTTCTAAATGTTTAGTCACCAAATCTGGCTACTGATTAGCTATGTTTTAGCGACTATAGTTTTCTTATTGTGCATTTTAATTGGGCCCGATCCAGTAACATTTTTCCGTTGGCCCAGCTATATAAGCTCTCGACTAAACCCGAAAACCCTAATTCCTTATTTCTTTCATTTTCAGATCCCCAATTCTCTCCAATTCGATCTCCAAACAAGAACCCTAATTCGATCCAATTTGAACCCTAATCCGCAAACACTCAATCTCTCTCTCGATTCCTCTCATCTCTCTCAATCTCTTTTCGATGAATTGATTCTTATCGATCCGCAAACCCTAATCTCCAATCTCTCGATCTCTCTCTCTCGATTCTCTAATCTCTCTCAAAATCTCTCTGATTATCTATTCGATTCCTCTCAATCCGCAAACCCTAATCCCCATTATCTCAATATCGAACCCTAATCTGCAAACCCTAATCTGCAAACCCTAATCCTTAATCTCTCAATATCTCTCTCGATCTTCATCAGTCTTCATCTCAATCGATGGCTCCTCGTGTTCGCGGTGGAAAAGGCAGAGGAAGAGAAAGAGGAAGGGGACCGAAGTCTCCGGAGAAGCGACCCACTGGCTCAAGTCGACCCACATCTTCCGGTGTGTCGCATCGAAGACCTAGAAGCCTTCCCTCCCAATATGACTTCACGCCGGCGAGCCCTCAAACTCCAATTCCAGAGACTGAGCAAAATCGGAGTCGCCAGCCTTCACCGGTTCCTACTCAGAGAAACTATCCTCCTCCTCAGCAGCTTTTCCAGACAGAAGAAGGATCTCTACATGCATCTGGTGGATCTCCTCGAGGCTCTGGATCGACTCTGTTTCGAGCATCCGGATCGACTCAAGTCAGAGGGTCTTTCTCATCTGTTCATCGGCTAGCCTCCGGATCTCCTCGTGCTGTTCAGTCTCCAGCACCGGTTCAGTCTCCAGCGCCGGTTCAGTCTCCAGCCTTGAATCAACAATGACCACCTCTTCAGGTACTAAGAGCTTCTGTGTCTGGTCACAGTTCTCAAGCTCAAAACGTACAGGATGAAGAAGATGAAGATGGTGACGCTGAAGGTGAATCGGAGGAAGAAGTTTTGAGAGATTCAACTCTCTTGGAAGATGTGCTCTTTTTTATTAAATGATTTGCTCTCCATGCCAGGCCGTGAGCTCTATACCACTGTCATCTCTCCGACGTTGGAGCCTGGAACAACTTGGTAGGTGATAATATGTCTCCTCTGTTTAGGTCTAGGTATGTTCGGGTTAGGTTTAGGTCTGTAATGGTTTGTGTTTAGGTTTTAGGTCTGTATTGGTTTGTGTTTAGGTTTAGGTTCAGTTTCTGTATAGGTTTAGGTCTGTTTCTTTTAAGGTTTAGGTCTGTTTTTGTTTGTGTTAAGGTTTTAGGTCTGTATTGGTTTGTGTTTAGGTTTAGGTATAGTTTGTGTATGGGTTTAGGTCTGTATAGTTAAGGTTTAGGTCTGTTTTTGTTTGTGTTAAGGTTTTAGGTCTGTATTGGTTTGTGTTTAGGTTTACGTATAGTTTGTGTATAGGTTTAGGTCTGTATAGTTAAGGTTTAGGTCTGTTTTTTTTTTGTGTTATGGGTCTGTATTGGTTTGTATTTAGGTTTAGGTTTAGGTTTAGGTTTAGGTATAGTTTCTGTATAGGTTTAGGTCTGTATAGTTTGTGTAATGTATGTGTTTGCTTGTGTAATGTATGTATAGCTAACTGTTTTATGTTTTCTTGTAGGTTTGGTAAGGATAATGGTAAGCTGACCCGAAAGATCACCAAGTGTTTTATAAACAAGTTTGATGGACCATACTACAGTTGGAGCTGTATGCCAACTAGAAGAAGAGAAAGATACTTTCTTGAATTCACGGTAAACTTCTATCCCTCTTCTACTACTGTATTTTCATACTACAGTTTTGTTTTTTTTGATAACTAACATCTGCTTCACTATCCTCTTGTTTTGTAGAAACAACACACCTGGCATCCCTCACTGACATGTGTGGTTGAAGCCAAGTTCTATAAGATCATTGCACTACGTATGAAAGACATAGTTTATAAGGCAGGGACAAAAAGACTGAGGCCGTATTGGATTGAGAAAACTCTGTGGAAAGAGATGTGTGAGTATTTGGATACTGAAGAAGCAATAGCCAAGAGTTCAACCACATCAGCTGCTAGGATGTCTGACCGTAATGGTCTTGGTCCACACAAGCATGTTTCTGGTCCAAAGTCTTTCCTACAAGTAGAGTAAGAGATGGTAAGTTACTTCTCTTTTTCCCAATATGTTTTGTTTAGTTACATTCTGACATCTCTGTTACAACATTGCAGGAAGTTGAATTGGGAAGACCGCCGACAATTGGAGAAGTGTTCATCAGGACTCATACCAAGAAGGATGAGACATTTATGGATAGGAAGGCGCATGAAATCCATGAGGCATATCTCAAGAACAAGGCAGCTAAGTTGGCTGCCCTTCGTGAGAATGATGAACAGTCTGATGGTACTTCGCGTCGGTCTGAGCTATCTCATGAGGAGGATGATGAGATCTTAATTTCTTCAGGTAATACTCTTGTCTTTTGGTCTGTAGTCTACTTTTGTCATATTCAGTTTGTGATCACTAGTTAAGGACTAATGTTTTTACTTTGTTTTGCAGTCTACTGTCACAAATGATAGAGGGGAATACTTTGGAGTTGGAAGCTTAGGTGTCTACAAGCAGAACGTGAAGCAGAGGCATTGCGGGTCGCAGCATCCCAAGCAGCTGAGATCAAGTACTTTACGATGGTGAAAAAGTACCTGAGTGAAACTGACCCTAATTTCCTGGCCTTTCTCAAGTCCCAATCAACTCCTGTTGCGGATGATTATTCAGAGGTCCAAGCAACTCCTACTCCTGCTGCTAATCCTGATGGTACTACTCCTGCTACTTAGCTTTCTCTCCTCTTAACTCAAAAACTTGAACTTGATCTTTGGTTTGTACTTATAGTACAAGTATGTTTTCTTTGTATTGAACTGAAATTTTTATTATGTTGTGTTTGTATTGAACAAGTATTTATGTTTGTATGTTTATTAAGCACTTCTTCTTTTAATTCAAAAGTTCTTTTTGTATGTTTGGTTTTGATTAGTAAATGCTAATTCGTAATTGGAATCTAAATAAGCAGGCCAAATCGATAAATAAACCTCTAATAAGTCGCAAAATAATAGCAATTCAGTCACCAAAACATTCATAAAACAGTCGCCTTGTAGTGGCCTTTTTGTTGCTTCCTCAGTCACCTATTAGCCGCCAAAACAGTCACCAATTAGTGACTTATTTGTAGCCAAACAGTCGCCCATTTAGCGACTCAGAAGCTACCGAATGGCGACTCCCAAGAGTTGTCGCAAATTGGTCACTAAATAGCGACTATTAGGCTACCATTAATTTTAGCGACGCAGTGTTCAGCGATAACGTGTATTAGTCGCTAATTAGTCGTAATTATGGGTTTAGCGACTCTTTGGTTACGGTTATTGTAGTCGCTAAATCCATGTTTTCTTGTAGTATATATAAGTTGATCTTCTTTCTCTTGTTGTACTCCAAGCAAAAAACAGTCCATGTGAGAAATGACATAGTGGGTTTTAATCAAGGGATATACTCGAGTTTTCCTACATCATGGATTCAACAAGCAAGATGTACAATAGGAGTTAATAAGGAGCTATAATTGACATTGGACATGGCTAGCAAAGGGCATTTTGTAAACCTCACTGTGGAACAAGGAGAGTTACTTGTTGAAAATTTGGTTCAAAGTGATCATAGTTAGAATGAGATATATGATACATCGTCTCTAGAAAGACCAAATGATGACTACAATCGACCAAATTTGCAAGCTCGTGAGAAGGAGGAGAAGCTTGTAAAGACGCAACAAGGAAGATCTAGTGTGGTTAATGATAAACAACAAGAGAGAGTATGCCAAGTTCTTCAAGATCAAGGGTATGACGTTTATCAAATAGGACAAGCCGAAGCTAATTTTGTGGGCACTAATGAGTGTTATGACCAAGAGTATAATCTTGTCAATCAATGGTCTCACTATGAAGTTTCAAATGTATCAAAAAGGTTACTATGGAGATCTCAAGTATCTACCCAAGATGAGGAAACAAGAAAACTATTCAATTAATTTCTAGAAGGTCAACAATTGAATGATATTGAGCTTGAAAAGAAGTTAGGAGACATTGCTAGGAAGATTGATGACACATGTGATGAGTTGAATTTAAAGATTGAGCTATTAGCCTCACATATGAAAACCTTTGAACCCAAGTTGGTCAAACTCTCTTCGACATATGGTGAACCAAAGAATTTGGGTTGTTTTATGTCACAAATAGTCTATATTGAGATAGTTGACAAATAAGAACTTGAGACATATAAGGATAACCATCTCACTCTTGGGATGATTATATTGAAGAAGCTTGCGCTTGCGATGAAAAGTGTTTGGATTTATCTTCTCCACACATATGGAAAATGATGGAAAACCCTTGGAAGCTCAATTCATGATGCAACATAAAGGTAAGAATGTGGTAAATGGTTCGAGGAAGGGTTTGGTCTCAACCCAAGAGCATTTGAAAAGAATAAAGATCAAGAAAAGAAGGAAACAATGCATTGCTCTCGGTTATGATAATGATGTAGTGACCTATTCTTTGAATGGAGAATGTTTAAATTCCCTTTTATCTAATTTGTATGAGATAACACGGATTCAAGAGCATAAATTGTAGAACTTGGATAACGCAAAGAAGTGCTACAATGAGAACAAGAAGAAGAATTTTAGGTTCACCCCCATGAGCTTGTAAGAAAAAGAAAAAGTTTCAAGATGAGCATGCTTTGGGTTATGGTAATATTGAAAAAGCTTTAGCACTCGATGGAGCTTGCTTGGATTCTCTCTTCTTGACTACTACAGAGTGAGATTAAGACTATAAAGAGTCAAAAGGGTAAAGGAACTAAGGAGAAAAATAAGAAGACACAAGAACCCTCCTTACTACCCTTTTTCCATGTTCTAACACTATGAGTTTGCACCCATTGAGATTCATAAATAGAGCAATCAAATACAAATTAAAATGCAAGGGTACTTCCAAACCCTTTGTAAGCATCAAAACCAAGCTCCATCATGAGTTTGAAAGTGACTAAGATGTAACAATCCGATTTCGCAGTTAAACCGTGAGCCCCAAACCGAACCCGTTAATGATTTAAACAGGAGTGAAACTCTATTTGTACCACATGAATATAAAAAGGGAACGCAAGTTGCGAGACACACAATAACCCTAAGCCATCAACCTCAGTAAGTCCCGCCTCCTTTAGCTCGAGCCTCCGTTTTTAACATTCGTTTAGCTTCACCCTAACTTGACTCTCCTTTGTGAACAGATGCAACATCACTCGAGTCACCGGGGATTGTGGTCCTGTTGCCACCGTCTTCACCGAAAAAGGTAAGGACCATGAACAACCTTTGGTTTCAATATCTTATTTTGCTTGGGGATTGTTGAACTAATCTAACCACCATGATTCAAACCACCACAGATCTGAGTTGCCAAATCCTCCACTCCGCCGTTCGAGACGTCAAGCAGATCGTAGAGCAGATCCATCCAGAAAACTTACCGAGAAAGGTAATTGGCAAAACCCTTGTCTCACTGAGTAATTAATTACTCACCCCTTTTTTCCATTTTTCCTAGGTGAGGTGAGAATGTTGAGTAGCTGTCTCGTTTGTGGTATATTTCGGAAATACTCGGGTTATTGAATTTTTGCGTTATTATATTATATTTATAGACTTGTTTTAGTTATGTTTTATCTTAAGGTTTTTCAACTATTTTGATATTATTTTTTATCATTGAAATTTTAATAAAATAAAAGTTTTATGGAATATGAAATGTTAAATTGAGTAAGTGGATTTGAGGACAAAATAAGTAAGGCGAAAGTGCTCCGTCTCAGAGTTGAGGGAGACGGACGTGACAAATGGTATCAGAGCGGAGGTTAAAGTCAATGCGGTGCTGACCTGGAAGGCTAAATCAAAAAAAAAAAGAAAAAAAAAAGAAAAGAAAAGAAGTTTTCAGTATTTGATAAAGGGGAAGGGTATATTTTTCAAAAGATAAAAAGCACCAAAAGAGCGAGACTTGCGTTTAGAGTTGTTTTATAAAGTTTCAGTTTCGAAGTGATTCTTATGTTTGATCGTGTGTGAACATGGAATGACACCAAACAGAAGAGGGCGTCCTGCAAACACCAGAGGGAACCAAGTAGGGGATGCACCAGCTGTTGGGCAAGATCAACCACCTATAGGTGGGATACCTGTAGAAGCTCAGGTAGCAGCCCAGACAGTAGCGATTGCAGCGAATCGTGAAGAGATGCAGGAGCTCTAGAACATGATGCGTGAGATTATATATCGACCTATGTACGATCAGCCACCACCAGCAGCACCTTGAGTTGCTGCACCTCAGCACGATCAGCCACCACCACCAGTACCTAGGGTTGAGGTGCCTCAGCACCAACAGCCACATGCATTGCTAGCAAGGACTGAGTATTTTGAGACGATGAGGCTCTTGGGTACAATGGGCACAGAGTACTTCAGTGGTGGATTTGATCAGGTTCGGGCTTATGATTGGAGGCAGATGCTGGAGAAAAATTTTAGGACAGCGAAGTGCCCAGAGGAGTTTAAGAAGGATCTTGTAGTGCACTGCTTGCGTGGAGAAGCAGATCATTGGTGGAGAAATGTTGAGAGGAGCTTGCCTGCTTGATATGTGCCTACTTGGGATTTTTTGCGAGAGTTTAGTAACAAGTATTTTCCACAAGAAGCTATGGACAAGCTAGATCATGAGTTTGTGGAGGTTCGTCAGGGCACGAAGACTGTTAGAGAGTATGATGAGGAGTTCACTCGCCTAAGGAGATTCTGTGTGAAGAATTTTAGAGAGAAGGACATGATGCGCAGATTCATGAGGAGACTGAAAGCTGATATTCATAATCGTTCTTCTATTCGAGCATGCACTAGCCTGGTTGAGTTAGTCGAGGAGGCTTCTACGATGAAGAGGGGACTTGAAGAAGAAGCCAGTGATCTCAAGAGGGCTCAGGCAAAGGTAAGCAAGGAAGTTGAATCCCAGAAGCGCACTTGGGATAATCGTTGTGCAGGTCCGGACCAGAATGGTAACAGTGTGCCACATGTGGTAACATGCATAGCGGGACTTGTTGGAATAATACTGGGAAATGCTACAGTTGTGGACAAGTTGGTCACACATGGGCGAATTTTCCAAGGAAGGATAATAATTGCAGGAGGTGTGAAAAACCAGGTCATTTTGCAAGGGATTATAGAGTGAATCTTGCAGGGGTGAGACCAGGAAATCAGAACAGAGGAATTCTGCCACCACCTCCAAAGAGGCAAGCAGTGGGACCTCGAGCGTATGTAGTAGCATACCATGATGATGTAGATGAGGATGGGGCAGACCCAATTGTTGGTACGTCTTCAAGGACCTACCGTGATGTCCCTGTAGAGATTGAATGTATGGAGTTGTTTGGGAATTTCTTGGAGATGGAGCTGAAACATTATGAGATAATCCTTGGGATGGGTTGGTTAAAACGACATAATGCAAATTTAGACTGCCCAAGATTGCGGGTCAATTTTACTCGAGCGGAGGGTAATTTGATGTTTCAAGGAGTCGATACCCGGAGCGGGCCTATCATTTCGATGATTCAAGCAAAGAAGTTACGATGGACTGGGCCTAAAGCTTAGTTGCTAACAATCTCTATTGACAGAGGAGATACATGAATAGAATTGAAAGATATTCTTGTAGTAGCAGAGTATACTGATGTTTTTGAACCGCTCCAAAGACCGCCACCAGATAGAGGAGATGTTTTCACTATTGAGTTAGATCAAGGGACTGCTCCCGTATCCAAGGCACCTTATCGGTTAGCCCCAGCAGAAATGGCTGAACTGAAGAAGCACTTAGAGGAGCTTATAGAAGGGTTTGTGAGGCCTAGTAGTTCACCTTGGGGAGCTCCTGTTCTTTTTGTGAAGAAAAAAGATGGAACTTTCAGGCTTTGCATTGATTACCGTGGCTTGAATAAGGTGACAATCAAGAACAAATATCCTTTACTGAGAATTGATAATTTGTTGGACCAACTTCAAGGAGCATCTTGGTTTTCAAAGATAGATTTGGCATCGGGTTACTATCAGATTTCTATCTCTAAGGCGGATGTGAGAAAAACAGCTTTCAGGACACGTTATGGACATTATGAGTTTGTTGTGATGCCTTTTGGATTGACGAATGCCCCTGCAGCTTTTATGAAGCTCATGAATAATGTATTCCGAGAGTTCCTGGACAAGTTTGTCATTGTGTTCATCGATGACATATTGATATATTCCAGGAGTGAGGAGGAGCATGATGATCACCTAAGGATAGTGTTGCAGAGGTTGCGAGATCATCAGCTTTATGTAAAGCTAGCGAAATGCAGTTTTTGGCAGAGAAAGATTGGATTTTTGGGTCACGTTATTTCAGAGACAGGTGTAGCTGTGGATCCAGAGAAGATAACGACTATCACTCAGTGGCCTAGACCCAATAATGCTACATAGATTCTTAGTTTCCTCGGACTTGCTGGTTACTACCAAAATTTTGTGGAAAGATTTGCCAGCATAGCCAAACCATTGACACAGTTGACATGTAAGGAAGCCAAGTTTGAATAGACAGAAGCATGTGAGAACAGTTTTAAAAAGTTGAGGGAGCATTTAACTCAGACGCTTGTATTATTATTACCGAAGGCTGGGGTACCACCTTATGCGGTTTATACAAATCCATCGGGAACTAGGTTAGGATGTGTACTTATGCAGGATGGTCAGGTCATCGCCTATGCATTAAGGCAGCTGAGGAAGCACGAGATTAATTACCCTACTCATGACTTGGAGTTAGCTGCAGTGGTTTTTGCTCTTAAGGTTTGGAGAGCCTACTTGTATGGGCATGAGGTACAAGTATTTACTGATCATAAGAGCCTGAAGTATATCTTCACTCAAGCAGATTTGAATTTGAGACAAAGGAGATGGACAGAGTTTCTAGCCGACTATGATTTGGATATTGCTTACCATCCAGGTAAAGCTAATCAAGTGGCAGATGCACTAAGCAGAAAGAGACATGATGTGAATGCAACAAAAACGTGGAGGAGCTTGTTTCAGCCTTGACAAGCCTGAATACTTATGAAGCCTCAGTTGAAGATCAAGTAGTCGGCTTGAAAGCGGTAAACCAAGCAGATACTTACTGTGAAGAATTCGTGAGGCACAAGAAAAAGATGTTGTATTAAAGAAAGAAGTGAAAAGTGAAGTTGCAGGGTACCATATCACGAAGAATTGGACGTTCGTTTTAAGGGCCGAGTATGCGTTCCAGATGATAAAGATCTAAAGGAAGAGATCTTGAGACAAGCACACTAGTCACGTTTTGCTATTCATCCAGGATCTACCAAGATGTACAGGGACCTGAAAAGGTACTATCATTGGATTAAAATGAAGCGAGAAGTTGCAGATTGGGTAGCAAAATGCACCACTTGTCAGTTGGTAAAAAGAGAACACAAGTCTCCGAGTGGACTTTTACAGTATTTACCACTACCAGAATGGAAATGAGATATGGTGACTATGGATTTTGTTACTGGACTCCCAAAAACAGCAAATAAGCAAGATACAATTTGGGTAATTGTAGACCGACTTACTAAGTCAGCTCATTTTCTTGCAGTCAATAAAAAAGACACGGCTGACCGCTTAGCTCAGAAGTATATGGATGAGATAGTGACATGTCATGGAGTTCCAGTAAGCATTGTTTCTAACAGAGATTCAAAGTTCACATTGTTGTTTTGGAAAGCATTTTAGAAGGCCTTGGGGAATAAGGTGCATTTGAGTATAGCCTATCACCCTCAGACAGATGGTCAATCTGAGCGGATGATTCAGACGTTGGAGGACATGCTAGAGCTTGTATGCTTGACTAGGAGGACATTGGGAAAAATATCTACCTTTGGTAGAATTTGCTTACAACAATAGTTATCATTCGATAATAGGCATGCCACCATTTGAGGCTCTTTATGGACACCGTTTTGTTGGACATAACTGAGGGAACGCCGGGACATTAAGCCTGAAATAATTCAAGAGTCCACTGAGCAAGTAGAGTTGCTCAAAAACAGACTAAAAGAAGCTCATGATCGTTAGAAGAGTTATGCAGACAAAAGACGGAAAGATCTAGAATTTGAAGTTGGTGGCTTGGTGTATCTGAAATTGAGATTGTTCAAAGGTTTGAACCATTGGGAAAAGAGAGGAAAGCTTAAGCCGAGATACATGAGACCTTATCCTATCACATAGAGAATTGGACCTTTGGCTTACCGTTTGGATCTGCCACCTGAATTAGTAGCATTTCATGACGTATTTCACATATCTGTTCATAGAACAGTTGTTACAGAACCGGAACTTATTGTTTCACAGCCACCAGAAGATTTTGAGTTAGATTTATCAGTAAAAGGAAAACCAGTATCAATTTTGAGTCGCAAAGAGAATGGTACACAGGGAAAGAGAGCTAAGTCGATTCAAGTTTGTTGGGAAAGAGATGGAGTTCAAGAGTTGTCATGGGAAATAAAAAAGAGTGATGCAGGAAGACTATCCAGAACTTTTTAAGGACGAAAGTGATGGTCATGGAGACGAGTCGAATTCGGGGACGAATTCCATTGTAGTGGGAGAGAATTGTAACAACCTGATTTCGCAATTAAACCGTGAGACCCAAACCAAACCCGTTAATGATTTAACACCGGAGTGAAACCCCATTTTTACCACGTGAATATAAAAGGGAAACGCATGTTGCGAGACAGACCACAAAAACCCTAAGCCATCAATCTCGGTAAGACTAGCCTCCTTTAGCTCGAGCCTCCGTTTTTAGCATTGGTTTAGCTTCATCCTAACTTGACTCTCCTTTGTGAACGGACGCAGCATCACTCGAGTCACCGGGGATCGTGGTCGTGTTCAGCCAGAGCCACCGTCTTCACCGGAAAGGTAAGGCCCGTGAACCAACTTTGGTTTTGATCTCTTATTTTGCTTGGGGATTGTTGAACTAATCTAACCACCATGATTCAAACCACCACAGATCTGAGTTGCCAAATCCTCCACTCCGGCGTTCGAGCCGTCAAGCAGATCGTAGCGCAGATCCATCCAGAAAACTTGCCGAGAAAAGTAATTGGCAAAACCCTTGTCTCACTGAGTTATTCATTACTCACCCCCTTTTTTTCTTTTTCCCTAGGTGAGGGTGAGAATGTTGAGTAGCTGTCTCGTTTGTGGTGTATTTCGGAAAAACTCGGGTTATTGAATTTTTGCGTTATTATATTATTTATAGACTTGTTTCAGTTATATTTTATCCTAAGGTTTGGCAACTATTTTGATATTATTTTTAAGACAGTTATCATTGAAGTTTTAATAAAATAAAGTTTCCCGGAATATGAAATGTTAAATTGATTAAGTGGATTTGAGGACTAGATAAGTAAGGCAAAAGCGCGCCGTCTCAGAGTTGAGGAAGACGGGCGTGACCCAAGACAAGCTTCAAAACTCCTCTCAAGGGTCCTCAACATAAATCTTGGTATTATTCATTCAAAACTTTTTCCACCAATTCAACCAGTCCTTCAAGAATTTCTGATATGCAACTAGGGCCAATGTATGGTCCTATCTTTCCCTTATATATACCATTTAGTATTTTTTTTTGTTTTACTTTGTGAGTTTTATCCTCTTTTTCGAATTTATTCTCACACCGAGACATTGTGAAATAAGTTTAGGGGAGAGGTATTATGTGTTTTTTTTTTTTGAGTATTGCATTATTAATAATTATGTTTTTTAGAAAAATTGAAAAACAAAATTGAAAAATCCAGAAAAGTTCATATAGCCTTGTATATTAATTTTTGCTTTTAAGATCTAGTCTATTAGCATTTTAGTTGCATCTTCATATGCATAGGGGATGATGATGAGATTACTTTGTAGAAGTTCAAGCTTAGAATTGAATTTAAAGCATTTACTCATATTTAATTCTTGCTTAAACAACTCGAAAAACATGGAAAATATATGATTGGATCTTTGTATTTTTCGAGAACAACTCGGGCTTCATAATGAAAACCATGGTTCTTTAAACTTCGAAACTCGATCTTGTGTGAGGGATATGTCACATGATACTATCTACTCAGGATATCGTTGCTTCGTGGATGGCTCATGGAAAGGGAATGATATATTTTCAAGAATAGGGTGGTTCTGTACATCTTCAAATGGAGAGACGCCAACAATGGGAGCTGCCAACATCCGTAGAAGTCTATCTCCACTATATATAGAATTGGAAGCTCTTCTCTGGGCGATGAAGTGTATGACTGGTGTCGACAACCAAGATGTAGCTTTTTTTACAAACTGTTCAGATCTGGTGAAGATGGTGTCTTCGCCAACCGAATGGTCGCCTTTTTTAGTGTATTTGAAAGATTTTCAAGCTTATCTTTATCTTTAATCTCTCATAGTGCAAATGAAAAGCGGATAATTTGGCACAAAAAGTTCGTACCGAACCGCATCACATCACATATGTAAACAACATTCCTCAGGAATGGTTCTTTTGAGATTTAATTAAAAGTTGTTGACAAAAAAAAACAAAAAAATAAAAGGGGAGTTCTTCATTAATTAGAAATTTTCGTGGAGAGATTTTCATTTCTGTTTTGTTATCGATTTTTTCGAAAAATTAGAGTTCATTTATCTTCGATTGATAGATTTTTGGCGAGTTTGAGGGGATGAGAGATATTCGGCGAGTTGAATTTGTCAGACTTTTAAAGTAGAGAAATCCGGTGAGAAGAAGAAGAAGTCAATTTTGGTGTCGTGGATATTCGGATTTTCAACCAACTTATTGGATTTTCGGAGTAGAGATCCCCCACGAGAAGAATTTCAAATCGGATTTTCAATCGTGTCTCGAATTTGCGGGTCTCTCGTAGTTCTCGGATGAGTAGTAGATAAGGTACAGTGACTTAAATCTTTTAATATAAGTTTGTACTAGGTAAACTGTTTTGAAGATTTAAAAGAATTTCAAAACTTTTCGGATTTCTCAATCCCAAACCCTTTTTTGCCAAAATTAAAGAAATTGGTGATTTTTTATTGAAAATTTTAAGTGTACATAAATGATTTACTTACGTTATCCCTTTGATTTTTTCCATGTAAGTTGTATGCACCTTTTGGTGTACCAAATATATATTTTGTTACTGTGTACATATGTTATACTTTGTACCATAGATAGATTGTGCTTGAGTAATAGTAGAAAGCATGTTTAGATGTACCATATTTTGTTACCGTGTACATATATATATATATGGGGGTTTAACAGTAGATGGTTGTAAGGTAACATGACTCAAATCATACGACTACCAAGTGTTGATGCAACGACTTCTCCCGATTTCACTTAGAGGTTCACTATCTAAAGGTCCTAAGATTGCAATTTTACGTTTATGCACAGTCTTCCACCATCTGTGATAGCAAGTAATTGATAGGGAGCCGATTTAGGTAATGGAAACTGAAATTAAGGAAACACTCTCCATGTTTTAAAGATTTTTCCTTCCAAGCTTCTTTGATATTATGGTGAACTTAACAATACATCTAGGAACGAGAAAGAATACTAGGTGGACCAGTACATTTTTAATGGATATATGTTCCCATTTGAAAGGTATTGTGTGTACGTAGTTTTACACTTTTCCCGGATATTATCTGGTTATTTGGTCTAAAGGTAATTAATATCTTTGGATATAATTGTATTTTGGATATTATCGGATATCCGAATATTTGTAGTGCGGCCGTAAGGGTTTGGTGGAGTTCGAATAACCAGCAAAAAGTTCTTCATAGGTTGACTTGAAAAATGTGTTGGGGTAAATGAGACAGTGAAATTTGTTATCGAATTATATAGTAATATAGGTAAGTTTAATTCAGCAATTTTGACAAAACAAAATAATTTGGCCGTTACTCATGATTCCTAAAAGGTCGTCATTTCAGTTCTTCTTTATAAAAGCTTAACATTAGATCATACTAAAACTAATCTCTAAATTTAAATCGTATGACGGTTTCATGCATACATATAGTTATATTTCTTACTATTGCGAATAGGCATGACCAAAAGCTAACCGTAACCGTATTTCGGACCGTAACCGGACCGTCTCTCAACCGTAACCGAACCGTAACCGTAAAAAACGGTTAATAACCGTAACCATTAACCGTAAAAATAGATTAGTTACGGTTAAAAAATATACAACCGTAACCGTTAATTAACAGTAAACGTATCAAAACCGTTAGTTAACCTTACGGTTAACCGCACAGTTAACCGCATAGTTAACCGTGCAGTTAAAACCTAATATACATAATTATTTCACTAAAACAGTGCCTTAATTGGTTCAATGCGCCCACTACTAAATTTAAACCACTCCACTCGTCCACTACTCATTTTCCACAAATCAAATCATAAATAATTTACAAGTTATTATTTCTACTTCTGTAATCGTTTCATAATTCTCATAACATCCTTTCTATAGTATTGTTTGGAATACGTATTGTCAATAAAACAATAACTCAATCATTATAATTATTCTAAAGCTTAAAAATACCTAAGCTTTTGTCTTTGATATTAACCGTATCGTAATAATTAAACAACTGTAACCGTATTTAACCGTAACCGTTGTAACCGTAACCGTTTTAACTGTATATATAACGGTTAAGGTTACGGTTAGAGAAATTTAATAACCGTAACCGGGGGTTAATAAACCGTAACCGCAATAACCGTAACCGTGGTCATGCCTAATTGCGAAACTGTGGAATAGATGAATAAAAATCCGATTCTCCTTTTGAAAATATGATTGTTACAAGTTACAAATGAATCCCATAAGGCCATAATGTGTTTTAGATGTTCAATAGATGTAAAGTTCGACGTGGGAGTTTATATGACTCATTAGTTTTTATTCGAGCCCAATATTAGTTGTGCTGGGAGCAAATTTTTAACGTTCTGTCGATCCGTGAAAATAATCAATTACTAGTTACGTACATAAGAGAATTATTGAACAAAGGTAAAAAGTTTTATTGTTAACAAATATGAGAAGAAGTTTAAAAAAAAAAAAAAAAAAAACCTATGAGAACAACTTAAAAGAAACACTTACCAGGAGTGTCAATGACACAGATCCGTGGGCCATCTTGCATCGCAGCTCCGCTTCGTGCTTCACAGCGTTGGGTAACACCAGCGGCACATCTTCTAGTTTTGAAGATTTCTTTTCCCAAGAGGGAGTTCCCTGTGGAGCTTTTCCCGTTTCCAGTACGCCCTACCAAAAGTATGTTAATTTCCGGCTCTGATACTGGATGCAAGCCCCATTTATTTGTGTTCAGATCTCCAGCCATCAGGGGCGGATCTACGTTATAGATTGTGGGGGCACCTGCACCCACTAACTTTTAAATAACTAAAAAAATTTAACTATCCAAAGAGATTAATGTGGCAAAGTGGTTTAGATTGCACCCATTAAATGTCCAAACTCACAACTTCGATTCCACCTTGCAGCATTTTGCACCCACTTAATTATGTTGCTGAGTCCGCCACTGCCAGCCATCTTTAACAACTTCATGCAACCATGTCCCCAAACTAGTAAATCTTTGTGGGCGTTGACAAAGGAAAAAGAAACAAAACTGAAATATTGAACACCTTAATATAAATTTCATACCACAAGTTTTCGTGATGTGCTCTGTAGGGTTGCTTAAAAAGTGGTAAAAATGTTTTGGCCTAGCGTGAGATACACGTCTCAAACTAATCCTCAATCCAAGATCTGCATAGTTAGAAGATTCTTAAGCTACGGAACAGAAAAAATCATGAAGCGAAAGATATTTAACCTTAAGTAACACAGAACGGATATGTGAAAGAAAGACAAAGTAGCACGTACAATGAGGAAGCTCACGATCTACTTGCCAGACAGACTAGAACACGCAAAACAAACTCAGAATGAATGACAGGTTAATAGATGATATAGTCAAGGCTTATAAGTTATAAGGACGACTTACCCAATAATTCGTGCAATCAACGAATATTGATATTTCGCGGAAAACTATTTTATGATATTTTTGTCCCATTTGACTTTGTTATGATATTTTTTTTTTTTGAATAACCGCGAGTCTCCCAAAGGCTTCCTAGGCCCAAAGACTAATCCCACGAGGCTGACAATTCCCCTATGTAAACCTGCCAGTGGCCGTGCCTCGAACCCTGGTGGCGGAAATCACAGCTATGATCCCTTTACCACTAAGCCACAAGGCCCGGTTATGATATTTCAATAGTGTAAGTTGCGTATATTAAATTGTAAAACGTAAACGATGGCAAATATAAGAATAATCGGGAAAAATGTCATAAAAATCATGAATTTACAAAAAGTGGTGAAACAAAACATCAATTTAGTTTATGGTGAATTAAGACCGTTCTTGTGTTCATCTCTAGGGGTGAACTTTTCTTTGTCACCCCCTCTTAAATAGCCAATCAAAATACAAAAACATACATGTAATACTATATTTAAAAATAAATCCAAATTAAATATCAAAATACAAGATTTTGTTTCCTTAATTTTTTTGTTTTCTGATATTTAATTTGGATTTATTTTTAAATATAGTATTACATGTCATATTCTTGTATTTTGATTGGCTATTTAAGAGGAGATACATAAGAAAAATTCACCATTAAGGTGAATCCAACCAAACCGATAGGATCCAGATCCAACCTGAACCCATGCTTTTACCCGGCCGGTACACTAACCCGAGGAGGTAAATTTTTATAAATAATTAAATATAAGGGTTAATCTTGTCTCAAAGTGCCTCTCAAATCACCAACACACCGTGAACCACCTCTTTCCGGCTCACTGTAGACTTAACCACTATTTGTATTTTCACCCGTTTTCTAACACTGCTTTTCATAGCTCTCTATGACTCAATCAGTGATCCCTATTGTCCGTTATATTTCAGTGTTTTGACATGAGCATCAGAGAGCCATCAGAAGAATTTAACTATAAAAAAATCAAATTTAAATTTAAAGATTATAAAAATTTTAATTT